TTGATGAAACAGCCCACCGACCAGCACAAAAAACCTTAAAAATCCCAGAAAAAACATTAGTCACTATGAAAATTTCATATTTTTACCTGGAACTTTGGAAGAATTAAAAAAAAAATTGAATTCTTACACTCTTATTAATCAATTTGGAAACAACTCACTCACTTAATATGATTAGAAAGTGATGTAGCATGTCTAGAGTGTTCTAACATGTCTAAAGGGGGCCCCTGGATCCTAATTCCTGAACAGTAAGGCACAACTTCGTGGACCTTATTGCACTCCACCTTTTTGATGGTTCTGCACGCTATGGCATTTTGAAAGCTGCCCAGCAATCGTACCACAAAACATCCATTTGCGCTTGCTTAAGCAAATCTTCCCCTGAAGACGGTCATGCTATTTAGCGTCAACAAGTGTCAACACATACAACTAGCTGACTAGTGTCAACCAAGCGTTCTCTCTTAAAGATTTAAAAGTGGTTTTATCATAATTTAGAGACTCTAAGACCTGCCAAATTTTGAACTTGTAAAAGTAAAGCCATAAAACTTTAAGTTGAGCACTGCCAGTATCTTTAGCGAAAAGAAAAAGCGTGACTGGATGAGAAAAATATACTTCAGAGCCACAAATCGTTAAGCAAGAGTTAAATATCCTTCAGTTTCATGTGATTATTTGATTCATATCTAAAAAAGCTAAAAGAATTTAATAGTTGGGGGAAAAGAAAAAAAACTGATGATGGCCACTGGATTTGAACCCCAACCTGGTGTCGAAGGTTATGTGTCTAAACCCCATAACTTATGTGCTCACTTGTGCCATCTTGGGAATGTAGTAGTTACTTGGCATCAGCTTAATGCTGGCTGCATTAAAAACAATATTGTGTCACCCTCTCAAGGGTGACACTCCATTTGAAAAAATTAATGAATTTCTCCTGGACACTTGTAAAGGAGAAGTGTTCTTTCTAGGGTCCTAACAAAAGGTACATTTCAAAAACAGGAAGCGTGTTTGTGCGTGTAGTAGATTCGCTGCTTTTGACCCACACCCCATACCCGACCATCAAATCATATTGCATCTTGTGAGTGGTATGCGCGACGCTTGACATGCCCTAAAATATGGACCTTCTTCCCGTGATGTCACTATCGTGCTGGACCGCAATGTGTTGTGCTATGGTAATCAGTGCATCGGGTTGTTATGGTAATCTACTTATTCAAGATAAACTAGTCAAGCATGCAGCGTTTGCACGTGGTTGAAGCTGCCCGTAGGAATACATGCGATCACCGTGGCTGAGGCAGTCCACATGAGTTGGTATTGTTTACATTTTGTCACGTGGGTGAAAAAGGTCTATAGCAGTATATTCACCATTACACTTCTTCAACTGCTTCCCTCAAACTATGCAGTTCTGCAGTGGACGAAGTCCAGAACCTTCTCAATTTGCAGGCATGTTCCGGACTTGCCCAGGGTGTCAATCCATGAATGCTCATTGGAAGCATATTGAAGTTTCTTTTTGTTTTCCTATTCAGTGACGATATTGCAACAGCTATTCTACGTACCAAGGCAAAGCCCAATAGGCTCATTGTGGAAGATGCCGTCAACGACGACAACTCCGTTGTGTCCCTCTCACAGGTAGGTCTTGATCAAACACCGACAGCAGGCGCAGTTTTTCCCAAAATAAAAAAATTCAAGCAAAGGAGTTGCGCTGCCGACTGAGTTTACATGTGTTGCCAGCTGAAGGAAAGTAAATTTGTCTAGCTCCCTAAAAATAACTTGTGCTGCATTAAAAAGTTTATGTTTACAGGACTTAAGGACCCAGGAGTTGGATTTGTTAAAGAGGTTTCACAAGCAAATGGTGGTGTGACAGACATATTCAGGTCATCAGTTTGTGTGGTCTTGTTACGTCACATGTAACTTGTTATCCATTACAGATGCGTATTGTAAGGAAATCTCGCTTTCCACATGTAAAATATGAAAGAAATATTTCATTTTCCCTAAATGTTCCCTTTCCTATCATACATGATTGAGATGAATAAAAAGCTGAATCTCTGATCATGCTTATGTCCTTTGTGTCAGTTTTGAAACAAAACTAGCTAAATGTGAAGAGGTCTTAATTGGAGGGTGCCATTTTGTATGGCTACTGTCATCGGTCACTGTCAGATAACAAAACTTACATCTATGTGTACGCTTACAGATGCCAAAACAATGTCATGACTATTCACATATGCAAGACTGTTTGGACGCAAAGCCCTTACTTCCTTGTGAATACGAAAGTAATCTATCTCAGCTTGGCATAAGGAACAAGGAAAGACTTATATTAATGGTCGCTGGTAACGCGTTGAAATGGCGGCCTTATTTCACTCAGGCCAAGATGGACGAACTACAGCTCTTCAGAGGCGACACTGTCCTCTTGAAGGGCAAGAAAAGGAGGGACACAGTATGCATCGTACTCTCAGACGACCAGCTGTCGGACGACAAGATACGCCTCAACCGTGTCATCAGAAACAACCTGCGCGTTCGCCTGGGCGATATTGTCAGGTTGGGACCTTTCAGATGTAGAAGCATGATGGGATATTGTCAGAGGGGGAAGTCTTGACTGGGATGTGTGATTCAGTATTTCCACACTTGTGACCTGTAGGTTTAATTTTTTTTTAAGCAATTCTGACAAGATTTCTTCACAGTGATAACTTGTAATATGTCTTACTGCTTGCAAGGTAAATGTTTCTCTGTCTTTAATACTGTGATTCCAGCGTCCAAGCGTGCCCTGATGTAAAATATGGAAAGCGGATCCATGTCTTGCCATTGGATGACACCGTGGAAGGATTGTCTGGGTAATTATTCCAGTTTGCAGACGTGCAAACTAAAATCTTTAACTGGCCTTGAAACAGTCATTGTAACAGGTGGAATCGAGTCAGTCACAAGTCAGTCCACAAATCGCCAGACGCCTGTGCTGATGACGTCACACTTTGTTCACGTGTGTACTTTCCTATGGTGCTCCGTGGACCTTGGGCCCCTGCTGGATCCAGGGGAAAGTACACTCATAAGCAAAGATGACTAGGACTAATGACTTGTGACTGACTTGTGGTGACTTGATTGCAACTCTGTTCGTTACAGACCGAGTACAGTTTTGATTGCCTGATCATAGCAAATCCCAAAGCCAAATTTGTGGCACTGTTATGACCATTCAGTGCCCAATGAACTCATTCGTAGTATTAGAATTCGTCCCACAAGTATGCATGTGACTTTCTTCCAAGAGACGATCGCGCAGTGCATTTAATTTAGTGGATGGCTCCAAAAAGACGGTCCTTGTGAACTCCCTGCCATATTTTTTTTAAAGCCAAGGTTTCACCAGCATTTGAAAACTGGTCCTCCATATTTGCCTTGAACTGAACAACAGGCTGTCCAAGTTTCTAATGTTTGATGCTTTCTGCATGCATTTCGAGTAACGGAAACAAGGTGTCCCAAATCAGACAGGTGCTCAGATGCACACCTGGGTGAAACATTGATGGCAGCTGTGTCTTTTCGGAACAAATATTTGCTGCCGTGATCAATGCTGTGAGCTTCGGCAGCTCTATGAAATGGGTACCATGTCGCTGTCCCTGACTTGTGAAAGTCTTTGGTCGACAGGAACTTGTTTGAGGTGTATCTGAAGCCCTACTTCACCGAGGCCTACCGCCCCGTCCGCAAGGGCGATATCTTCTTGGTTCGCGGAGGTCTGCGAGGCGTGGAGTTCAAAGTTGTGGAGACCGATCCCGGACCCTACTGCATTGTGGCGCCAGACACTATGATCCATTTCGAAGGAGAACCGATCAAAAGAGAGGTTAGATCAAATACATTTGTGTAACTGTTCCTTTTTGTGAATATTGTGAGGTGGTGATCGAACTTGTCAAAAGATGGAGCGTGGAAAATTGGAGAAGTATTGAATCATTGTTACACAGTCAGCAGCTGTTGCAGAGTGATTTAGGGATGCATATATATTTTGTCTAATTTTAAATGTGTGCCCTGTGTTGGTCAAACTTGAAATATATCGTATTGTTTTCCTGAACAATGTTAAGGCATCAATGTTGATCAAGGTACTGGGCAATTTTCAGGGACAAGTCAGTTTAACAGAACATATTCACATGTTTCTTTTTAAGCCCTGTCTCTGATTTGAGACTCGCCCAATGAAGCTTGTTATTTTTTTCACAAAGCGTATAGACGAAAATGAGACTATACATTGGTGATATCCATTGACAGAGGTGAAAATACCAATATAAAAGTGATCGGATTATTTTCAGGAGGAAGAGGAAGCCTTGAATGAAGTTGGTTACGATGACATAGGGGGATGTCGCAAACAGCTGGCACAGATTAAGGAGATGGTTGAACTACCGCTGAGGCACCCTGGATTGTTCAAGGCCATTGGTGTCAAGGTAATGGAAATCGTTACACTCTAGGAACGATCAGCCAAGTCGGATCAACGATTATTTGTTAGCCGCTGATTGATTTTTCCCTGTTCACTTTGGTAGCAAATATGTCATGAGTTCCTGGCGAAATGGGTCGGTGGTAGACAAATGCTCATTGATCTGAAAAACTTAGTCTCTGTTTCCCAGGCAACAGCAACCGATAAATGAAGCATGATATGAAATTGAAATATGGTAAACTTGATGAAAGTTTGTGGTGCAAAGATTGAAAAAACTAAACACTCTGAGAAGAGACTGAGTAGACTTAAGACTCTCCTGTGTCCGTGAATATCCTATGTTATAATGAAGAACGAAGGCAAATCAAATGTCATTGGAAACTACAAGGTCAAGTAAAAACAGCTGGGTAATTTCAAAATACTAGATGTAATTAATTCCTATGCATTTGCTGTTGCCAGCAAGATAATGATGTGATACAAAGGTTGAACAGAACTGAGATCATAGCCTGTTGAATTTCAGGCATGCTGTTTTAACCCTGAAGGCTTTATAAATGAGCAAGACATGAAAGATGGGTTTCCTTTTTTTTCTGCTAATGACAGCCTCCAAGGGGTATCCTTCTGTATGGGCCCCCCGGAGTTGGCAAGACCTTGATTGCCCGAGCCGTGGCCAACGAGACGGGCGCCTTCTTCTTCCTCATCAACGGGCCCGAGATCATGAGCAAGCTGGCGGGCGACTCGGAATCTAATTTGCGCAAGGCCTTTGAAGAGGCCGAGAAGAATGCGCCCTCCATTATCTTCATTGATGAACTGGACTCGATTGCCCCCAAACGAGAGAAGGTATCTTGTCAGTGTCAAAAAATTGGGTCTTCAAAAGAATGTCAAGTAATTAGGGAGTCCGTGGCGCTATAAGTGAATTCTTATAATAAGGGAAAAACCATGTAAGTACCTAGGAATGTTTTCTTGCAGCCTTGATATGCACCAGATTGTCTGTTGGCCTTAATTTTAATCACCGTGTTGCCATTTTAAGGATGTTAAGGGGTCCAGGTTGGTTTATTCAGACAAAAATATCCACGTCCGTGACCAAAAAAAAATCGAAGGAGCCAGTTTTTATGCAGGTGAACAGTACTGGAAAGCAGTATGCCGCACGATGTCATCCCTGAACATACGAAGGTGAAACCAGTTTGGCATGCTAATAATTAAGTTGAACGACTTTTCAGAAAAATAATTGCACCCCACAGGAAGAGTTCAAGAGTTTAACAAAATGCCCAAGCACGTTTGATTTTGTTCTTCCATTATCAGCTTTTGATAACACCAGCCTGTGAAAAATTTTGATGCGGGTTTGTTTTTGTGTTTTTAAAATGTGTGACCTAGGTATGTGTCTCAAGTTTACGCAGTTTAAAGATACAATAAAAAATGGTCCAAACTCCCGATGGGATTTTGCATTTGGGACTTCAATTTTAGGGCATTTTGTCCAGCCACGTCTGGTTTTAATCAGACCAGTACTGAGTATGGTTGGAAAATGTTTGATATCCGATCGTTACGTCATGTACGTGATGTTCGTGTCTCGCACCCCATGTTTCCCACAGACACACGGTGAAGTGGAGAGACGCATTGTGTCACAGCTGCTGACCCTCATGGATGGATTGAAGCAGCGGGCGCACGTTGTCGTCATGGCAGCAACCAACAGACCAAACAGCATTGACACCGCCCTGCGACGTTTCGGTGAGTCAATCCCGAGTGTTGACAAATATCAGGTTGCAGTAAGACAAACAGCGCAAATATTAATCAGTATGTAAGTTGTATGAAGAGTTGGCTGCTGTATTATGCCTTTCGTGACTTTTGTCGAAGTTTAGGGCGAAAAATAATACCGTCCGTAAGTAGGGACGCTGCTCATCTCCGAGGATACTTATCAACATTCACTGTACATTCACTGTATTCACCCTCATCATGCCCAAATCAACAAGATCAGGAAATAGGGAGAACCTCAGTGATGAGGTGAAAGTGTGATTGAACAAGTCATACCTTGTTGGTGACCTTTGGACAAACAGGTCGCCCAAACCGAACAGTAGAAACAAACTGATCTATTGTAGCACGAAAAGTGTGTTGGAAAATAAAGTCTAGTCATGCAAACGTTGTGAAGCTTTCTCGTTAACTGGAACTGCTCACGCCCAAATTGTTACCTGCCATGAGAACAGAATGATGGACGTATTTGATATGTAATATGCAAATGGGGTTGGGTTTGCAGGTCGATTCGATCGCGAAATTGACATCGGCATTCCCGACGCCACGGGACGTCTTGAGATCTTGCGCATCCACACAAAGAACATGAAGCTGGCAGAAGACGTGGACTTGGAACAGGTGGGAACTTGTATTTTAATTTTGGCAGTTTAAGGTCAAAGGCCATATGTATGCGTACACTTCAAGGGGGTAACGAATGCATCGTCAAACCATCGATGCTCTTCCCTCGTGTTGATTTCTTGTTGTTGCTACATTGTCTCGATTTTTTTTGTACCTAAGAAAACTATCTTTAGAAAGGGGGAGATGAATTATTTGAGGTAATAGGGGTGCATTGCTGGCCTCCTAGGGAAAACTGTTCAAGTAGTTTGTTTGCCTTTACAGATTGCCAATGAGACCCACGGTCATGTTGGCTCAGATCTGGCCGCGCTGTGCTCGGAAGCGGCCCTGCAGCAGATCCGCAAGAAGATGGACCTGATTGACCTGGAGGAGGACACCATCGATGCGGAGGTCATGGACTCGCTGGCCGTCAACATGGATGACTTCAGGGTTGGTGCAATTTCTCGGATTAAATCATTTGTCTCTTGATTTATCAGTCATGACTCTGCCAGATCCTTCAAATTTGGGGGGGGTAGCTCTTTCTGTCCTTGCCTTACTCTAATGGACTCGGGACAATTAGGCACACTTGCCGTTCATCACCATGCCTCAGTTTCATTCAAATTCACAGAATGAGATGAAAAAAGTTGATTCCTCATCCACACCACGTCACGAAACCTTTCAAATTGTTATTGAAAGGAAGTCATTAGTACCACCATTAAAAATTGTTCAGCTCACAATTCTGCCTGTATCTTCTGAGGATGTAAACCAAATCTTGTCAGAATGGGAGTACTGAAGATTGTTAACGTGAAGTTCTTTGCCCGCCCCTAGTGAGCATTCTGACCGTTACCGTTTTGACCGTTTTCCTGACTGAAGTATGCCCTAGGCAAGAGCAGCCCCAGTGCCCTGCGCGAGACGGTGGTGGAGGTGCCTAACGTGACGTGGGACGACATCGGGGGCCTGGAGAGCGTCAAGCGGGAGCTGCAGGAGCTGGTGCAGTACCCTGTGGAGCACCCGGACAAGTTCCTCAAGTTTGGCATGACGCCCAGCCGCGGCGTACTGTTCTACGGTCCCCCCGGATGTGGTAGGTCGCGTGCATTCCTCGGCGTGTTTTGTGGCATGGTCAGGAATTAAGTTAAAAGCTGATCTGAGAAAGGACTGTTTTGGCGGTAGCGCGGTGCTCATGCGCGCAGTGCTCATGTTCCTAATCTGAAGGTGTATGTGCAGTTCAGCAAGTTGCTGCTGTAATTATTAAGAAATAATGTTTATTGGAAATTTTCCGATGCTGTACGTGGAAGAAAGAGAGAGAGAAAGAAAAAGAAAGTTGAGGATAGCTTCAACTGTTGACAACTTCCGCCTAAAACCCGATCTTGTTTTCCTTGTCTTCAGGTAAAACTCTGCTGGCCAAGGCCATTGCCAATGAGTGCCAGGCCAACTTCATCTCCATCAAAGGACCAGAGCTGCTTACTATGTGGTTTGGAGAGTCGGAAGCCAACGTCAGAGATGTCTTTGATAAGGCAGGTCACAGTATTGATAACAGATATTGGACACAGCATGTTATGTAACTCTTGCGTTCCCTGAGGTTGAAGAATTCAAATGTTAGGACGAGTAAAAATCGTTGAAAACCACCTGCTGGTGAATTTTTGAAGTACAGAGGAGGGCTTGCACCATGAGGGTTGAGAGATGATGAATTGTCTCATGGGAATTCATCTTGCCTTGCTTTCTAAGGCCACGTCTGAATCACTTGACAGCGGCTTGAAATTACACATGACTCTAAGGGAACTGGCTACGGCCATTACCATAGACTTGCGTGTAACTTTTAGCCACAGCCAAGTGATTTGGACACAGCTCACTTAAGAGACCACTGATGTAGGCTACATCTGATTGACTTGGCTACGGCTGACCACTATACACATGTCTATGGGAAATAGTTACAGCCGCTAGCCAGTGGCTTTCACAGGCATACGTGTTGATGCTAGCCAAGTCATTGTGCGTCTCTCCTTTTGTATTTCCGGTTTCAGGCCAGGCAAGCGGCACCATGTGTGCTGTTCTTTGACGAGTTGGATTCCATCGCCAAGTCTCGCGGAGGCAACATCGGTGACGCTGGCGGGGCCTCAGATCGCGTCATCAATCAGGTCCTGACCGAGATGGACGGCATGTCGGCCAAGAAGAACGTCTTCATCATCGGGGCCACCAACAGGTATTACTCATTTGAACTTGAGTCCTTACAGTAGTGGTATCTGTCTCGCTCGGCATGTGCTAGCTCTTGAAGCTGAGCAAGTACTGCGCGGTCTCAGTGTTTATCTCTCGTGAGTAAAAGCACCCCCTCATTGGTTGAAAAGAGCCAAGTTGATGGCGACTGTTCTTCTTGTTGGTAGTGATGTGGCATTTCATGATCCATTGTGAACCAACAATGTACCGGTTGCACCAAAGGAGCCTGCGTTGCTAAGAAACTTCCACCCTCTCTTGGTCCATTTCGGGGCTCATTCTATGGTTTGTACTTCCCCAGGATTCTCCTTGCATCCTCAGCAACAGACACCGTTTCCCATGTGTTTTGAGTTTATTCTGTGTATACATCCAGTGAGGTTCTCCCATGTTGTCAGCTGATCAGCTAGTTGAAGCTGAATTTGTTAATTCTCTTGTGCTGGTGAAATACCGAACGTCACCGATGCTTATATTCACTACACTTTAAAGTGTTTCACATGTGCTGTCGATGTGTGGTTTGATGTACATTACTTGGAGTAAAGTAACGTGCTGTCCATAAAGATTTCAGTAAGTGCTGAGATGAACAACTTAGCTTGACTGTATAAGTTTGACCCTGAATGATAAAAAATTATCCCTGTCCAAACTTAAGGAAAACATAACGTAAGCTGTTTGACATTTTTTGCCATAACCCTGGTCACTGTTTCCTCTCGACTGGTCTTGTTCCTAGGCCTGATATTGTCGACCCTGCTATCTTGCGTCCCGGCCGTCTGGATCAACTCATCTACATTCCCCTACCTGATGAGCCGTCACGTGTTTCAATCCTGAAGGCCAACCTTCGCAAGTCACCTGTTTCAGCGGTACGACTTGGCTCTCGCTTCTTTTACACAAAGAGACAACTTGTCCTCCTTTCATTGATGGCTTTTTTTTCTCTTTCTGACATATTTATGTTGGAAGTTGGCATCACTTAACCCTTAGTGTTACTGATCCGTCACCTGGTGGAGGATTGAAGACTGTTAGGGTGAAGAGGCAAGCCAAACAGCTGAAGCCGTTGTGCGTAGACATGTACGAAGTGCCACCTGGGGCCTTTCGGTTTTGGCAAGATTTATTGCTCACCTCCGACAAGCATGTATTCAGCCAGATGACAAAGTTGCTGAGTCATAGTGCACTTCTTTTTCTTATTCGAAATTCAAACTGGGTAATTTTTTCCCCTCGGCAGTGCCCCAGAGCCAAGCTGCTTAATTTTTATTTTCCTTTTATCGCCCTGCTCCCCTCCTAGGATGTAGACATGGTGTACCTGGCCAAGGTGACGCACGGCTTCAGCGGCGCTGACCTGACCGAGATTTGTCAGCGTGCCTGCAAGCTGGCCATTCGTCAGAGCATCGAGGAAGACATCCGCCGCCAGAGAGAGCGCGCCGATAATCCTGACCTGGATATGGTAAGATGGCAATACCTTCTGATGACGTAAAACGTGATCTGAACTCAAAAACAAACCCAGACTGCCAACCACGACTGTACTCATGGTTAACTGTTCTATTAGTCTGCGAGACACCCAGTCATAAATAATAGGGGATAAAAGGCAATAGAGGATGCCTGTGTCAAAGTTGATTATTGACTGAGGTGAAGGGATCACTACGAAGGCTTGTTATATCACAGAACATTCCCAGCATGTGCTCTGTTTCTGCATTTGTTCTGCTGTAACCCTGTCCCCCGCCTGTGTATGTAAAATCATATTGAAATCAGAGGATTTGGGACTATAATTGGGGATTAAAAGCAGAAGTGCAGGTGTTCTGTTTGAACAAATTGTTTCAAAATCGTTGAATGAAATCTGTAGCATACAGAGTTGAAAGAGTTTCAACCAAGCATGCGCACGGGGCAATATTTTTGAACCCTCGATGAACAGGGTTCTTCATCTTTTCCTCTTGTAATGCATGTTTGGGACCTGGTGACCTCTCAACCTGCTGACCTTGCGACGTACTCATCCGTTATTGGCATGACTTGCTTTTGCAGGAAACCGATGAGGAAGACCCAGTGCCGGAGATCACCCGAGCCCACTTTGAGGAAGCCATGAAGTTTGCTCGCCGCTCCGTCAGCGACAACGACATCCGTAAATACGAGATGTTTGCACAGACCCTCCAGCAGAGCAGAGGGTTTGGGGGAAACTTCAGGTGGGTGAAAACTTGAAATAAGTCTAAGGGTGTAAATACACCTTTGCGATTCAATTCGCCTTACCTTCAGCTTTTGCTGTGCTATTTTTAACGGTTGTCTCGGTGGTCCGGTTTGGTTTTATGCTAAGACAAATTTCCTTTCTCATGAGTAAAACCATGATGTCTGTCCAGTGACTGGGCTTCCATGTTGTATGATTTGTGCTCAATGAACTGCTGGGATTTTTGATATTTTGCACCACAAACTTCCTTTTCTGTGGTGATTTATTGTTTGAACTGCATTACAATAAGTCAAGGGCACCCTTGTCTTGAATGTTTTCAATGCAACAAAGTTTGCAATAAAAATCTGAAAAAAAAAAAATGGAAAGTAACAGTATCTTCCCTGATATACATCACACCAACAGCGCTCTCAGTTGTCTGGAAAAGCGGAGACAATTTTTATATGAATTGGAAAATGCATTTTTTAGTGCACTTAACCCAACAAGGATGTCAAGTGATTTTCATACATTGAGAAGAGAGCAAGAAACTCGTAAAAAGTGAGAAATACATTTCACGAACCCTTTAATGTTGGCATTTCCTGTGTGTGGTTTGTCCTTTTGATTGTGGTTAAGGGCACCTTTGTGATCACTTCCTGCATCTTTTCGTTGATCATCAAGGTACCTTTTTTTTCTCGACCTCTCCCTTGGTGGCAGATTTCCTGAAGCACAGGTGCCAAGCGGAGGTCCGGCGCCCACCGGATCTGGGGCTGGCAATGACCCCGGCTTGTATGCGGATGACAACGGTGACGACGATCTTTACAGTTAGTGAGAGATTCCCTCCAGGATTCTGCCCACATCACTGGGTCGGTATGGAAAACGGGGCTCCGCCGACCTACAGTCTTACTTTCGACAGTTTAATGGACGCATCTGCTACTCAAAAGGCCTACCGCATTCTTCATTCCACGGTGTGCAACAACCTCGTTAAAAAGAGATCTAGGGAAAGATGTTACTGTCGAAGTGTCACATTGGCGTATTGGGACATTCATAGGATTAATGTAGGTCTGTTCTTTGCACACTAAAGTTTTTTGGCTTCAGTTTTGTTCACACGTATTTCCTCCAGTCCTCCTGTAAAAAAAGTTCTGTATTGCCTCGAAAAAGAAGGAAAAACAATGAGGGATATTAATTTTGGATTTTGGCCCTGCCCGACGTGTATAGTTTAACACTGTATGCTCAGCGTATGCCCCCGAAGAATGAATTCCATCTCCCCGGCGCAAATCTATCGGAATGGGATATCTTGGAATGAATGTTGATTCATGTATTAGCTTTTTGCGTGCTATTTGATTTTGACAGTGTTCGGAGTTGCAGACGCCATTTTGTATAAAAAAAAAATTAACAGAATTCCATATGTAGAAATCAATCATGATAAGTATATGAGGTAAAATGAAAGCTTTGTTTATATCAAATTGTAATGTAGACTTCATATTATAGACTGGAATTTCTCACGGTGAAGGTAGATCCGGGTCTTATAAAGTGGCTAGCGTCTAGTCCAGGTGAAATAGATACAAAAACAACCCAAGATTCAAACTTTGCACTGCATTCTGCATTATGTAATGTTACCTCAACCTTTGTATTGGTTGATATTTGACTACCGAAATGCAGTGACTGTAACAAGTATAGCTACGCAATGCATAGAATCCAGCACCTTTTTGGGCAAAACAATGCGAGATCAACAAAACCACCCGAGTCCATTTTGATAAAATGGTGCAGGAATGACATCATTCATGAGTCATCTGTCCGCATCGAGCAGAAGCACCACCCTCACTGGTCGAAAGGAGCTTCCATTGTCAGGAAAACAGTGCTCTATCTTGGTCTAGCACGAGGCCCATACGGGCATCTGATATCATGTATAGATATACGAGTGGGCATGAAACCCTTTCTTGAGACTGCCGTGGTGGCTACTCCAGATAAACCTGGTGATTTGTGCACCACTGACTGTCTGGTCAGTCTGTGTTCTTATACGCTTGTTTCCTCAACTAGCCGTGTCAAAGTATGACCTGATTTTTCTAGGAGTTGAAGCAGGAGGGAAGACGGAAAAGAGAGAAGAAATGATCTTACGTAATGCAAGCACTGATCCTTTGTATGACTCGGCCAGTTTGTCGGTTGTGTCTATAACTGGTTTCATGTCACAGAAATGCCCTGTAGGTCAACTGCTGTGAAGGTTGAAGTTACTCTTGCATCTGTGGCCAGTAAACAAGGGGGCCTTCTTAATGAGACAAGCCCTTTGAGCGGTCCCACAATCACTGCAGACATATAAAAACAGCGGGCCTTCCATCCAGTGAGCACATTTTAAAACTTATTTCAGTTTTGTCAGGTGTTAAAAGTTGGTTTCTTAAAATGAACAACAGACTGAACAGGTTTGACAGTTTCTAGTCCATTGTAATTGGGTTATTTTTCCCGTGTAGTTTCACCATTATTGATTTGGATGATTGGAAATGCTGAATTTGCGTCACTTACTGCGATTTCTGTTATCCACTGCATGAAGGGAGCAACTTCAAGCCTAAATAACACGAGTCAAAAATCTCCTGAAGGAGATGTGCATCTCATTTGTCAAGTAATTCTTGTACTGTTTGACTGGGAAAATTATTCAACATGAGTGTGTTTCTTCGACCTTCACTGGTTGTATGTAGCTAGAGCATTCATATTTAATGCAGTTTTAAAGGGGCAAGTGACTTTATTTAAAAACATTTGTAGTTACAATGTTTATTTTTAAATGCACTTTGACAGATTCTTAGTGACATGTTGAGATTCTGCTGACCAACAAACTTTGAAAATGAATTAAAATTCATTACCACTGCACTTCGAATCTTCTCAGTATTGAAATGCATGACTCAAGTAACACAAGGTTGATGATAACAGTGGCTGCATGTGCGGTAATTTCCCCTCGCACACACCTATACTTATTTGTTCATCCATAATGACGTCTTTGACATTTTGATTATTTGGGATAAATTTTCAGACCCACCTTGAGGTGTAAATAAGGGAGAACACGAGTTGACATGTTGGAATAAATGATTGTAAAACATAAGTCAGCACATGTGATGGTGATGGAGCCCCCACCCATTCTGAGCTCAGTAGTAATTACACGAGAGAATTAAGCAATCGGTCTCAAAAATAAAAAAAAATGCTTAGTTGCCACGCTGGGCTTTACTTAATTGCTTAAATGTTACAAACATTGTAAGTCTCCTCTTGAAGCATAATTAACAACTTATTTAGTGTTACTGTTGTCTTAATAAATGTTGATTAAAATTGATTGAATAAAATGGCTTTTCTTTATGATTCTTTATGAGCCGAGTCGCTTCATAATTGGTATCTATAGCAAAAAGTTGCTCTTGGGGCCTTTTTGTCCCAAAGAAGAAAAGGTGTCGACGCTTCAAAAGGTACTGCTAGTCTACTAGTGCCTACCTCCAGGAGGATTTTTTAACAGATGGATGGAAATTGGGACAACTCTTCAGAATGGAAACGGATATCGGCGATATAATTATATGCCCCAAACAGCACCCTCCCCAATCAAAACCTTGATACGCGACTACTTAAATGTTCAACAAAGGCTTGGATCAACGTAAGGGATGGGGGCTATGTATTCCCTACTTCCGTCCGGGGGTTATAGAATCCCAATTTTTTTTTATAAAGAGAGAAAGTTTTGAAAAAAATCACGTGATATGAAATGTCGTCGGAAAGTGAGCTAAAATATGCACGATTAAATCCGTTAACCAACCGTAGATTCTCAAAATAAAATTTCGGGTGGAGAAAGGACCTGGGTGTTTACGAGGGGACGTTCAGCCCCCACTGACTTCCCCCCCAGTTTTTGGAAATATACGTGGGTTTCAGGTGCCATGACGCAATCGAATCCCAGCCCCGGGGCCCCACCGCAAGGGCGTGTCAGAGCTAGTCTTCGCTCGGGAAATGCGCAAGAACGCCCCTGTAGTAGACGTAGCCGTAGTCCCATCCCAGAAGTGCCTTTCGGACACGGATATTGCGGTCGGTCGTGTGTGGCCCACTTCACAATCGTCAGAGCCATATGACAGACACATGACCTGATCGTACGATTAACCAATGCACGACGAGATCGGAATGTCAGCCGCTAGCACTACGTTGTGCTTAAGACTCGCGCTTGTAGTACGTACGTGCATGCAAGACATGTCAGGGTGTTCCACCCATCCATGTTGAGTTTAAATGCTGCCGAGAGCGTTTTGACCCAGTTCACATAAATCAGGATCACCATTGAAGTGTTTCGTTTTTACCATGACAAATCCCTGTGTGCGAGTGAGATTCTCAGCCCAACGATGGATTTTTGGAACTTGTATCTAACGTCGAATTTCACGCTGGGTCTGGCGTATTTTTTCGTGTGCGTTGAGATCGTGTGCTTGTATGTATTCCACTTGGTGGCCATTCTATACATGTAAGTACATATATCGTGCATCATTATGCACCGCTATCATTCAGCCAGCAACGTGTCATCTTCTGACACATCACGCTAACTTAAAAAAGGTTTAGACCAGGCTACGTGTGGAGTGGCCAGATGACACTTACTGAATATGATTTATATGGGTAGTACCACCTCAGTTGTTAACCTGTTCCAGTCATGCCAGTCTACAGCCAAGCTTTGAGTCTTTCCGATAATCACGGTGCAGCATTTTTCAGGTTTAAACACATCAATCATGTGTCCTACCAGTCCTCGAGCAGTTTTAGGTCATTTTGCAGTATCTTTTTTTTTATTTGATCAGCAGTAACCAGGGTGTTTAAAGTACAGTTGTCTGCAAACAATCTTGTTTGACAGATTGACAGATTGTTTACATACAGGAGAAACCACAGTGTCCATAAAAGTTCAATTTAGGAGGGGAAAAAAGCAAGTCGTTTACTTGGAAAACAGTTAAAATTTTTCAGACCAGTCTCAGGGTTTGTGCATGGGGTGCCGAGTGGCATCCGTATGTGGAATTCTTTACTTCCCCTTCTTGGATCAATCTGGAGAAATCAGTGATGCATGCATACAGCTTCTCAGCCTTATCCAGTGACAAAGGTGTCATCACAAAGTTCGTCTAAGTTAGGCAACATGGCAAGGGTAATCTGCCCTTCACATCAGACATGTCCGAGCGAATGGTTAAGGACGAGAAGGGAAGGGTAGGACATGCGTTGCACGACTTGCTGGAAAAGCTCAAGTGTTGCCACTGGAGTAACTTGAGTCTTTGCTAAACTTTCTGTCTAGCCGTTAACTTTTACTCCAAGGCAGATTCCCTAGACAGATAATGAAAAATAGACTTGTTGAGACCAACATGAATTTAGAACTTGTATGAGATGGATGCAGTTGCACAACAGTGTAAGTATTGTCACACAATGTACATGTAGGTTTATGATTGACCCAGAAATTTTTGTAATCATTAATGCAACATGTTTCCAGAGCTATGCAATCACACGTATGAAGCCAAACCACGGTTCACAACTGTGCACAATGCATGACATTCAGATGCTCAACCAACTATAAAACCTTCACATGTGAAATTAGGCTCCTGTAACATTCGGGCTTTATGTTCTTTTAAAAAAAACACCTCCCTGCCCACAATTTCGACCCGGGATTCGAAACCACACCCCATGCATCACAAACCATTATGTTGTAACTGCTTGACTACTGCAATTCACACAGGTTACGACATTTTCACTGTTGATATAACGCTAAACGGCTGCAAAGCGAGTCTAATACACATTGGGCATGCGTAACACAAACACAACCATCATGGTTTGGCTTCATACGTTTGGTTGCATCTCTGTTTCCAAGCTGCAGCCAGCGATCTGTCGGACATGTTGTATACCGAGGAATATTGCTTTTGGATTGCTTCTCATTTCTCCCTTTCTAAGAAGAATGACAAGCTACATACCGGTAGCTGCAGGGGTACGAAGCACCAAGCCCTACAGCTTTCCAAATGTTCTTAAATTTAACATTTCTACAAGGTTTTCTGCACTGTGAGGGTCCCAAATGATCACTTTTTGCTGGATGGGTTACCCTTACCGTAATAATTTTATAAATAGCTAAGGGATTAATTGGCCCCATGCCTAATCAACTGATTACCTTTTCTTTTTTCATGTTTTACATTTGGAGATTTTGTTTCAAAAGGGGAAGTCAGGCCTGAGATTTGACTACAGGATTGACTAAGATTGCAATCAATCAACAAGTGACGCCTAGCATATCAGTAGTTACATGTACGTGTCATGTAACTGTATAATCCTTTTAGCAGGCGTTGGCACATAGACCGTTATACCATGGAGGAAAAAAAGCACATGATTAGACGCACGCACATGTATGCCTGTGCGTGACTTCATCTGTGACCTTGGTGCGCCCACACATCCTGGTGACTGTATCATGTGTATCACTTCTCTAGTTGTCGCGAGACATTGAAAGTCAAGCCTGAACAAAAGGCGTATGGTATTTCCCCCTATGTTTTGCTACATTGCACGGCCCAAAGTGTTGGGCCCGCGGGGTTTGATATCTTTACTGTCTCCCTTTGGAAATGTCAGGAATGTTCTCTGTTTTCGCAAGCAGACAACTTGGCTTGTTTCACTACTCTCTTGTAGCTGTCGGTGCAGAGTTCATCAAGATTGTGTCAACTTGCTGTCTTGTCTTCAACACAAACAGTTGTGGATTTTGCTGATTTTTACCAAGGTGTGACGACTGATGTAATGTATTGATGATAAGTCTCATACAAACACCCTGCCTCAGCCTGCGATCTTTATGTGAGTGCTGTCCCACTTGTAGTTTGGCCAGCCCAGTTGCAAGGCTATAATTTAGATCATCCCCACTGTAACAGGGACTGGCCTAATAGGCCGAGCTCAGTTCAGGTCAGGCCTAAATCATAAAATATACAAAGTATAGACAAAAATTAGGAGGGCCTAAATCAAACCTTGATAATTGCCTGGGGGCATTGCTTAGTACCGTCAAATTTATCATGGCTGAAATGAATTCGCTGCTTCTGGTAGAGCTTGATAAAGATCTGCATTGCCCCCTACCGTCAGTGTCAACTTGCACACGTAAATCCGACTTTTGGGTACACGTATGACAACTGTTGTTATTGTTATTTATTTGTTTTATTGACCCACACTTCAGGGCCAATAAGCCAAACTGCTTGTGCATGTACATGTACATCATAAACAGGTACACAAAACAAGATTTAAAAACCATGAAAGATTAAACATTTAAACGCTTACATGTTAATGACAATTAAATTATTGTAAAATACATACAAACATACATGTACGTTAGAATATTCTGTTTTAAATTAGCCTTAAAATGCATATAAAATTTGCAGCATATCTAATTATTTAAAATAGCAAAAGCTTAAAGGAAAAAAGACAGTACATGTAAATCTAGAAAGATGAAAAAGGGAAGAGGTTATTCAGTAACTGGACTTTATAAAGTGATTTTGTGCTTCGCCCGTAAATTTCATCATATTGCTTCATGTATGAGTTTTGTCAAGTACGTTGTACGATATTGCACTGCTAGCACTGCTAGCGCCAATGTTCACTTAAATTGATTGAAATGGTGCTTTCCTCTGAGGATCACTTTGCATTTATTCTGTCTTTCTGTCCAACCAATTTGTAGCCAGCATTGAATTTCCAACTTGAGCACTCAGAGCATTGGCCATTGTTGTCAGGAAATCAGGCTTTATGGCTAACACGTACCCCGGTTACTTGATTTATAGTTAGGTTTGTGGAGACACCGTATGGATTATCTCTTTTGTGGCATACATGTACATGTAGCTAGTACATGAGTAATCTTTCCCCCATTTGGAGGTTATCTCTGCAAACCTCCTACCTATTGTAGATCCACTATGCAAACCTGCAAGCATTACTTGCTTTGTAGTTTTTCACATTTGTAGTTTTGGTTGAGAGTAGTGGATACCGTACAGCATTATGAGACTGCAACTTCGCCGCTGCTTTTGTAGTGAAACAGCAAAAGATTCAAAGGTCACAAAGATCATGAATTAACCACTTTAATGCTTCATGGCCTTCAGGATATGTCTGGATACTCTTGGGAATAGAGATACATGTACATGTATGATGACACGTAGGCTTAAACTTCCAAGTTATTGGAAGTAATCCTATGCGGAATGTGCATGCATGAAACTTTCTCTTAAAAATCTGGCCATTTTTTGATCGTTACTCTGGTGTGGATTTGGCACACTGCCAGTTTGCATTCTGCCTTGCTGTCAGACTTTACAACACACCTCGTGTATATACATGTATGCTTGTATTCTTGTCGTGCAGCAGGGCAGTATGGTAAAACTGTTGCAGTTTTGAATTCGGTTTGAAATCCTTTCAGTGAGCAAACTTGAAGAGTCTCGCAGGTTGTTAGTTGAGAGTAGGAAAGTTAGCCAACAAGTTAACCAATCAAATGGTTCATGTACATGTACATTCATGTACATGTATCTGGCATTTGATGATGTGTATGACCAAATACATGTATTCTGTTAGAGATCTGTTCAACCTCCCATCTGCGATATACATGTATCCGAAGACAGGAAACTATCAAGAACACACTGCTGGCATTGTGTTGGTTACTATCAACCTTGCCAATAGTTTGTTTCCTGTGGCTTATTTGCCTGCATTTCAAGTACCAGTACATGTCCATGGTTAATGTAGCAGTTGAACATGTAGATACCTAGATGATTACCCTCATGTTAAAGGTCATTTATTAGGCAGTGATGCTTTTTCACACCCTACGTACATGTGGTGTACACTATCCATCTGAGAGGTTTGGGGGCCATAGTTGGACATTTTCTTGGGCAGACTGAGAGACTGTGTCTCTAGCTGGTGGGTAATTCCGGAAATTAGGGGTCCAAAAGTGATTTAAAACTATTACTATTTGTTTGGCAGGTAATTTGCATTAATTAATCACTCTTGGAAATTAGAAAATATGTTCTTAACTTACAAAATCATATGTCAGGTGTGATAGGGAAATGGACCCCTAATTTCTGGAATTACCCTGATAGATACAGAAAAGAACTTTACAAAGAACTTTGGAGAAAGACATGATGAGCATTGACAAAAAATGGTAACTGGCAGTGAAATCCAGTTAATTTTACTGCATGCGTCCAGGGTTCATACATGTATCAAGTAACCATATTTCACCTTTGTTTATCCAGAAAATTATACATGCACAGAAAGCCAAGCAACGTAGTCAGAGAAGAACTGCCTGGGGTTACAATACTCAAGCCGTTAGTCGGTGTAGATGCCAACCTAGAAGACAACTTAGAAACATTCTTTAATTTGGATTATCCGAGGGTAAGTCGAAAGCCAGAGCTCTAGGATGCATAATGTAAGCAATGAGGCCAGAGGCAAGACACAAGTTGTTTCTGGTCCAGTGGATTTTGGACGAGTTTTCCATTGTCATGGCTCATAATTTCTCAGCAAAATACTTTGTGATACTGTGAAGTTGTAAATAGCAGAACATCCCTAGCCATCCCATTTGTCTGAAAACAAAGGCTACTGGTGAAAGGTTAGTTCAGAAGAAGCATCTTTGAAACTTTGAGCCATCTGGGCAAAACTTTTAAAAATCTTTCCTAGTTTTTCCCAGCCTACTGGAAGGGAAAGAGGAATTTCTTAAATTCAGGATCGCCAGAAACAAAACTGATTTATTTGTAGTTAACCGTACGGCACTGGGATTCTTTTGTCAGGTACACGCACATGTAGAAGGATTTGAATCTGTGAAGTTGACTTATTTTCCTAACGGTCTCCAACCTTCCAACTCTTAAAGGATGTAGGACTATCAAACAAGTTCGTTGTCCTACAGTACATGTACGTGATTTTTGTTCTTACGTGCTGCAGTATGAGCTCATATTTTGCATACAAGATGAGAAGGACCCCGCTTGTAAAACGGTGGAAGCTCTCATGGGAAAGTACCCTCAGGTAGACGCGAGGCTTTTTCTGGGTGAGTAACACATCCCCTGCACTGGATTCGAGCCAGCCACCTGATCCTGGCAAGATGGTTAAGACGTCTGCACTAGTAAGCAGAAGTGTCGCGTATAAATCCCACCCAAGTGAGCTAGTGATTTTTTTTTCAACATACCGATAAAGAATATGGTGTGAATATATATGCTACGGTGTAAGGATAAAGCCTAATTTAGAATTAGCATTAATCCAGTGCGGAGCCAAAATTACTGTCATTTTTCAGTATCTAATAAAATGCACCAATGTATTATTATCCCTTCTTCATTGGGCTCACAGTGTCAGAATGTTTCTGAATCCATCTCAGCTCCTGCTGCATACCGTTCAATGTTGCCATTTCAGGCTCACGTGGTTGTCAACACAATTATTATTATCAGCACTCACAGGTACCCATTTACTCCATGTTGGAGAGAGGCGCGCAGGAGTGAAGTGACCTGCCCAAGGTCTACAACATGTAACCACCTGCTAAGATTCGAACCCCCATCCCCCATGATCGGGAGCTATATACATGTATATGTAAATGTATTAAACACCACTCACTCCACACACCCCAAACACGACTAGATTGTCTTGTATTTGCAGGTGGCTCCAGGATTGGCATGAATCCCAAACTAAACAACCTAATGCCTGGCTACAGCGCTGCTCAGTATGACCTCATCATGATCAGCGACAGTGGAATTAGGGGTAAGCTCATGCACGTGTTTGGAAATACAGATCAGAGGTGATCTCCTTGAAACATTATCTTTCCCTATCCCTCATGGTATTTGGAAATGTTTAAAACATGAACAGAGCGAAATGCAAACAGGCCGGAAGCAATGCAAGAGATGATGGTCACAAAACAGGAATGAAGCAAGATTTCATCTCTGGAACATGAAAAACAGTCGCACTTTTTCATTCTCAACTCAGACAACTTTCCTGTGCATCAATTTTTCCACAAATCTACCATTATTCTCAGCTAGTGACACGTGCGCAGGCCCAGTATGGACGGGCTTGCTGCTTGTATCTCCCTGATCTCGCCAAATCGTCAAACTCCTTGTATGAGCATTTGCACTGGACATAAAAGCATGGAAAGAATTGTGGAGACAAACTGGTCCCCCTCTCTACTCAATTCACATTTCCCCAACAAGACACACTGTACGTCTGTTCAGTCATTTTCTCACAAAGTAAAAGCGCATAGTAACTGTTTGAATTTCTAGTTCTCTTGATTTCATGCATGTCTACTGTACATAATGTACATGTGTGCTGCTGCCTGATGTGTCATTTCTCTGAATGTCTGGTCCACAGTTTTCAGCAACACTTTGACAGAAATGGTGTGTAAAATGACCCCTGACGTGGGTTTAGTTCATGCCATACCGTATTGCTGTAATAGGAAAGGCTTTGGTGCTACTCTAGAAAAGGTGAGTGAGTAGAGAGAAAGAGCTGCAGAGTTTTTACACTCAGAAATATTGTTATGTGTACTTTTCATGGTAGTTTTATTTTAATTGTGTGTAAGCTGTGATTGGCTCTATGGGACATGACAGACATTGCTTAACCCTAACGACCCCAAACCTGCCATACTCCAACAGCAGGTTTTGTGAGGTGTTGGCAGGTTTGGTACCGTACGTGAGGAACTTGTTGTTGAATTTTGGGAGACTTGGGATGAAAGGCCCAGGGAGACGGTGTTGGATTCTGTGTGAGGGTGAACACACAGGGTTCATTGTCTGCAGTGTCTAGCTTGCTGTACCATGGACTTTGCTTGACTTTGGTACTGTTCAGTGCAAGTCATCCTATATTGCATAGACCCATCCATACCATATCACTCAAACTCCAACGGGCTCATTCTGTTGAAGTTTATCAGGTTTGGTACAGTAACCTGCATGAACAAGTACATAGACACGTACATGCACCTGTTGGATTTTGAGGTTCAGTGTGTTTTCTAGTGCAGGAAACCAGGGGGTTAGGGTTAATTGACATTTGAAGTGGGAGGAGTATGATTTCTGAGTTTTTCTCCTACATTTCAAGATTGTTTACTCTCTGGATTTGGAGGTTTAATCTGTCAAGGCTTTCTTCACTGTTTACAAAAAAGACCAACTGTGAGATTCAAAATCGTAGACATTTGTGAAAGAATTCATTTGTTGTTGCGTGACAAAGTCATGGCATTTGACTTTTTTTTCATTGTGACAGCCTTCTGTTGCATGGATTTTTTTCTTCCCTTAATAACCTCACCCTTGGAAATGGCACTGATTTTCAGTCCTTTTGCTGCTGAAACTCTCTTACAAATCGTTTGAACATTGGTTTTTGAGCCAACACGTACAGAAACCCCTCTATTCTGTGTTCCTCGAAACCCTACCCAGTTGGCCCGTTGGTTGAGTTGTAAGAGGCACTTGGCAATTCCCTTCAAAGCCATCTTTTGTGGGAATTTTTCTGCCTTTGAAACTGTACACAACCTGCTTTGTTGCATATTCAGGGTGAGGCATTGTTGCCTCCTTCACACTCTACTTCAATTTTAGATGAACTACCAAGGCTTTTCAGAGCCGTAAAATGAAAGGTTTTTTTGCACCGGTGTTGAGCGTGCTCTTTCAAACCCTCTCAACTGAAGAGTTTTGAAGGGTGAAAGTAAAACTGTGGAGAAGTGCACTTAGTGTAGAAATATTTATGCACAGCATGCATGTGGTCCTTATGTACAAAATTGTACAGTTGTGTTCTGAAACCAAAAGACCCCAATATAGACAACTGGCATATGCTTGTATACGTTTAAAATCATTTTTTATGATAATTGTGAGTTTATCTTTTGACATGGCTGATTGCATTCATCAATCACATTTGCCTGGTATGGTGTTTCTGTTCATGTACTTACTGCTGGACAGGTGTATACCCTTTGCATTAAATTTCAGTGTTTAAACCATTGCTTCACAACACATTATGTTGGAATGAGATCTACACGTGGGGTTCTTGAAAAAGAGAGATCCACAAATTCAGACTTTTCTGGGGGTCCAGTCCTTGCAGAAAATGTGAACAAATTTGAAAACCAGGAAAGGCAGCGGAGCTGTAGTTGTAACGCGCACAAACTTTTCTGCTTTGTTGTAGGCATATTTTGGTGGCCCCCATTGCCGGATGTATATATGCTGCAACATGGTGGGAGCCACCTGCGTGACGGGCATGTCCAATTTGATACGGAGGACTGTGCTGGAGGAGGCCGGGGGGTTCACGGAACTGGGCAAATACATATCGGAGGATTTCTACATGGGGGTTGCGGCCATCAAAAGGTAACTGTTGATGCCTGCCTCAATCAAGGGGCCCATGCAGGGGTGCGGCTCAGTGGGGACCGTGGCCCCCCTCTGATAAAGGGTGCCCCAGATTTTGGTTTTTAAAAAGTAATGTGATAAAAGGCCAATTTTTCCTTTCATAAAGCTTGTTAACAGTCCCTTAATGTAGCGTCACCCCTCAGCAAAAAATTTCCAAATTTCCACCCCCTTTTCCTCCTAAAATTTTGGCCCCCCCGAAAATATGGTTCTGGATCCATCATTCACCTCGATAGCACCTGTTGGAAAACCCAGAATGCCTAGCATTTCAAGAAAAATGTAAATATGCTAGAATTTCGGCTCTGTGGATGCGCACTTTCAGAGGAAGCATAAACCCAACACAAGTTTGCGTCATGAACATGTGCATGTACGTCTGCACGTAGTTCACTGCTATTCAGTACCAGCACTACCTTACAACAAACTGAACAAATGACAAGGTCATTAAATGTTAGTTCAAACATGCAAGGTGTGTTGCATGACTTTATGACATTGCCAGCCTTTAATGGGTCTTTGGGGCTGGAATGCTTTATTTTTGGCTTCTGTCCAACAAAGCTGAACAGAGTTTTCTGATGTTGTCAGCTTGTTAGCGTGATTATATAAGTGTCACTTTGTTGTTGGTCTGTGACGGAGATATCATGGTAAGGATTTAACAGTACTGCCAGTTTTTGGGTCACTGCAAAATATCCTGTCGAGTTTTTAGTATATTTTCCATGTAATACAAGAAAAAAAAATGTGAGCGAATCTAATGTAACATTACCAGGCAGTGGCAAGTACACTCACTTGAAACTCTAAGTTTCTTTAAGAGATATTTATTCGTAAAATGGGTATTGGCTGCAGTCATACACCTACGCTTTTTTCCTCAAACCTTGGGAAACCACCGCATGTAGAACTCCCTTGTTTTCGATGGAAATGAACCGGTAGCAGTTTCTACATTTGTATCCAGACGAGGGGACACAACAGAGAAGGTGTGTCGTTCAGGAAGACATGTTTCAGGAAGGTTTCAGATCCAGGCAGACAGTTTAAGCTTTCAGTTTTTTACCACCACTTAAGTTCAGTGAACGTGTAACCTGGTTTTCCAAACTCAAATGCATACATTTACATGTACGTGTCGATCATGTGAAGATTGAAAAAAAAAGGTGAAAACGTACGTGCACGTTCAGCTGCGCCTGACAGTTGTAAAGATTGTCAAGCATGCATTGTAGTATTGTGAACCAGGTCATGCTGTCGCTAAATTTTGTGTTGCCTTTTCATGTGCCAGTGGAAGAGACATGTATAAATGGACTTCTCTACTTTCTTTCATTCTTCCCAGCGGTCTTTCTACCAGGATAAGTAGCTTTCCCGCTATGCAGAATTCTGCCAACACCTCTCTAGAGTCGTTTGGTAAACGGATGGTCAGGTAGGCCAAACAAGATTAATTTTCACCATTGTGAGTAGTTGTAGCAAATAGTTAGGCATTTGAATTTTAAAAATATTTGAGGATCACCAGGCCCTGTGCAAAGTGACAGAGGCTGGGTTCCACTCTCCCCAATGCTGCGAAATCTTCCGGTGCTTCTGATGGATTACTATTAGCCTTGGATTATTCGGGGTAATACTGTGACTCTCTCTCTCCGGTTTGACTTACCCAGATGGACCACGGTTCGCACCTCCTCTGTTCCTTCCATTCTCATTCTGGAGCCCTTCTCCGAGGCGGTCCTGTGCGGACTGTGCTGCACGTTGGCCGTGTACTACCTCTTTGGCTGGGACCCCATTCTCTTCTTCATGGTGCACATGCTACAGTGGTTTATGCTGGACTACATCCAAATCCGCGCTCTTCAGGTGAGAGAAAGATTCTCCTCTAATCGTCAACTCTCAGTGGTGTAAACAGGTCTGTTGTCCTAAGGTTGAAACTAAGTGCCGCTTGAGGTGTCTACTCTGTGCATCAAAATGTGGACATGTCTTGCATCTTGTTCCATTGAGCTGGGTAACGGTAACGGTCAGGGAAAATGATGTTTCCTCGGAGGTTATAGTTGTAAGGAGCTGCACTACAGCGAAGTAATTATAATTGGTAGATCCTTGATCTTAAAAGAATGAAAATGTCCAGTTACAGCCCTTTTGTTTCTCAAAGTATCATTTACAGCTCAGCTATAGAAACTGTTCAAATATACCACACATTACTTAATTCGTAGTCAATCCACTGACGTCCATGTTAACCCCTTCGCTACGGAGGACTTCAACTACTGCACCATTGTGTGAGGATTAGTACATACCACACATACAGTCTATTCACCATGCAGCTGCTGGTTCAATGGGGCCTGCTGCCAGACAAAGCCCTCCATTCAGGGCATACCACAGCCCAGCAGTCGCGGTCTAAGTAATCCTGCCATGAAGGGGCTAATAATCCGAGTATACCATTGACTTTTAGAAGTGTCTTTCGTATTATCAATTTACATACAGTGGATTTGCAAAACAATTTTGACTGATGTAAGAGACTGGTTTCCCCCTGCACATTTTGAATGGAGCAATTGGGATCAGTTTGGAATGGCCGCTCAGTTTTTCACATTTTGTTCATCGGGATCTGTGATTCAGTTTTGAAAGAGACCACATGTGTGACCTGTTCTGTGAAAATGAGTAACAAGCCACCCGAGGCACTTTTGAGCGAGAGAACTTCGAAAGAATCGTGCACCATGGAAATCCATGGATACCGTTAACATTTTTACCCACACGGTGTCTGTTCTATCAGGATGTCAAACTGACTGATAACTCAAAAGTAAGAGCTAGACTGGCTATTTCTAATGCAAAGTAAAATAAAATTAGTGAAAAAATGGCCTTTTGACTCACTTTCCCAGAGCAGGTCACATTTTTCTGTGCTATGGATGTTTTAACAATTGAAGGATTCATTGTTCATTCCTCCTCAGTCAGGTTAATAAGATGTGTATGTGCGGTAGACATGCAACAGTGAAAGTTACGCTCTTGTTTGTTCATTCTGTAAGGCCTGCTCAATCTTGCATTCTGCCTGCTGAAACTGCCGCTTGTTTGATTGTGCTGACAGGTGGAACATCTTAATTGTTCGAAATTTGACTACATGGTTGCCTGGGTTTACCGAGAATGCACCGCACCGTTCTACTTCCTGAAGGGCTGCTTTAACAACAAGGTCAAGTGGCGGACGGGAACGTTTCGTGTCAAGTGGGGCGGCTACCTTGAGGAGGTGCACTGACCTCCCCCTCCACCCCACCAGCATAAGGATATTAAAGAGCAATTTCAAAAACCTTGGCCCCGACTTCACTCAAGTGCCATTTGAAGCTCTTGATAATTAACTTACCTTTGGATAACGGTATGTAACCCTGGCCATGTTTTACACTTTCATTCATGCAGAATTCTCGTATCTAAGATCTAGGTGTGAATGAGACCTGCTTTGTCTGGCACTCTCATTCCAGCAAGTGTGGCCTTGCAGGTTTAATGGACCATGTGCGTGTCAAGCTCATGTGGTGTAGTCCACGCACAGCCTTTTCCATCTCATCAGGATTGAAAATCCAACAAAAGTTTGAACGAGCACCAGGCACTCGACAGCGATTGTATTCAGCCCCGAATGGCACAGCTTGTGTAGGGTTACCTGTGTGCACAGAAAGGGTTAAAGACACACAGATACCAACTCAGACCATGTTGGTCGTCTTACACTTTCAAGTATATGTAGCTTAAAGGACCCATGCTGAGCTTAAGCATCCTACCATTAATGAGGATGTTGAAGATTGGGTCTAAAACTGGTGCTTAGCTTTAAGAAATGGCAGATTTCAATTATTGGTAGAATTAGTATGTGAACAGGTATTTGTCTAGCACCATGAGAGCTTGGATGAGTATAACCCCCATCTACCAAAACCAGGACTGAACTTGAGTTGGTGTATCAAGTAAATTCCTTTTGAAACGTGGAGTGATGCTTATGATCAAGTTACAATTTGTATTTTACACTGTCTCCTTTATCATGCATTCCCTGCCGCGTGGTGGAGGACCCTGATCTTGACTGGCTTGTTATGAGAACTAATGGCCGTAGTGGCTATTTGTACCCAAACGATCCACTGGGTCACCCTCCTTTCCTGGTCAGCAGTCAACTTCTGTAACCCTTGAATTGTATAGATGCCATCCCTTCTTGGAATATCCAACAAGCCCTTTGTTTCAGTTTCTGTTTTGCTTTGAGTGATAAATGTTTGGTTCTCAGTGTCCCTCATGCAAACAACTTTCTATTTGCTTTTACATCAAGTATTTAACTGTGAGATATCACACTCCTTGGAAATCTTCTTGCAGTAGTCAGTGCATTTTTCCTGGTTTTGATAGAGTGGGGTATCTACTGAGAGTTTCATGGGTGGTGCATCACACAAGAAAATTTCAAGGGTGACTCATTAGTTTGACCAGAGTGCCATGCGTGGAGATGTAAAACAGTCAGTGTTTGTCAGTAGTCAGAAATAATGTCAAATTGTATCACTGAGGACCACAGAAGTGTTGAAGAGTTGAAGAGTGTACTGTACACTGTTATGATTCCGATTCCTCCGTGAATTTTCCACGTGTTGAAATCATTGTGAGCCTTAGCCGTGTCTGGAACAGCCTTCCAGAGCTACGGCTAGGTCTAGTGTCTGCACGTCTCCGTGCATTTCTAATGGAGTTAAGACCTAGACCCAGCTCTAGACAACAGATTCGGATGCAGCCTTAGCCCATCGAAATGTTGCCACATATTGATGGTTCAGATCTGAAGATTCCATTCACCGTTGCATTACACGAGGCAGGGTTTTCAGACGAAGGGTTGTCTGGTGAACACCCTATTGTTCATTCCACACACCATCCTTTGTCATGCAGATGTACAGGCATGTACGAATACATACCATTAAAGAAATTTAGCCCCTCTGTTCTCCTTTGTGATTCTGAGCAACTTTGGATGACCAGCTTTTCAAACGCTGAATAAAACGGTGAGGGGCTTGTTCTCCCCATCTTGTACTGTGCACGCAGAGTACATGCTTTCGACCTAAATTTCCTTCGCTGCGTTGGATTTTCGGCCCAGTCCGAATGATAGCTGGAAGAGCAACATGCCCGTGGATGCAGGTTGGAAGAAATCTCTCCTCTGGGCATAGAGTTAGAGTAGTTTTTTAGTTAGATGAACAACTTGATAGTCATTAGGCAGAAATTTGTGACATATTCGTTGATGGATACACATGGTTGTACCCCCCAAAAATGTGCTACCTCAAAATTTATAACTTGACATATATTAAGTGAGATTTTATTGTGTAGAGTTGTTTGTGTCTCTTGCATTACATTCAAAACATTTCACTCCGTCGTGAACAATGACACGGGTACAGGTACCGATAATAACATTACTAGAATAGTGCATGGTGTAAACGGTGACATCAGAACACCAGGTGTTGGAGTGTTGTGTAGAAATAGTCGTATCTTGTTGCAGTTGGAGTAGATATCGGAACCTGTTTACCGTGCCTACTGCAGCAACCAAACACATCCGAAGATTTGTTCTAATCTCTGTTGTGGCAACAAGTAATGCAGTTGATTTGTTTTCTTTTTTCAGTTTTGCTGTCAAGGATATAGGCATTATTATTACATAATTATTATGCATGGTACTTCTTTTTTTTATTTATCAGCCGCCATTTTTTGGCAATCTTGAGTATCAATTTTAGGTATTAATTGTTTTGTAAATTTTGAATCAGAATTTTATCAAAGAAATAACTCATGAACTCAACTTTTTTTTAAATAATGCACAACTCCGGGAAAAACTGTGCTTGCCACTTTTAATCTCACTGTAATATATGCATTTTAGTGGTTCATTGATGGCAATGAATGATTACACGTGCACCATTTTAAAACATTGAACTGTCTTTACACATCTCTAAAGCGACTCTCTGAGCATTTGATCTTTCTTATAACCTTAACTGTTGAATAGCTTGAATTCTACATTGCAGAAATTTGACAGTTACTGTTTAAGAGCTGTGAGGAATCGAACTCATTGTGGGGCATTGTTATCAACTCAGTTTCCAGATCCCAGTAGAAGATGTTAGGTTCTGCAGATTTTTCAATTTAATGCTTTGTTCGTCTTCCGTTCTTCCTGGCCTGTTCAGTTGTACTGTCTTCCTGTCTACATAGATGCATGTACCACAAAGAAACTGAACATTTGAAACTTTTAAACCTTATGGACAATCTGACATAAAAGAAGTTTTACGTGAGTATGACAAGCTCCACAATGGTTGAGTACATACAATCACAGATGCTGTTAAACAGAAAAAGACTGAAAAGAAACTTTGCCGCAATTCATCCCCACAGAGCAGCAAGAGGAATCCACTGCCTCGACTGCTGTAGTCATGTGACCCAATCAGGTGACATGCTTAAAAGGTTTGTGACGGGAACTTACTTGGGGCATGCATGTAGAGAAAGTATGGTCGTGTACATGTAACCATGTCAGTTATTTGTGTTCAACTCTTGTAAGATACACTTTTACCAAGGGTTTATGTGCAGTACTGAAACATGTTATTTATGTCATATATTGTTTATTAATGTGGAACTGAAAGAAGGGTGAAGTTTTAAAAGGCTGATCGTTATAGTTTTTACACATTTTTGTATAAGCACCTGGTGTATGTTGTTTGCTGCATATTGTCATAGGTCATTACATGTATGTGTCAAATCAAACACTTTCGGGTCTTCGCACAGATTTTGTACCGGTAAATTTGCTGAAATTGTTCAGATCATATGAGGCCACAGGTTATTAAACTGTTGATGTATCAATTTTTCACTCTTTGAATGCCTGTATTTCTGGATAGGAATGTTGGAGATGATTTTTATGATTAAATTGAAGCTCATAAACTAAGAAACCCTTTCTATACTTGACTAGCCCTAAGTACATCTTGCGTGTAGCTTTATGTACAGTTTAATGCAATTTGACTGTACCTTACAAACCACATGACCCAAACACTTAAATTGTGGTTTCTGAGTTTTTCATCAGACCGTGCAGTTTCAGCCATTTTCAGAAAAATCTTTGAGATCAACCCTGGAATGTTTGATTTGACGTGGACAGAATGGCTCTTATTTTATTTCTTTTTACAGCTAAGGCCTACACCAGTTATGCTCCAATGACTTCGGTGTGCATACAGCTTAAGCCCAATTCACAATTTTAAAGATAATTGCGTCTCGACAAATTCTGCCTAGATTTAGGCATAATTTTTCTTCTTTTTATCCCATGTTACAAATCAGTTTATTGGTGATGTCAGCTGTGTATATCTCGTAACAATCTTTTTTACCTAACATGGTACCTTGTACAGTGTCACTCCTGGGCCACTGTAACTTGAATTTATACTCCCAAAGTACGAGCATTGCCCGTCTCAGAGTCAGTCCATTCAGTAGATTTGTAATGTCAGTCATTGTACATACAAATGAGGATGACTGCAATTACTTCCAAGTTTCAACTTGGCCTTTTCAACCTACCCCCATGAAGATTGCTGTTGAACTTGAATTCAGTGTGAGAGATTACAGCCGGCCACTGAAAGCATTGTGAGAATGGGGGAATTTTGACAATGCAGAAAATCTTTTCTCACTGTGCACGTTGGTCTTTATTTTCACATACTTCTTGCTGGTTCACCTGTAAAGTAGATAACGTGTGCTGAATTTTTCATTCTTAATGTAGGTTTTTTGAAGGCAAGCTTTGTCGAGTACATCAAAAGCAAGTATGAACATGGAATTGTGCTGTCCAATCAAATGTTTGCACTGTGGATTTGCAAGATTTGGCTGACATATTTCATGACGTCAGGTTGCCTCCTTCACATTTGCCTGAAAAATGAACTAGGCTGCATTTATCTGTCGAGATGCATTCAAACTAGTAGTGCACGTTTAAATATGTTCATTCAAAAGCAGCAGCTTTTGAGGAGGTTTTAGAAGAAAAACTAACATTTTCAGTGGATGGTAGCTTGAACTCCCACTGACTCCTGAAACATGTCATGGGTCAAGAATTAGAACTGTGTTTGTGTTTTGCAACACATTATTAGCGATAATTCCATCTGTTCCCTTTAATGGATTCAACAACTGCCACTTGGTGACATGGCTGAAGCTTTGAAAGTGGGCAAAGCTTGAAGAAGCTAGGAGTATTGTCATCAAAAAACAAAGAGATGGTGGGTATCCGCCGTAGGCAGAAGCACCCCCTCATTGGTTGGAAAGAGCCGTGTTGGTTGAGAGTGTTCATTTTGTTGGTAGCGAAGCGACCAAAATGCGTGCACTTCATTATTGTTTGTGAACCAGTGAAGTGCAGCTCCAACCAAAGGAGTCTGCACGAGGCTCATTACGTGAGGGTTTGGTTGAGAAGGAATTGTCATTTACATTCTACAAGTATAACACATGTAGATATTGTTACTTTTCCAAGTACATTTCACACGCATGGATTTCTTTTTAAAGTGGGCCCGCTGCTATATTCAATAATTTTCTGTCAGAATATTACTTATTGCTTATTGTTTTGTATTTCAGTGTTAAAGCAGCATTTTATATATTCATCTTAATTCTTTATAATACATTTTTATTTAAAGCATGCTTCATTTGTACTAAAACTGTGAGATCTTGGCTTAAGTTTTATTCCTGGCTAGCGATGACATAGGAAAGGAAATAGCTGTAGCCATTAGCAAGTAGCTTCCTTAAGGTATGCGTTTCCTCTGATTTGTTTCTTTACACTCATGATTAAGCATAAACCATCATACGCCTTGGCAGAATCCCACTTCTGCAACCGGAGGCTTGAGCTGAATGATATTTAAATTGTTGATGCGTTAGTCCAATGATTTACATTGTAAACTGAAAGGGCGTCGGCCCATGAAGGTTGTCGTAAGTGATAATTTTGCACTTGTAGAATAATGGAGAATGATGTTAAGCACAAGGTAGAATGGTGTTTGTTTGTTTTTAAATGATGATTTTTTGGTCAGTGGATTACAGGTTCTGTTTTTCCTTTAAGAAGTTATAGACAGTAAAGGATTTTCATGTATAGATGTACATGTAATCGTGTCATCTTGTTGGCACAGAGTAACGACTACAAGCAAGTTTTGTACACAGTACCATGTTCCAAAGTTGCTTCACACATATTTACCCTCCATACCTAGCGTGGACATTCCTTTGATTCTGTGCAGTTAAGAAACTCAGTGGAAATGCTTGTGTTTCTTTAACTGTGAACCATTTTCAGCTGGATTTTTGAAAAAAAAAAATTTCCTTGACTGTTCCTCTTTCTTTTACGACAGATAACCCTAACCCCGATGCCTTTAAATCTTTCTCAGAGAAGGGAAAGATGTCCTGTAGACGTGGCCCACAGAATGTCTTCCCTTCCTACATCGTAGGGACATCTTTTGTTTACGAGTCCACACTAGGCATGTAAGGTTAGTGCTCTGCTTCTGGAAGTACCAGGCATTCATCTGAGCACACCTTAATCGTGTAGTCCATTGGACAGTGCATCATGAGCCCATCTTTTGATTAAGCTCTTTGTTGATGGTGCTCTAAGGAACATTTTACTCTAGAAATTATTTGCTTTTGGTATGAAATCATTCAGTGTGATTTTTATCCCAATTAGAAAATGTTGGAAGAGGGAGACTGTGTGTTACACTTACAATATACTACTAGTCGTAGTTTTGACTGAAAATGGCCGAGGACGAATCAGTGATGGTCTTATCAAGATTGTTCCATACCTTAATAACTGCCATTCCTGCTTGCTCAAGCCATATTCATACATGACAAATATAGTTCTTGTGCATTTCATGACCTTGTAGCCCTGTCCTTATTTTTATGTTAGCTGTGCCATTACCAATGCCAGTCCTTCAGGAGTACATCTTGACATTATGTGTGCATGAATGTTTTAGGTGGGTGATAGTAGGCCGGCGTACTGTGTGCAATTGTAATAGCCGTCTGCTGTTAAGCTAAGTTGATTTGAACACAGTGCGAAGAAATGTGCTCGACAAAGATGATGAAAAATAACGTAATTCATGTAACATACCGGTACTGTAAGGAAACAAGACTGTAATGAATTAGTTTATCCTGTAATGAATTAGTTTGTACATGGATATAGTGTGTGTATATCTTGGCATTATTGGGTGAAATAAAGTTACTGACTTCTCACAGTATCTCATGAAAGTGTATGCGTGCTTCTCTTGCATTAAAAAAACCCCAATGACAGATAAGGTATACATGTATGTAATGGAATATTAAAATGGAGCATGTTATGAATTTCTGACAAATTGCGGCCAGGGGGTGTTCCAGGTTGTCATATTTCTCACAAACTATTTCAACTGAAATTGATAATTATCTGAGTCAAGTGTTCAGGGTACCCTTTGCTGAATGTTGATGTTGCTATAACACCACCTGAGCACCATTGTAATAGTCGGAGGACCATTGAGCTACATGAGTGAAAAAAGTGACAGTTAATTGATTCAACCCTAGAGCTACGTACAGGATATCGTTCAAGCGTCTTGGAACTTATGAATTTGAATATTCACCTTGCAACTTTGTAAAACAAAGGACTTTTTAAAAATTTAGGCAAAGATTGAACTGATTTTCCATATAATGAATGCTGGGGTAAGTCTGCCATAACTGAGGGTTCTAAATGTGAAACTGATCAGTCAACTTGAAGTAACTTGTTTGTTGTTAGCTACATGAATATTACTCCTGGTATCTCAGCACCCGCATTCGAAAATTGATACTGCGCCTCATTTCTTTTTTATTTTATCAAAAATTTCATTTAAAAAATATCCAGCAAATGTCAAAGGAGAAATTTATTATTGTTATTTTTCACTGTAACAGGAAGTCTGAATCTCATCCTGTTGTCTTGATTACTACAGGATGGTTGCGGTGCCTATCCTGATTAAGTGGTTACCCCTTAATTTTAGATAACTGTTTTGATATTACTCAAATTCTCCAGACTGTCCTGCTTCATATCCAAGTCAAAACTTGTTTCCACAATACCAGAAATTGAGGGCTCTATCTTTTTTTGACTCCCGGCTGGGCAGCTTAACTTATATTTCACTGGCCCACGGGAAGTTTCACTTGCCCACTGGCCATTTGTTCTAAGCTAATCTTAACTTTGACTTTTTCCAACTTAATTTTTTTCAGCAATTACTGTGCCCAGAGTCGTGCTGCTGACTGGAGGCTTCAACACTATTGCAATTTATAATAAAACACACGTAAAATCCAAGTTCACAATGTTTGCAAACTTTGTTGTATTAACTTTCATAAATAAGACAACACTTTCAAGCAGGTAGGTGTTTGTTAAGTAGCTGGCTTGGCAAGTAAAAGAAAGCATGTTACAAGCCCGCAGCAGATTTTACTAAAATTTGTATGCTGGTCTAGTGCTAGGGTTAAAGGTCTGGCTGTATACCTCATTATTATTCAGTTTGGAGCCTAAAAAATCCACTGGACGTAAGGGTAATCTGAAAAAAAATGCCGTATTGAACTTTTCAAAAAGTTCAGAGAAACAAGAATTACTTTCATGTGGCCTTTAAATCGAAAGGTTCAGTAAGCTTTTTCTCAAAGCTCGGCTCTGTTATGTGAGCGACTAATTCTTGGAAACCATTTATGGCTCTTTTGGTATTCATTTGAATGAAAACTAAGACACCTATATTTGGCTTTGTATCATATAGTGTTATGATTGTGTTACTGCTGCATAACTTCCGTGCATACGCAGCAGAATTATTTTTTGGTCATTAAAAATCAGCCAAACGGAAATTGGTCGGAATCTGATAAATGGTACATTCTGAGAGGCGCGCCCTCATTCGATGATCATTCATCAGATTACTCCATGCAAGTACGTCGCAGATGAAAACGTCCCAGGTCTATACCATTGCAGACCATGGCATCGTTGTCATTGAGAGAAATGTTGGCCGATTATCCTCTCCACGAAAGCGTTTTTAACAACGACTTGAAAAGACTTTCTGCCCTTCTGCGTACACGCGATGTGTCTGAAAAAGATGTCCACGGTATGAATACTTTTCCTTTTTGTTAGTGGGCGGTCCCCAGACCTAGTGTTCTCCTCGTTGGCCATGTTTGTTCAGCATGTTCAGGGCCGAACACTGAACGTCAACACAATGCAACACAGCTTTTGTGATGGAAACGAAATGTCTTATGTAAGCCTGGGCTAATTCTTTTGAACATTATTCAGTCGTCTAATGCGACAGTAGCCTTATTGGAGAGGTGAAATTTGTTGATTTCCTCAGTTCCTGAAATTCATGATGTTCTTGCATCCGGGGTTTTCCCAAGAATTTGTTGAAATCCATAGGCCTAAACATGCTAAAGGTGAAGCCAGCATATTTTGAGAACTCAAAGTCACTATTCCGTCATACTCCGTGTGACTTTAAACCAATACATTTTACATTGTGTTGTAATGCTATGGGTTTTTGGAATCGAACTTATTCACAGGTGGATCAAAGCTGTGATTCAAATTTCAATCAAATTTTAAGAAGATTTCCAAATGGACGCCAGTAATTATTCCCTACAGTGACCTGGTAGCCACCAGAAATCAAAAACATGTCAAGAAAAGTACAAGAGGGAAAAAAACAAGTTGTTTACATAGAAAACACAGTTTTTCAGATGAGTCCCATGGGACATGTGCACAGGGTTTCAAGTGGCATGTGTATATGGAACTCTTTCCCAAATTATCCCCTGACAAAAAACCTGAGTATAGCACTTAAAAAGGGGGAAACAAGGTTTCAGAGCATGAGACTGAGTTTTTTTTTTAATGAGATTTTTGTTCACCAATTTCTCCCTTCTACCCATCAACGATGGCTCCGTTCTTGCCGCTTGTGTTTATGAGATTGTGCATGCGTCGAGTCCAATGGCTGCACTTGCTCCGCATGTTGGTTCGATCATGTTAAAATATTTTCAGGCTTTACGTGCTATGTTGGTAACATGGTGTTTTCATGTGAGACTACAACATCCACTAGTATTGAACACTGGCTACAGCTCTTCGCCATTTGATCACAGTTTGAAGCCGTAGTCATAGGAAACGCGACCAGAACGTGATTCTGCCCTCATGTGCGACCCTATACAAACCCATGTGTTAACTCAGTAGTACACCCGCAGTGGTTGGTGAACATATGTGCCCAGCCATGTTCTTTGAAAAGGTTTGATGTGCAAAGCAAAGATTATGAGTGGTTTTTATCATCGTTGGAGGCCGATATAAAAATCCTTAATTAACAGACGGACTGTTCGAATATTTCCCCTTGCAGCATGTCCAAAAAAGTTGCAGCAATCAGGGCCATGGTTGCTGGAAATATTCAGTATTCGCTTAGGGATAACAAATGGCACGGAGTGCACCAATCTGGCTATTTGCACTGTCTGCTCCAAAAACACGAGTCACCCATAAGGAAGACGTATTTAAATTGGAAGACAGATTATTAACAGAGTTAGCCACTGGATTTTAGAACTGAAAGGTTCCCAGTAAATTCCAGAAGAAGATTTGCATTGTGATATAAGATTGTATCTGATTCTGTGTTTCTTAATTGTTAAGGTTTTGTTTCTTACAACAGGCAACACTGCACTCCACTTGGCTGCGATGCTTGGCCACAAAGGTATGTACACAAGTGCAAGCGTGCGAGGAAACGTTTTGTATGATTGATTGATTAATTAGTACAATTACCGGATTACGTTGCGCTGTCAGTCAATCCTGTATGAAATTGCCGACTTGACTTCCCTGTTTTGACACAGTCTTCTGCAAGCGTTAATCAGAAAGAAAATTCAATCGTTTGAAGGTGGAATTGTCGATAGATCGTAGAAAAAGGTCAAGCAATTGCACTGAAAGTGACAGCTCTTACTATGACGTGGAACGATTGCACAGAGATGGAGCGACTGTGCAGAGCGACTGATCAAGCCTAGCAACAGTACTGTGATAAGTTGGATACCGTACGTAATAACCGAGAATGATTAAGCTCTGGTTCTCTTTGTCAGTCTCACTCTCGTTTCTCATATTTCAAGTTCATAGACTAATAATCCAAGGAGACTCCATTACTCTGCTAGCAACACATTCATGGTTGTTTATATGCTCGCATTTTTGGCAAGATGCAGCACCTTATTGGCCGAAGAAATACATGTGTATGCATTTAACATACATGTATGTGCACCTCTGCCAATAGGTGTGGTACGACCACAGTAATGGCTTCAGAATCTGGTGACTGGGCTAGCCTAGACAGTTCATGCCTTCTGTCTAGAAAGCGGTACAGCTGTTCAAAATCCTTGGGCCATTGTACGTGTAGACTTAGGTTTCAACTTGAACATTTCAATCACAGCCATTCATTCCATGAGTGGGAAAGGTTGGAAACTACTCTTCTCGTGCCAAATGAGCTTAGAAACGGTACCTGTGAAGAACCAAGAGTCTGCTTTGTCCTCCAACCTTTGCCCACTGAAGTTTTCTAGAAAGAATTGGGATATATTGTACCTGTACATTTGGGTGAAGTTTGAGTTCGTATGTTCCATGTATACATCAAACTCTGATTGAGTGTGCACGTTTTTTGGTTTCAGTTTACGTAATAAGGAGTAAGTTTTTCATCCAGAAATATGGCAAGCAGATACACCAGTGATTTGGGATGGGAACTGCGATATACAAGCCCATGTACACATGTACACATGCATCGTTTATGTTATTGTGACTCAGTTACCATCTGCTCATCAATGGCAGGTGGTGCCAGTCAGCTGGCAAGCTTGGAATCTTCTTAATTAAAATAATCAATCAGTGCACAGATGATTAATTATGAATGGGTTAAAACACACATGCTTAAGTCAATGGAAATCTGTAGTGTTACCTAATCTGAATCATGACTTGAAACAGCATAAATTATGTACATGCACATGCACATGATATAAAGGCATATAATTACATGTACATATACTGTGTGTCAGTATGTATAGAATATTCTCATATTGCCTACCATTCGTGTGGGCGGCCGAAGGTTACAGAAACATCACCCTTTTGTTGGTGTTTGACTCGTCTTCCAAACCCATGTTTGCCCATTGTGTTCAAAAAGGGTCAATTTTTTTCATTCAGTATTTTGTAGTGGTGTGTTTTATTTGATGCGTGTTCACCTGCGTGAGAGAATGAAAATTAGTTGAGTACATTCTTTTGTATTCGTTCTGATGGCCAGCCGTAGTTTCACCAACCATTAACATGGAAAAAGAAAGCAGATAACCTGTGTACAAATGGTTTTACAATATGTACTACTATTCCTTTCCTTTCTCTTCCAAAAGTTGCTGGTACCATTCGTTGCATATACATGTAATTCATCAGCGCCACACAAATCTTCCACCAAGAATACAACATAAGAACAGATTCATGAGGAAATGCCATCTTCCTATGCAGTATTTCCCATGTTTACTGTGACGCAGTAGTGGCCCGTCCCCCTGCCAATCGCTCAGGGGTGACCAGACTGCTATGACACCATGGCAAACTGTACATGTGGGTCACATGGAAATGATTTGCTAGTGGCAGGTACATGTCCTTTTGTTGATCACCTGATGTTCACATTACCTGCCTGTTGTGGACGTTGCTTTGTTCTCATGAAGTTAAGAGCACTGGATGAAGAGAAAATACCCACTTCTCTTGTACAGTCTCTTTGTAAGCTACACGTGGCCTTTTGATGATTGTTTCCTTGACTGTTCCCCTTCATTTTGCTCCAGATGAATTCAACAGATACGTGTATCTACCGGGTATATTCAGATATTTAATGCTCAGTTTTTGTCTGGTTTTCATTGTTATCTCTGTGCATCGTCCTCGTTTTTCTTTGTTTCATCAGTTTGGCTTAAAATAATTACACCGTGTTGGTTTTTTGGTTTATCTGTCTTTAGTTTGTATGTCTTCTTGTGTCTACTTTTTTTGTTTGCGTTTGTGATTGCCTTGTGTGGTTGGTCCAGGATGTTCCACCTACAAGCCTAGGCTTGTGTCAGCAGCCTTGTAGTCTTCTATCATATCTATTATTCCCCTATCTGTTAACTTTAATTCAATAAATTAGCTTCATCTTGTTATTTTATTACTGATGGTACTTAAATGACTTTTTTTCTTTACCAGTATAGAGGTTACAGTATGTGTTGACGTGTCCTCGGAGGGCAGGAGCTTTTATCATTAGGATAGGCTTGAGTAAACCTTTAGCGTACCCCTTGTAACTAAATTGAAATAACAAAACCAGCCTCTGAGGCACCATGGAGACGCCAGCAACGGACAACCTCTGTTGTACCGTACTTTATATTATTCCACTCTGTATTGGTTTATTGCAGAGTTTGAAACATATGTCTGTCGAATTGAATTGAGTTAAAAAAATACCTCTAAACCTGTTTTCCAGAAAGGGGTAACTTTGTGTGGACTGGGCTCAGTTTGCACAAGGATCTCTTTTGTTCACAGGTCTACATTAGGTATATAAGGCTGGCACGCAGCGGTGCTCTGGCAAAACGTGTCCAATTTAAAGTCATTGCTTATATTTGAGTTGGTATTTGACATGTTCCAGCATCATAACAAATTTCTGTGCACGGCTAACTGTGAGACTGAAGGAACTGAAAATATTTTACCAATGAAATCGTAAAGACACGGTGCCCTTTTTTGGTCATATTGCAGAATGTATACATTTGTTGCTCACCCACGATGCCCCGGTCAGGTTAAAAAATGCACTGGGATGGAATTCACTAGCAGAAGCGGTCAGCTATGGAGATAGGCCAACAAGTAAGTGCTAATCTGCATCATGAGATGAAGCAGGCTGTGAAATCATCAACAAAGTTTCTCCATTTTTTTCAGTCGCATTTAGCTTCACTGTTTAGTATCTTGTAATTGCTCATTTTTAGGGCATTTCAAAGCCTACTGCCATCGTTTTTCATGCTGTAGACTGATTTTAATGCTGTATATGTGTCTGCCCTCTGTGCCAAAAAGTTGAAATAAATAAAACAATTGTTTTTTTTAGTTAGTTATTGTACTCTAGCCTTGAAACTACTAATTGATGTGTATCGGAATGACAGCAAGTAAACTGAAATTTACATTTTGAAGTTGTTTGTAAATACCGATGTGCCTTCATTAGGTAGAGAAATCTTGTTTGTTTAAGCTTCCCTTTGGTAAATAATACAATAAAACAAAGCATCAGTTTTCATGTGACAGTATTCTTCCAGTTAGAAAATGCACAAAGAATTTGCCAGACTGTACCAAGAGTAGGGCTATGCCGAGTATCGGAATATTTGATCGATCATCGAATATTTGAATATTAGTTTTCGAATTTGAATATTTGAATGCAATATAAAATGTATTGCATTCTTTCTTTTTAAATGATAAAAATTGCATATGCAGGCTCTTTTCAAGCAGATTCAAATGAAAAGCGACAAAAATGTTACAATGATTCAAAATGTAAATTATTCATGAAACAATTAAAAAGGAATAGAAATTTACAACAGGGCAAGAAGTCTTGTTCATCTCTTTAATCTTGCTAAATCATGGCTGGGGATACTCCCATAATGTACAATTGTGTGTGCTCTTGCAACAGATTTTGTATACAGTTTGTTCATCAACAATCTGCCGGTCGGTATGACCAAATATTTGGATATTTGATAAAATTTGAGGTCGAATATTTGAATGGTGAACTATTCAAATTGACTCAGCCCTAACCAAGAGAAAATCTTTAAATCTGTTTTTTTCAATTGACATGTAACTTGCTGAAAGTGCAAAAGGTGTAATTCATACATGAAAATAACATGTCTGGTACCCAGAGACACGTACAGTACTCGTACATGTATCACAGCTCATAACATCCATTGACATTACATGTAATGCATTGGGCTGATTCCATATGTTCTGTTTTAGGCGGTGATTGAAGTGACTGTATTTTTTTATGCATGACCTTTTGTATATTGTTGACATTTCAGAGTTTTAACGAACCCCCAGTGGTTTCGACGGGTGCCAGAGAATAGAGAATTATGATCATGTTGGTTGGGTTAACCTACATGATTCATTCCTCGTTAATGTTCCAGTAATCAAGCAGTGTTTGACCTTTGAAGTTCAATTATGTCACCTTTAAAAAACTGACTAAGGGTGCGTGCACAATTAGTTACATAAGTGGGTGTGGCACAGTACGTGAATCTTTCCAATAATAAAGTAAAATCACTGGGAAGTAGAAAAAAGGAGAAAGAGAGAGGAGGAAAAAAACAATCAGAATGGGTTCTGATTAGGGTTGTTGTACATCTCAAATCCTTCCAAGTCCATCAGAAGCTCTGAACAAAAGCCTGCCTTGTGTTATTTTCCATCCTGCTACTTGCGACTGGTCTTGTGACTGGACTTGTAAAAGGACTTGTGACCTAGTCTTGTAATGGACCTATAACTGCTGCCCTCGTTTGAAGTGGCAGCGCTGGGAGCCTTGGTGTCTTGCCGAAGATTACCGGTATGTAATGGGTTTTGTCATTTTTCTTTTGTCAAATACTTTTCCGGGTTCCACCAGTTACTACACTATTAAGAAAGCTGAAACAGCAGTCTAGGGAATCGCTAGAAGCCAAGAGACCTCAACTCATTCAAGCATTGGAAGATCTGGGTGATTTCTACATGGAGGTCAGGTGGGACTTCCAAAGTTGGGGTAAGAGCACTAGGTTAGCCACCCTAAAGTATGTTAACCTACATGTCAGAGTTTGGAAGGAGCAGGTTTTCATTAATTTATGATTTTGTACTTTCCACATCATTGCAATTGTATAAAGTACATTTCCTCCTTGTAGTCAGGGTTGTTACAAAGGTCAGTCATTGCAACAATGTTCAAAAGGCAAGAAAATGAGAATGAGTGGGCATTTCCCTGTTTTGTTAAAAAATACACGGACTGGGAAACGTTGTGGACTCTCAATAGGCTTCGTACACAATCAAGGAAGTGACATAAGGATCAAAGGTTCTCTTCTTTAGACATGTAGTTGCATTTTTTATCAGTCGATTGCAAAGTTACCTGCAGTAATGATCAGGTACACTACCATGAGCACGAGAATGAGTACTCTCGAGTATGTGCTTCACCGTGAGAATGAGGACAGGTACATAAAATATTTTTGTGCGAGTGCAAGTACGAGTAAGAGTTCATACCTGTATGAGTAAAAGCCAGGCTATTTCTAGTACAGCGCCGATATTGAGTTATGAACATTGATTGCCTTCTGTGCAGTCCCCCTGGTTTCCCGGATGTTACCTTCCGACACCTGCCGCATCCTGAAACGCGGCACGCGAGTCCGCATGGACACCACGCTGGTGGACTTTAATGACATGCAGTGGCAACGGGGCAATAACACATTCCTGTTCAACGGAGATGCCAAGCCTGACAATTCACTAGTCATCCTAGATAACGACAATAAACTCTTCCAGCGGGTGCGTTACCAGGTGAGAGAGCGATGCGTAAGCTTGATACTTGTCAACTTTGAGCAACGTTTTATTCTGTTATTTGCCTCTCGAGTTGAAAAGAAAACTTCCAGGTAATATAAACAGTACTAATAAAACACAATTTGGTTTTAACTTTGGTCAGTATTTGTACTTGAAACATCCTAAAAAAGGAGAAGAAACAGAATAAATTCTACTGTTATGGTTTTCCAGCAAACTTTAGCTCAGTTACATCATGCTTTGTGTGTTGCAATTTTGAAGGATTAACGTTTACCTAATTCCTAATCTGACCATTCCTTTAGATGCTTTTGCTTTCATGTTGGCAAACTAGCTTGGCCATTGATGTGTGGGCAAGACTGCATCTACACACTAGCCAATACACCATGTCATGCAGGGGGGGTAGTTTGAGCTTGCCTTTGTTGGATCCTGGTCTGGCCGCAGCCTCCTAGTGTTTCGCGTTCCAGCTTGGTGGACGCAGTCTGGGAACACTCTGTCCATGTACATGTATTATCTCTATGTTTAGAAAGAAGGAGATAGGACAGACATATGGATGCTGTTGTTGCTGGGCAGCTTGCCTTTACAAAGACATGCAGGGCTTGTGCACATCGAGACGGAAAGCCATGCTGCCACTTTCTCCTCTGTGTTTGTGGTTTTTTTTTGTGTGTCAGTGCTCCAAACAATTGCCCCCTCTTAGGCCACGAAGAGAGATTCTGGTCGGGGATTTTTCCAACTGGGTGCGTGGGACACACGAGGCTTTACATTCTGATGAAAATTGGTCACGTGTGCTCATTGCAATATCTGTGTGAACCTGCGTGTACACAGAGATGTAGCACCACCCACCAAAGGGGCTGTCATCGCTCCTTGCCTTTTTCTTGGACTGCTGAGCCCATTCCTTCCTCACACTAGCTTGTGAAACCTCCCGAGGTGAAATTTATGCATTAATTGTACATCTGCCGTTTGCCTTAAGGAGGTTTAAATGTGTAACTAGAGTCTTGTTGATTTTTATTTCCATCCTTCCCTAATTTACCGTGGACGACCATCAATAAAGCACTACAAAATACGAAAGGTTAAGTCCTGCCCGGAATCAGATTCATTTTCACATTTGCACATTGCAAGTTGGTGCTTGGGACCAGTCTGTAAACCGAGGAGATGTTGACATTCTTTGCCCAGAGACGCAATTTGTGTATTTCTGAAACTCAACTACTTTACTCACCCTTTTGAGGTAGCACAGGGAATTTTATGCACTTCAACAAAGTCCATCAGATGGGTGGTAGGCATTCCTGTATATTTCTTTCATGTTTCTAAACCACATCAACTTTCCTAAATTGATTTTTTCCCCAGTTTTATTCAGGGGGTTTTTAGTTTTGGTATTAGGGCTTTTCTCTTCAGTTTTTCTGGGTGTGAAGAAACTTCCAAACGTCACAGAATAGTGCTGAACTTTATCAAAACCTTGATGCATCTGGTCAGCACAAGTTACATTGTAGGCTTGTTCAGAAATCAGCGATGAGTAATGAGTACATTATGTTACTGTGCTCTGTGGAGGGTAACTTTCGGCACATCAAAATGAGTTTGTCTCTGACTTTTCCTGAAATGTGAGCAGCGGAGAACTTGGCGTTCTTGTTCTTTCGTCAGTTTCATTTTTTTGTATACAGCCGCATGCTTGGTGCAGACGTGGTAATTGGTGAATATTTGTTTTATTTTACTGGCCTTGTACATATTCTGAAGAACCTCAAAGTCAAGAGTGCGTTGGCAAATTGTTAAAAAGAGTCATTTTTGCATTCCATGTGTTTGTGAAATCTGTAGCAAAAGTTGAAAATTTTGTTCTTATTTAATTTCATGTCGAAATTTATGCCATCTGAATGGCAACAAACTTGGTCCATAAATTTATACCGACATATGATCTATTAAGATAAACTCCACAACGCAGAATGAGGAGCTTTTATTAAATTTGCAAGACTAACGTGAACCGTTATCTGCTAAAGTATAGAATTTCATTTTTTTAAAATTCATTTAATGGCCTCCATTTTATGTGTGGTACAGTAGTAGGAATTTTACACCAAATGCACTCTTAAGTATAAATCCTCACATATTTATATGGAGACATAATGACAATAGACTTTATTTATATGTGGGTCATTCTACAGTTTTTGGTCCAACCTGTGACATTTTTCCATCCCAGTTATACCTGACATTTATACTTTGACAAGGGATATATCATTGAAAAACTGATTCAAAACTATTTTCATTTGCTTTGTAGGTAATTCACAATACATATTCAATCTTGGAAATTAAAGAAAGAGTGCTAAACATACGCCTGATGTAACAGGGACGGGAAGAAATTGGATCCCAAAGTAATAGAATGACCCATTTGCGGTTTCTCATGGAAGTTGAGATCCTCCAAGTGTTCCGTGAGGAAATCGCATGTGGAAACCAAACAGTGGCATTATGTCTAAGGTCCGTTCAAGCGGATTGCATGTTTCTAGTTTCCTTATGTGTTTCTTGTGAAAAGTGAATGTAAATTTTGTTCCAGGAAACTGAAAAAGAACTGGAAGAGGAAGTCGACATTCTGATGAGTAGTGACGTAGTTACCATGACATTGTCGACAAAGCCCATCACTTTCACCAGAGCCCAGAGTGGGTGGCTCTTCCGGGAGAAGAAATGTGAAATGATCGGCAACTACTATGCACACGTGTACACCATTAACAACGTCATTGTTGAAACACGAAAAAGGTAAAGTTGTGAAATAGAAACCTAGAGATTTGAAGTCTGAGTTGTTGCGTAGTGCACCGTCTGACCATTGTGTATATGGTGTAGCGATGATTGGATAAAGAACATGGATGTAATGACATTTATGTTTATTCATCTTCTGTGAGTTTCTTTCTCTTGGGCACCATGCTAGAGTAACAGTGAAAATATAGCAAGCTCCAAGTTACAAGTAAAAACATTAAAGGTGTGTGTGGAACCTTTCAAACTAGCCCAAAAGTAATTTGGTTTCAGTGAAATATTCAGTGAAGTGTATCTAAATGGACAACATCAGGAGACCTTCATTCTGATTTTTGTGTCCAAGGTCCGGGAAGCATCTTGTCACATGAATTTTTGGGGACATTTACCAAAAGGTATTTGTGCCTTTATTTGTACTGAACAAGTTTGACGATGCTCAGTGCGGAAATTTGGCAACACTGAAGGAAGTTTTGGGGAATAAAAGTTGAAGTGTGCCATGTTGTGGGACTGGTCCCTTTTACGTTGAAGAGGGCCTTCATGAGAAGTTTGATCAGCAAGGCGTTGATTCAACCCCACCTCTTTTTTCCCATTTCTTTTTATTTTTACAGAGAGGGATACAATGTACATTTTTGTTAATTCCCTGTTGATCTGAATTGTTTATTCGATAGCTTTAAAGACAGGAATTAATCTATCCTTTTTTAGGCTCGCCACCACCCCAGCCTTCCATTTACACCAGTCATGTTTTTGTGTTTGTGACAGGAGAGGGCATTTATCAGAGGAAGATGTACAGAAGAACAAAGCAGCTCTGGAGAGCCTCAGCAAAGGCAGGGCCCTGCCTGCCAATCTGCAGGTCTGTTGTGTGGCCACTATGTTGCATAGAATTCCAAAATCTAGGGGTTTCTTTCATGTCGTAATGGAGAAACACCCATTTTAAGAATAGGCTGTGAAGATGCTCAACTGTAAAAAGTCTGAATGTTGTGTCAGTCGCAATCACAAAGTAATCCCTTTTTGTGCTGGAAGACCTGTTAACAGGTTGAGGTTCTACATGTATATCTGTGATTCTTTGAAAAACTGTTGCTGAGGCTTACACACCAGGGGGCCAGATTTATTTTGCCAATTAAGTCACTATTAATGAGTCGCCGTCCTGCCTGTATGTACAGCCGGCTACAGTAAATCGGCCAACTTAACATTGTGGAAAAAAGTGGCAGCCTTGTTCTAAATGCCAGTCATTAATGTGATTACCAGGAGGTTGACTGTCTGCCAGTTTGGTCTGCTGGAGAAGGGCGAAATGAGCGGCGTGTACCAAATCGTTGGATAATTAGATTTTGATGAGGAAGAGGGGGTTGCTCAAGATTTCATTTACTTGCTTGTGCATTGCATAATCGTTCTCGCGGTGCAGCAGTGATTGATTGATTGATGATCGATCGATCGATCAATTGATTGATTGATGATTGATTGATTGATGATCGATCGATCGATTGATTGATTGGAGAAACCTGCACATGATGATACTGTATGTATATTCACCTCTCACATGTGATGGTACCGTGATCAAAGCAAAAGTATCTGATGCAGGTGGATCTGGCCGAAGACATCTTAATGCTTCCCCCAAAGCCATACATCACTGATAAACTTCAGTAAAAGGAGAGGAACTCCTACGTGAAAATTCCACGTAGAATGCCCGGTGGAAGTTTCAGAAAGAGAGGTCAAATGCAGCCATGGGGAAGTGTATGTGACAGAACTGTATTTGAGTCCACGGCAAGTCCTTAAAACAAGTCTGGTCACAGTACAAACGATGAAAGAAGGAATGCTTTTGTCACAATCCGTTGGAATAGCTTGGGACTTGGCTGAAGACCGGGCAACTTTTTGTAGACTTGCAGGGATTATTTGACCACAGCCCAGTAACTCTGCATATCCCCCTCGAGCAGAAGCATCCCCCCCATCGATTGAAAAGAGCCCCTTTATTTATTTTGTTGGTAGCAGTGCGACCGTAATGTGTGCACTTCATAGTTGTTCGTGAACCAACAAAGTGCAGTTCTGACCCAAGGAGCCTCTGTTGCTCAGAAACTGGCGCCCTCTCTTGGTCCAGCTCGAGGCCCATACATGTAGATGGGCATTAATAAATATGCAATGTACAATAAGCACTCCCCTCTCTCCCGATTTATTGAATCTTCCACTGTCAATTTTGGAAAATTGGATTTTGCCATCATCTCCTTCCCCATTTGTGGACTTGTCAAATCTGTACCCTTGTGTACACTTACATTGTAGGTCTCTGGTTTATCTGTCCATGACGGAACCAGAATTGTTGTTCCCAGTCCGATTCTACTGTTATTGATTTGTTTTGACAGCCCCAGTACAGAAAATCTTTACCCGCTCCTCCAGCAACTGATATCAGGTGGTCAGAGTACATCAAAGGTAGACCGTCCAGGTGAGGCATTGCAGCTAATCTTGTGAGAAATTTGGTAGTCTGGGAACAAGGAACCATGCAAGGAGGGATGCCTTTTTTCCAGGGGTTCATTACCAGTAATTTTGACGAGAGGGAATTGTATTGCTTTTTTTTTTTGCCTTAAATGTTACACAGTAAAGATTGATCACAGGTATGAAATGCACATTACAAGGATGAATTTATAAACCCTCCCATAGAGAGCAAGCCTAGCATTCTTCTCACAGTGGGAATGCAAGGAGAGCATCTGTACACGTTTACTTGATGCGTTCTTTATAACTTCACGAATGATAAGCTTTGCCTTCTTATCCCCCCGTCTGATGCAGAGCACACCTGGGAAGACCAGAAGTGTGTAAAGAATCCAAGAAGGTCTTCAAGGCCACCGTGGCAATGGTCAGTTTGCCCTCTGCGTCCACTCTCTGTCTTGCTCCTTGATGCACTCCGTGAGAACTCCTCATGTGGGAAGATTAGCATTTGTTTGTCTATGTCTGTTCCACTGAAAACGTCAGACTGAGTTCTTGCCAAAAGTATTTCTTTTGAGTGTTTTTAAAACAAACTTCAGTATTAGATCCCAAACTGGATTTTATCGAGGAGACACCAGATTTTCTGGCAAAACACTTCACTATTAAAGTAAAGGGCTTTCACAGCACAATCTACATAAGCGGCAATCACAAAGCATGCGTAAGTCACAATGATGTAGGTTTGTTCAATGGCGTGCCTTTCCTTTGCATTCATGAATGTATACTTTCTGTACACATCTGGCAGAGTGAGGACTTTCCCATGGACCTGCCAGACCTGCTGAACATCCTGGAGGTCCTCACACCCATGAGGCATTTCCAGAAGCTGAGGGACTTCGTCTCCATGAAGATGCCTCCTGGATTCCCAATTAAAATAGGTCAGTTGAAGCAGGCAATCTTGCTGCCAGACACCTGTAAATGTTATCCATCCTAGCAGTATGAAAACTGAGAATGCTCTTTAATTTTTTGTTACAAGGACACATTTAAATTTCATATTTTTGCTGAAAGTGTTTCGAGTTTGACACCAGGTTCCCCCATTTCCTGTGCTGTCATGTATCCATGGAACTGTGATACGATAGTCGTGAAAATCATGAGGCCAGATGTTAGAGTTTTGCCAATGAGAGTTCCCATGTCAAACAGAAGTTATTCTGGCAGTCATTTTTTGAATGCACAGGCATTTTTTGTAATTTCACTTTCGTCAGCGGTCAAATTGTGAGAAGTGTTGCTTTGTTTCAGAAAAGTGGTTTTCGAATTTGAAAAAAGTGTTCTGGATAGTGACACAAAAAAGTTTGGACATGGATTTTTTTGGGAGGGGGAGGGTGTTGGTCATCGGTTTACAAGATACTCAGCCCAGTTACAACAGCAGCATCGTTTGTTGCCACCAGCTGACACCAATGCTCAGTTTCATGAAAAATAAATCACTTTCTCCTTTTCTCTCCCTCCAAGATGTGCCTGTCTTGCCCACCATCACAGCTCGGGTCACCTTCCAAGACTTTCAGTACCGGGACAACATCTTGCCGTCCCTCTTCAAAATCCCGCGGGACTACACCCTTGATTCCAGTCGCTGCCCCGAGATTTAAAATCCAAAGACTACTGCTCACCGATGATAATCCGACAGCATGTAACACCCCTGTACCCATCTGTGTAATTGGCAATGCAGTTTTTAGTTGTTCTCGGTCATACCCACTTCCCACTGTGTGTCCACTTCTCAGTGCGTTAACCTGACATACCTAGTGTGGACTTGTGAACAAAAGATGTCCACACGATGCAGGAAGGGAAGACGTTCTGTGGACTTGCCCATGTCCGTAGGACATTTCCCTTTCTATGAAAAAGAAGTTTGGAAGCATTTGTGGGGTTAGAGTCATCGCTCGTAAACGGAAGAGGAACGGTCAAAGAAACCTTTTCAAATAGTGTGTTTACAGTTCAAGGGAAATGAGTAGTTTCACTGAGTTTTCTTAACTGCATGAAAACAAGGTATGTCCACACTAGGTATCAAAGGTCAGTGTGTGAGTGTCCCAAGCCAGCCTTGCATTGATCTGTTGATGGGACAATTACCTGTGTTAAGAAATTTGGGACCAAGTTGTAGGGACAGAAAACTGATCGCCATGACAGATTTGACCCCACAATGACTATGGCTCAATGCATGTATAGTACCCACAATTAAGGCCCCTCCTACAAAATGCTTTGCTAGCAAGTCTCGACAGCCCATCGTGTGTATGCACTGTTAAACTTGGCAAGCTTCACGTATGGGCTGATCTCGTAAAGTTTTGCTGTTTTAGGCTTTCGGAATGTTGACCAAAATACTAATTTCTAATCAATACCACCAATAGTGACGCTTAAATTGAAATTAAATTGGCACTGTTTCATAACATTTAGAGCAAATTTAGTGTGATTCGATTAATTTTCTGTAACAACTACTTTTTTTCCGCATTTTTAAAAATACAGTACCCATATGTATGTAATTTTGACAGACCATCCTTGGACAGATTAATTAACGCTTCAGATCAATGTCGTCATCAAATTTTAAACTAGTGAATTGTGCACATCAATAAAAATTGTACACTATCGTATTTAAAAACCAAACAAGAGTTCACTGACTACAAAATGCTCAGGAAATGATGCAAGAAGAATGTGAACGACGGGGAATTTGTTCAGGTGACAGACACTGTAGAGTTGTAAACACGTGCCTCTCAGTTTCAGCTCTGTTGATGGTGCTTCTGGTTTGACGCAAACTTTGCTCGTGGAACATTAATTCAGACTTCCAACTCTGAGCTGAAGAGGACGCAAGGAAAAAGGGGTGACAGATACGAGCTGTGGTCTTGTGTGTTTGGTTCCTTTTTAGTGCTTTTTTGCCCGTATGTTGGACAGAAAAATTCAGATTTCTTCTAGTGTACTCAAAGGTATATTTTGCCCATTTTGAAAAATATCTTTTTTCCAAGCACTTCTCATATTTAAATATTGGATCTTTTTCCTTAAGTATTTTACCCACTTGTGTTGTATATATGTGCAATTACTGTTACCAAAGTGATTTTTAAATATTATTATTCATGTTTGTTGCTTTGACGTGACGGATGCTTAATCCTCTTTGTTGTCGTTCAAGACTCATCACTGGTCTTTTTAAGTTACAAGATATTTATTCAAGTTTATTACGTAAATCGTTACGACGCACAAGACTTTTTCATTAAAGAGTTGCTTCAGTTGAGCTTATGAAATCACATGAAGAGGCCAAAGTGCGTGATTGAATGAAAGTGGTGCACATCACTACACAGAATAGCAATGGCTGTGAACTAAAAGAGCTTAACAAGTAGACTTGATATGATAAAGGCTGATGCTGTTGGTTGTACCAACCCAGGTCTTGATCACATCTTTGTGGGTATTAAAAACTACATAAATATCAGGAAAGATTGCTGCAAGTATTAGGGGAATTCCAGAAATTGAGGTTCCAAAAGTGTAACATTTTTGTGTCCTTGTTACATCTGACCTTTGTTATTTGACATGGAAATATCACCGGAATCAATTTCAAACTATTACTATTTTTTTGGGCTGGTAATTTGCATTAATTCATCACTCTTGTAAATTAGAAAATGTGTTCTGAACTTATAAAATTGTATGTAAAATGTAACAGGGACATGAAAAAAAAGTTCCTAATTTCTGGAATTACCCATTAATAAAACCCTTACGACGTTGATGGGTTCTTCTGTACTAGGCATATCGGTTGCCGGAGTTCGCTGGCGAGTAGCAGTTGGATAGTTATTTTTACTCACAAAGCCGAGTTGTTCAGGTATGCCTTCTTTGAGCCAACTCATAAATGTGGAGCCTTTGATTCACAGGAGTCGCTTATGTTTTTTGGGGGGGAGGGTTGAAAACTACTTTTGAATATTCATGTCAGTAGGCTTTCTCATGCATAATCTCAAGTGGCCGATTTCACACAATAGCCAAAAATGCTAGGGTTGGAAAGAGGAAAGGTACTGATGTTGGATCGTTTGCTGTCAAGACATGCTTTGTAGCTGCTGGTCATAAGCCAAGCCTTTGGTGTTGGCAGAGTAGTAACGAGTCACTAATCTTTGTGACTCGAGTTGAGTCATTGTAATGCAGTGGCTCGAGTCATTTGCTTGCAATGACCCGTTGAGTCATTTACCTGTCAGGAGTTGAATCGACTAACTAAAAACTGACTCAAGTCGAGTCATTACAACTCTGGGCATTGGTCACCTCCTTTTAGAAACTTGGGTGTACTCTGTCTTAAAAACAACAAATTCTTCATTTCTTTTCGGACATGACCACATCCTTGTGGTTATTAAATTGTTTCTGATATTTTGCAGAATTGAAATTTGAGCAATCACTGTAGGTTATCTCTGTTCAGAGTTTCAAATAACTGCTCTATGAAGTAATATATCTGTGACTGGAAACTGCCGTTTGCTTTTTTTCACATGCCAACTTCCAAGCCCTGCAGGTGTGACTTCCCAGTAATTTAACAAGGCTACAGCTCCTATGAGTGGACATTGGACTGTCACATAGGAAGGGTTTTGAAGCTGGTATGAGCCAGTTCAGTATCTCATAGATACAAGGTCTTTCGAGAATAAAGCATATGTGCGAGTCGGCATCTGGCTGTGCTGATAAGATGAATTATCACATACAGTCAACCAAAACGCTTCACCAGTAACCAGATCTGAAACATGTTCATGGTTCTGGAAAACTTCTTGTGATTTCAGCACCAGATTGAGAAAGGAAAAAAAGAGTTACACACAGAGGATTGGTTCAGGTTTTGTGTATTAAAAACGAATCATGGATGTTTCACATTTGTGCAACGGAAAGAATAATTTCACTCGGTGACAGGACAGTCCATCTCATGGAATTAGTCTTACTGTTGTACTTGATATTTGTTTTGTAATAGGATATAACAAATGTATTTGAGCACCAGTGTATAACAAAAGTTGACTTAGTAACACCATAAGATGTAACAAATATGTATGGGGGTTAAGTTATATTCTCACCATGTAACTGTAAAGATGTAAATAAATTTTACACATTTGTAAGCACAATATCATTTGCAATCATTGATATTTGATGCTTCCTTGACATAGCTCAAGAAAACTGAGTTCCCGGACATTTTTGTCCGAAATTTGGCTTCTGCGTTTAAGAAATTGGTTGGGCGTTAATGTAGTTTGGTCAGTCTGAATTTTGCTTTTTATTGAAAGGTGTCTTAACATGTGAACATGATGTAATTTACAGTTTTTTTTAGATGCCCTTCAGCTTTTGGTAAATTCAGACCAATTTATGAGGCTTCTTGTGCCTTTATGTTGCAGAACAATCAGACGAACCAATCTTTAAATACTATTTTTTTTTTATTACTTGTCCTCAATACATTGTTGGGTTTGGGGAACATATAACTAAATGTAACCAACTCGAAAAAAAATAAAATGTCTGCATCTCCAAACAATTATGTGACAAATTCATGTTAAGATCACCAACACATTAACTGCAGACCTGAACAAGAAGTGTATTTAATTTTAACTAAATTCAATGGCAGTGAGCGAAGGAGCCAAGCTGATTAATGCACAGGTGGTTTACTGTTTATATCGAGATGAAATACCCTCAAGACCCTTCACTTTCACTGCAACGGTAAACCACGGGTCAAACAGCAGGATCTAAATACTGTCAAGAGCAAAAACCTTCCTTCTGAATACGTTACACAACGCGGCCCATGTTGGCTTTGAAATCCTGGATGAATCTGGTGACTCTTTTCAAAACTGAACTGCATCGTAAGAAGCACTTGCAGGCGACAAATACTGGCTGACCTTTGTGGCTCTCGTTCGTTACTTAAAAAGAAAGCTGCCGTGTTGGTTTCAACTGTGGCCCATGAAATAAAAACAGACACACAGCATCTTCTGCAAGAAAGATAGTGGTTTAAGATTTGGCATTAATACAGTCTCCAACTTTTCCATCCCTTTTGTATCTGCTTGACACTGGCTCTTAAAGACTGACAGGCTCACTACAAGGCTGAAACATTAAGGCACCTTACAATAAAAATTGTCGACTGAGTAAATTTTTTCAGCAGAAATATTTACAAAAAAGTCGTTTCAATTAGTGTCAAATATAAAAAAATGTTAAAACAATCACCACATTCATTTATATTCTGCAATTTTATAATATCCTCAGAGGTCACATTTTTTAATCAGAAAAATGAGGTAAGATAAAACCAGTAAACAGTTAAATAATGCTCAATATAGCGTAACTGGAAATGAATTCTATCAAAAGCTAAACAGAACATTACAAAGTCATTACTACTATATATCCAACTATCTATTTCATAGAACTTTTAAAACAGAGACTTTCCACATGAGTGCTAACAAGTTACATGTACTTTGCATAGATGACTCAAATATTTAGTTGAATTTAATACCCAATGATGTGGCAGCTGTGATGCCGTTGTCCATGTGACACCATCCATTTTTTTCACGTGGGCTGCAAGTCAGCGCTATGTTACGATTAACATAACAAATACATGCAGTTGAATCCCTTGCCGAACAGATCTGTCATTTTACAACCAAAAATATGCCAGATTTTCAAGATTAACCTAGTAAACCGTCGGCGGACACGGCAAATAATTTCTGGTGTTGACTGATCCACATCAACTTGTCATTAAGCAGGATATTCCCTGCAAGAGAACAGCATCCAGTTTGATGACTGATGAATGTAAGAACCACAGCCGTACAGTCGTTCACCAATGAGACAAGAATACACAGTTAGTGTTGTTTTTCTTTAAATTGTGCGCGCTTTAAAAACTACTCCTCATAGCATGCCCTTTCAGTAACAAATGCAGATATACAATGCACAAGCTGTAACATGGCCTTCATAGCAAGCTATGTAAACAAAAAATGAAGAACAAAAAGAAAAAAAGAAACAAACTAGTGTTGGCCTCCTAACGTCCTGCCTCGTATCCTGGGAAGAGCTCCTTAAGGATGGTCTGCAGCTGTTTATTGTAGGACATGCTGTAGCCTTTGCCGAGGTCATAGCGACAGTAGGGGCATTGGTACACGCTGGCCTTGAACGACCGCTGGAGGCAGGACTGAAATCAAAGCAAAAATTAACACATCTGGTCTCTGATGCAGAAATCGGTAGGACAATCTCACATGAAATTAGCAGCAGGAGGGCAGAATGACAGTTAATTTGTAGTAAAAAGGACGTGAATTCCAAACAAGCAGAGATGCACGTGAACGGAATATGAGACATAAAACAGAAGTCTTGGTGATTTTTAAAGTTCCAATTTTCAGATTTGTTTATTTCACTTCTGATGTAGTTGTTATGTTTGCATCTGCAGCATGATCCAGTGTTAATATCGACTCTCCCCCTCCAAAAAATCCTCTTAACTTGATCTCTTTTCAAACCAAACCCCCATTCCTGAACTGAAACAAACAAATTTCTCAAACCTTGCATATGTTGTGCTGACAAGGCATAGTGACTGGTTGATACGCCACCTCCTGGCAACAGATGCAAGTAAAGGCTTCCTCAACAGCACTCAAGAAGGTCTGCCGACATATCAGCCCAGTGGGAAAACTCAGAGCCAATTCCAAAATGACAATTTTGCCGAAATGCTTACATTTTAAATGCAATTGTAAACTCACCAGGAAGTAACCATATTTATCATGTTCACTTTTAGAGACCCGTTTGCAATGACACATACTGTTTGTCTTCAAACAAAGTGTTTTCTATTCACTCAGTCACGTTAGTGTTGCCAAAAAATTACACCATAGAAATGGCGTTGTTTGAAAGACTCATGTGAGTTTTTGGCCGACAGTTTAAACCACTTTGTACATTTAAAAACAAAACAAAAAACCCAGTTTTGTGAGATCATCATTTTGATTGACCTTTGCCCTTTTGCCGCTGAGTGACTTGACTGCTATTATTAGATGCAAAGCGACCGTGCCTTTTACTGATGTGAACACTGTGTGAACGTTCCAAGACGCTTCCCAACATCTTGCACGTTTGGTTTTCCCCTACCTTGCCCGTCTTGATCTCCTGGGCAATCTCATCCCACACCTTCTTGTTGACCCCGTCCTCTTTGATCAGCTTCTTGATTTCCGGAGGTATCACCACCTTGGTCTTCTTGGGACTTGATGCGGGCATGTCATCCCCAGATTCTGCAGTGGGAGAGGCAGAAAAGTGGAAAAGCCCATGCAAGATTTCTTACCTGTGTATTTCACCGATGTCAACTCGCTCAACTAAGAACCATGTAAACTGAAGATCTTGGAGAACCTTGTCAGATGATTAAATTCAGCTTCAGGTTCAAAACAAATCAAAGGCATCATCCCTGACTGGACCTGCTGCTTGAACCAAGGCTATATTCAGGGCATATTATGGTAAAGTCCAAATCTAAATAGAGACTCGTCTTTTTAACAACGAGCAATTAATTGTTCTTTTCTAATTAGAACACAAAGGTTTTCTTTAACTCGAACCATGCTTTATCCAACAATGTTACATACGATTAAAAATGCATCTAGTTGGTTGGGTTCAATTAATTTTAAAATCAACTTTTAATTAATGTTATGCAACCAAACAGACCTTCAAAACAAACACAATTTACACATACAAAACTAAGCCAGAATTTGACACTGATGTTTTGCTCACAGATCTTAGCAGGCTCACTGATATGCTGCTAATTTTGAGACAAAAGCAGGCTTCTCACCGTCTCTTTTCCTCTTGCGGCCTTTGCCCTTGCTCTGTCGTTTCTTCTTGCCTCCGTCTTCCTCACTGTCCTCGGACTCTTTGCCCCCATTGGCTTCCTTCTCCTTGGCAGCCATGGCCTCCAGGTACCCCTCCGGATACTGCCAGGACAGAGACGGCCAAATGTCATGTGAGGACTCGTCACAGGCAAAGATGAATAGTGAAGGAATCATGCAATATCCCACAGCATGCAATTTCATTTCTTCGCATGCAAAAAATGAGGGCATGAACTCTATTCAGAGCTGAAACCGACAATATATCCCCCAGCTTGCAAATTTCTCATGGACTTTGTCTTGGAATGGAACAAGATGCAGTTTGCTCCAGCTGTTGAAATAAGCAGGCGCTAGAGCTAACTCATCTCATCGCAGTCAAAATATCAGCACTGTCAATTTGCAAATAAAAAGAGCACATTTTTGACTTTGCGAATTTTGCCACAAATCCTGTGAAAACCAGCTTTTATGTGTGGGCTCCACGTGACACTGTTAAAGAAGTGAATAATCTTGGGACTTCTCCTTCAACTGAAATCAGTAAACTCTATTGCTGGCTAGTGCATTTCAGAGGTCAGCATTCTTGGATATTTGTAAGTTGGAAAAGTTCCCACTTCAACTTTGGCAAACAGGTGTGAAACATTACATCTTCGTCAAACTTTCTGATGGCTGAAAGATCACTCACACACTATCCTCAACAGGTTACTGCGTGTGTGTATCAAACAGTGCTTAATCTCAGTAGCAAATGGAAATCTATTAACAATAAACACTACAGCAAATAGACGTTGGAGTCAGTTTGGTAAAGTAGTTCTTTCCACCTATGCAGTCCAAGTTCAAATCCAGCTTGGTCCACATGTGGATTGGGTTTTCAGTCCCTACCCGAGTCTGTGGGTTTTCCCGAAACATTTATCCAGGGTTTTCTTCCCACCTCTCAAACTGAACATTTCTCCATTGTCTTCTTCACTCATTATCATCCTGTAATTGGCGCTAAATGTGTTGCTGGGTGAACAAATATAAATGAGGACATTGTGAACGACTAAAAACCTTGATGCTTCAAAAACTTCTGACACTCGGGTAGATACCGTTTGACTTTGGAGTCAATAGGTTAACATAACTACCAATGAACTCATTCAGGTCACACGACCAGACAGCCTCACCTCCATTTTGAGAGCGAGCTCCTTAATTCTCTTGATTCCTTCCTTGGACCACGGCATGGGCTGTGGGTCATCCCGACGCAGGAGGTATCTCCAAACCAAGAAACCGCTTCTCCCCTTCTCTGGCCAGAACTTGACGACCTACGCAAGAGGTTTCCAAGATATCAGTCAAAAATGTTATCCATTGATTAATACAGTCAATATGGGCATTTCACAATAGTGCGCCACCAAGAGTTTGCAACGCATTGGCCAATCACCATGTGCAAAATCGGTCGATCCAATGCATGTTTGGAAAGGGTTGACAGATTTTGCGCTCTGTGATTGGTCAACATGTTGCAAACTCTTGGAGGCACACTACTGTGAATTGCCCGTATTACTGCTTACCCTCAAGGATTTTAAAACAGGTACACTAGCTGTGACGCACAAAAATGCTGCAATCTGTTTCGATCACACTGTCATTATAAATACACTTTTTGTAGCTGTCCACAATACAACTCGTCTTTGTTCAAATGTATGAAAGCATTTTGCAATGGTGTGGACAATTTATAAGGATTACATTTTAGTTATTTTTTTCACAATGCTTTGTGCAACAGTTTTGTTTCACATGTTCTTGTGAGACCTGTGTGCTAAATTTGTGTTGATGTCCGTAAATTTAATGAGAAGATCTCACAAAAATTTTTTTTGCCGTCAGTCCATTTCTTAAGACTGCAACTCCCCATATCTTATCTTAAACAGAAAAACAGAGGTAAGACGCCAATCATCTTTAATGTTGATGTTGGTTCATTACTAAAACGTAAGGAAAACAACCTCCTAAATACTCGCATTTTAACAAATATCCCCAAATACCTGAGGTAATATTATTCGAAACTTTACACTAAACCTCAGATCATGAATCAAATCATATTTTGCTAATGATCAAAATCATCTCGTCTAATCATGTACAAGTAAACCCAAGGAAGTCACAGCCCCAACTGATCCATCTGATCACACCACCTACCTTATACAGGCCATCGTAGCGATTGCCTTCTTCTGGTGCGTACTTGGAGTGCTTGCGTCCTTTGGAGTTTCGGACGACCCTGACTGGCTTTCCTGCCCGCCAATCCTTGGCTTCGTTGCCATTCTTGGTATCCAACGTTGCATTACAGTTGCGAGCAAGAGCCCTAGATGAGATAACCAATTCAAACAAGCAGATTCAAACAAATGAATTTGATAATATTTTTGTACCGGTCACAATACCCAATTTATCCTGCAACTCCTCACTGCATTAAGCCAGATTAATATCCTCCTTTCTTTAAGAGCACGTAGTTGTGGGTAAGAGATTGGGCAAGATTCTTCAAAGCGGTGTGATTGGCTTGGAATCCCTATCTTTTTGAGGGAGGGACCCCAGCTTCACGTTAACCGATTGCTTCATCTTCCAACACACTATCTGAGGCTGAACGTAACTGGACCAGGGATCCACAATTCTGTTGGACTCATCTCGTGGAATATTCCTGTACCTACATGTAATTCAGCCTACTGTGAAAATGAAAACATGAAGGAATGTGGACTTGACTTGCATGTTCATCTTGGTAAGCTTCTGATCCATAGACTGCTCTGCTGTGCGCTTGTTACCGGACAAATCTCGGCCGCCGCTACCAGTGTAGAGAAACTCAAATCCTCTATCCTGTGTGTGGATCAATGCAACATATAAAATTATACTGGTTTTTTCTTCACAAATGGTACACTTGGACTGGCATGTTCTACTTTCTTGGTCCCGGCTGCAGTTGATCCAACCTGTCACTGAGCCTGTTGGGGGACTTAAATGTTTGTATCTCAAATTCACCCCCATATCAAAAATTCAGAACAATCTATCCCTTGTTTTATTTTCCCTTTCAAGCATCCAGCTAGAACAACGGATAACTATTCTGTTGTTCCAATCAACAGGATTTGACCTCCAGTTACCTCCATCTTCACCGGCACACAAAGACTTGGAAACAGTGTGTTCCTATTGGGAATGTAACCAGTCTCACTGGGAAAATGAAGAGTTTACTAAAGAAGTTTTCCGTTTGACAAAGGAACTTTCTGACTTCCAAGACTTTCCCTTTAGTAGCATTCTAATGCATGAAAGCTACTTGTTCAGAAGAACCCATTTTGTACAAAGGCTCAAGACTTGATCTGATTGGTAAACTTTTGCAAAATGCTAGGTGAACACACCTCGTCATCCTCGTAACCGCCAGCCAACACGATGGAATAGGCTCCTTCGTCCTCTCTGCCGTGGATTCCTGCCACATGAGGGCGATGTACACCAGCCTCACTGACCTGTACACATAAACAAAACGATGCCTTTGTCCCTGGCTTCCATGAAACTCATTTGGCTTTCTACCACACGGTTTGAAGTGCAGGGGTCAACATGGGTACACATACTGTCATTAAAAAAAGGTGATAGTGGGACATCATCAATCCATTTTTCATGACGATGCCACAAAAAACAGCTTGATGCTTTGAAACATTCTAGAACTACAAAAGCTCTATAAAACATGAACAATTCAGTTATGTATGCACCAAAATGTCACAGATTGAACGCCACCTTCATGGAATGACCCACATGTCACCCAGGCAGTAACCCAAAGATGCAATCTGATTTAAATCCCATAATGGGGTGCGTTGGTGCGGTTACTCCTGTCAACATGAATAGGATGCGTGCAGGAGAGTACTCCTCCTCAGGTGCAGGAGAGTACTCCTTCGTCAGAGAGAGTATACTCTTGCTGACCCACGAGTCATACTCCAGCAGTTCGAGTGCTCGGGAGTATACTCATGTTAACACAAGTAACTTGCTTGAACGCACCCTTACTGTCTCGTTTTCGAGCCCCTATAAAATCAAAATGAAATGTATCTGCACTCACTTGTGATGCGCTTGATTGAAGATGTTTCAACTGAGGATTTTTATCTAACAACGTTTTGTATTGACAAAAGGAGGCTTAAACATAACATTTTGGTTTTTACAGTGAAATTATTTCGTCACACTCGACACTTATGGTCTGGTAATGTGTCTGAATTTTTCGTACATTTCCCCATCTAACTTCAGACTGTACGAGGTGAGATGCCCAATCACTCAAAATAGTACCTTACCTGAACACGGAACTTCCAGGACTGGCCAACATGGATACCGGGAATCTCTCCAAAGTGATTGGGCGGAACTATCGTGCAGACCTTGGTGCGTCCCTGGCAGGCCATTCCCTAAATCAAATGAAACATCCCTCTGGACTATTCAAATATGCAGTATTCTTAAACTTGGGATGAAATTTTCCTTACAGCATTTTCCGGAATTAAAAGAAAAAAAAGTCGCAAAGGCAAACAGGTTGAAGACCCTTTTGTTCATAATAGCTGACGTCTAGGTTGGGGCCGGGCAAATGTAACGCGAGTCACGATCTGCAAAGACGGGGAATGATAGCAAGTTTAATAAGTTTCCTCGTATTTAAAGAGACCGAGGGTGATGTATTCCTCAGGATTATGGGAGCAGGTGTGGGTGTATTAGACACTAAATTTTCAACTGTCTGAAGAGGTTACATTTGCCAGTATTCAAAAATATAAACAAGGTGTAAGAATTGTAACCATCAAAGGCATGTGAGGGGTATCAAAGTTATATTTACCTTGGTTTGACAAAATGGTTAATTGGCTTATAAAAACAAGTGGATTAATTTACAAATGCATATATTATCAATAGCTCTATTCTCATGACGTTTAGCAAAGCTCAGTTCAAAGCATCCAGTTAGCCGACTTTAGATAGAACCATTCAATATCACAAAAGAGACCACCTACATGAGGCTACCGACAAACCTTTGATTTGGTAACCCTCCATCTTCAAACCTTCAAAGTCTTACAAATATCCAACTTTGACTGGCTGGTTATGCTCACCTTTCCCCAGTCTCGTTTGCAATCATTCACTGCCGACGCCATCTTGGCCTTCTTCTTGCTGTGCTTCAGCTTCTCGCCAGCCATAACGACTTGGGATGCGTCATTCTTGCACAGTGGGCAATACCTGCAAAGTACACACGGGAAATCCGCCAACATCTGCAGCATGCATCGCATGTTGATAGCACAATTTTTTCACATTTCATCCATTTCACCGGGCTGGCAATAGGGACGATTCACATTACAGTGCGCCACCAAGAGGTTGCAAAGGAGAGGCCATTTTTATAGTTTAAGGTCATCCAAAGCATGGCCGCCTCGCCGCGACTTGCATTTGAGTGTATGCCAGTAGACGACTTGGGAAAATTTTGTGCAATTAACAAGAAGAAGGGATTCTTTAAATTCCCTAACGAACAAACATTGGGAATAACTCAAGTTCACCATGCGCAAGCAAAGAATTTCTTGATTATTTCCCACAAGGCACTGCAAAAAATGGCCTTTCCGTAGCAACCTCTTGGTGGCTCACTCTACTGTGCATCATCCACATTAACTTTGACTCTTTTAGGTATACAATGGAATGTCGCTATAGGGTACACTGCTAAAACGAATATTTTGTGCTGATCCCATCGTGTTTGTTGTAGTGAGATTCCACTGCACCAGACTAAGAACCTGAGGGCAATGTCCGGCCAAATGGTCCTATGAAAAAAAAAAAAACCAAAGCAAAAATAACAGCAAAAACTGACCATTCTTCAACATCGGGTATTTCTGTCAATGGCGGATCCAGGCACCCCAGATGGTACGCCATGTCACACTCATCACACATGAGCTGTCTGTCTGGGTCGTCCTTACCGCCGCACACGTGGCAGGCACAGTGTTTGCATTTGCGCCGTGGGTTGTCTTTGCAGTAGGCACATTCTGCCTTGTTTGACCCTGTAGCAGAACATCGGAATGAGAAATTGCCGGAGAAGACACCGAACTTGAAAAAGTGATTTGTGAAAAAGGTTTGACGTATTAAAAAAGAATTTTAAGCTCCACAAAGTATTCATTGCGCCATGCCACGGCCACTGCTTGTTTCCACAAAATATATCAAAGAATTCCATTCCATTTGTCCTACTTTTCATGGGTGAGTTTTCTCCGTTGAGTAATGCCGGATCACAGGTCACCTCTCCAGGTTTCTCAATCTTGAAGATTTCATCCGTTAATCGGATGCGGCAGTCCTTCAGTACATCGGCCTCTATCCCCAGTCTGACATTACCGATCAGCTCTTTGTACGTTCTCGTCGTTTTCTGCCATGAGATTAATAAATTGACCGTAGCAACCATTTTTGCTTATTTAACCAGGGTAAAGCCCTATCAGTTATGTGATATTCTCCCTGGGGGCCTTCGGTGAGCAGACGATAAAGAAGTTTCAAATTTGTTTAGACTTTGGAGGAAAACTCAGGACAAGTGTTCCAAGAAAACTCAAAGAATCAAGTGGAGGCAGAAAACCTAATCCATTTGTTGGCCTCGTAGGGATTGGAACCTGGAACGCAGAGGTGGGGGGGATGAGCAAAGTACCAACTCCCCCTTACTCCCCTAGTGTGTGTCCCGATCCACAACAAAGTTGTTGAAAGTCAGATAACTGGTAAATACTGCTACTTAAATGTTCACAGATGCAATTTTTTTTTTTTTTACCTTGCTAGTGACCTCAACGTCATACCAGAATCCTCTCTCCTTTGGTTCATCAGGATTGTAGTTGACCATGACGACATCCTGAATTCTGACGTCATCAAAGCTGATCATGGTGCGGGCGCGGGGCCGGAGGTACTTACTGGGCAACTCCAACACCCCTTGGTCCTCGTACCTGGGGGAGGGGGCGTGACCACAGAGACAACATTCTACAAACATCATTCACACCAACGTCCAGGTTAGTAGTGCTGGGCATTTACATGTATGAACTACGTACTTTCCGGCTCATTGATAACGACAACTGCGGGCAGGGCAACGTAAATGCACTTGTTTCTACATGTACGGTGTAGGATGCATACCATCAGTTTTCATCTGAATGTGCAAACAAGGGTAGTGCTATTCAACTGTCCAACTATCCATTTGATCACTTTTGATGGGGGTAAGCATACTCACACGTTTAAAAAATATTTGCAGATAATCATGCCCTCATTGAAAACTGAGTCAAGTACACCCTGGCATATCAAGTCCCTGTGTAGCATCTGTCTAACATAAATCAAGATTCATGAAAGTGGGGAAGAGTTCTCTGAACTTTACTCTTGCTTACGGATGCAAAATTCAATTCCCTTCTTGTGTCTTGGTTCAGCCAAAATTATTGAGGTGTGCTGAGAAAGAAAATGGCTTTGCAGTCAATGCTACAACAGACTCAATGCATGAAGGTTTTCTGTTTCTGTCTTTTTTGTTTTTACTAAATAATTACCATTGTAATCTGCTTAAATTTGTAGAAGTTTAACAGACACATTTGCAATTTAGGCTCTCTGGAAAATGAAAAAACAAAGTTTTCTGGGCCATCTGCACTGAAACATCAACATTTGAGTGCTTCTTTCGCCAGAATGCATTAGAACAACTGTGGGCAAGTTTGATGGAGAACCATAGTTAACCAAAGTTTGACTGTCTCTGATCGAACGCATTATAGCCGACGGTGGTTGGACTAGTCTAGTCAACTATTTGCGACCAGCCCATCGAGGTTGGTTGCATCGTTGTTGCCGTAAACCATTTTTAATAGCACAGTGCAGAGAGGACCAGTTATAAGAAATATCCCGGAAAAGAAGTATGTCACTTGTAAACAACCAAGTTCACTTTTAGTTTTGTTATTTTGCCCAACCTGCGGCCGCTTTTTCTTGCCTTCTCCCTAATGACCTAACAACGGTTGACTAGGGTCGTCTGCACTTCAAATTCACTGCACATGCACTAGGTACATCATGAACCGACCACCAGTTAACTAGTGGTCCTTGATTGAACTTGCCCGAAAATTGTTGAAGATTGAGATGTACTTGGAAAATGAATTTACCCTTCAAATTTGACGTGGTAAATGAATCCGTCGCAACCTGTCTCAGTTGAAGTCTGCTCTTTACCCACTGTTTTACTTTCATCTTGCTGCAATGCACTGTCCTTTGAGACTGGAGTTGAAGGATCTGTGTGTCGGCCATCGCTATTGGAGTCTTGCGCATCCGTGGCAACACTGTTTCTACTTCCATTTCCGTTCACCAGTTCTCCAGTTTCACTCTCCTGAAAGCTCTGCAACCTCCCGTCAGCATCCTTGGCGGTTTTCTCAGCATCGCTGTTTGTGGCAGAGATATCCCTGATGTTGTGATTAGCATCCACCGCTATGTCCTTAGCAACGCCTTCTCCACAGTTCACACTGTTCAATTGTCCCTCGTCGGTCGACGAAGCTGGGGTGATCTTGATGATATCAGCCTCAAACCAAGCTCCAATACTGAGGTCCAAAGCGTCAATCAAATCTCCAACCTTGAGAAATTAAAGTTCAAAATTGTCAGTATTGATAGTTATTTTGCTCACTTCCTCCCTGTTTCAAAATAAAAGGGTGAGTCCCTCTGATTTCAATTCAAAAGGAGCAGCCGAATAACTTTTCACAGGATGCTAATATGATGCTGAAGATATTCACATGGTGTCGCCTACGTGACGTTAATGCGATTAAGAAGCAAGCGTGTCAGGAAATTTCGGAAAGAATTCCATATATACCTGATAGGTGCTTCCAAACTGGCGAGTGCTGGTGGAAGGTTTGTCCTCAATTTCATGGACTGCGTCGCTGGAGTTGCTCCCAGATGTCGAGTGCTCTGAGTCACTGTTCTCCGACACAAAGCCACTGTCTGGTTTGCTGTGGCTAGCCGCCTCATAGTCCGATGTGGTGGCTGGCAAAGCCGCAGGCTGTGCTTTAATCATGATCTGAATGATGTCATTTAGGCCAACGCTGTAATCGAAAAGTGTCTGTCCATCTTCCAACTGAAAAACGAAAGACAATAAATTTGTACAAGTAAGGAAGATGCCAGTGTAGATCTGGTAGTTGTGTTGATAGCCACAATTGGCCAATCTGCGCAATTATGTCAATTGCTGCACTTTGTCAATTAATCTTGCATTACGATTTCTTCTTAATTAGGTCTCCAGATGTAACCATCAGTGATCAACTGTTTTTAATGTGTGGTTGTGGAAAAAACAAAAATCCACTGAAAAGGGAAGGCAATGTCTGAAATTTCCGACATTATAGACCGATCAAGCAATGTGATGGACCTACAGTGCAAAGTGACTGATCACATCCTAATCGTATCTACAAATGGGCAAGTCCATCCTCTATGATGAGTGCGACTTAAACTTTTGCAGTTACTGAAACCTGAGGAAATCAATCTTTCAGTTTAGCATCTTGAGCTAAAGAAACTGATGGTCTCCCTTCCCTGTCACTGAAAAATTAGTACAAATTGGTGTGAAGTTCAATGAAGGTTAGAAAAACAAGCCAGGAAAAGAGGCTATACACTGAAACCAGACCTATCATGCCTACATGTATTTAAAGGTAGAAATGCTTTTTTGAGTTCAGGCTTAGTTTTAAAAATCTGTGCAACTCCAAACACTGCAAGGCAGACATGACAGTTGTATGCAACAAAATGAGTGATTTGAAATATTTCCTTTTTGTTTCTATTGTTGACGACGACTGGAGAAGCAGAGCGGAACACAAACTTCATCTAAGGTCTCAATTCTGAAACACTTGACATTACAATGACAATGTGTATATTAAAGGTAAATAACCTGTCATGCCTGACACCTGTTACACCCCAACTACTGTCTAGCATCAGTCCCAACTACAGTTGGGATGGTCCCAATCACAGTACTACAGCTGAACGTCACTTTGCCGAACACCGCTATACCAAACATTCGGCTGTACCAAACATCATCCTTGGCTCCAAATATTTCGTGCACAAAACTTAAAGAATATTATGCAGTTGCAAATCAACGGAGATTCGCCACAGCATGCATCAGAGATTGATCCTGAGCGGTAGCTTCACGACTTTTGGATAAACTAAAATATCAATTTAATAAAATATCAATATAATAAAAAACAAAAAGAATTAACAGATACATTTCTAGAAACCTCAAACGTGAATGCAATGGCAAAACATCACGAAAACAGCGAATCATAGTATCACAAGACCGTACTTCAGTTAGACAAGAGAGGGCGCTATTCAACATGGCAACGAAACGTTCAGCGGTTAATTTCGCACTATACTGAACGACTGCTGTACCGTACATTTAGTGTGGACCCCATCGTGTTCATTATAGTGGCATTCCACTGGACATGTATACTTGAGCAAACCTAACTACAGCACAGGCAAGTTCAATCAAGGACCACTAGTTAATTGGTGGGTTGGTTCATGACGTACCTAGCGCATGTGCAATGAAGTTGAAGTGTGAATGACCAGTGTTGTAGTACTCGTACTCGAGCACTACTCGAGTACCATTTTCAAAGTACTCGTACTTGTACTCGGATGTCCAAGTGCTCGTACTCGAATGACAGTTCTTGGTACTCGGGCTACAAAATACTCAGAACTCGACATCCAAAAATTGTACTCGAGCATCAGAGTACTCGTACTCGTTTAACAGTAATCAATAAAAAAAATCCTTTAAGTTAACTTTCCACGGCCATTAAAATAAGGTACAAAAATATCGACCCCAATGACCCGATATTCGATAAGGTTCTGACAAAGAGAAGATCGAACGTGGGACCATTAACGTAGACGACCCATTTGCCGTCTGTGCCCGTACTTAACCAATCACGTACACAAATTATATTGTGGTACTCCAGAATTGTCCCGTTATTTACTTGGGCATTGGTAGTCTGGTTCCTGGACCCAAAAATTCTAACAACGAACCCAGCATACAAAAAATCACAGCCATGTGAGTAATTGAGTCTGTAAAATAGACTTCGCCACGCCATGCACGTTGTGTCAACTGCTGCAACGCACGTGTAGTGACCGTGACATTGCTAGCCAGATCACTTGTTCTTGTAGCCATGTCATCTGCATTCGGTGTTTCTTTTACACAGTGGCAGGTCTTAAGAGTCTCTAAATTAAGATAAAACTACTTTTGAATTAGAAGTACTTGTACTCGTACTCATACTCGGAATTAGAAGTACTTGTACTTGTACTCCTACTCGGAAGTGCAAGTACTTGTACTTGTTCTCGTACTTGGAAGTGCAAGTACTTGTACTCGGAAACCAGTACCTGTACTCGGCTGGCAAAGGACTCGACCTGTCTTTGTGCTCGGCAGTCAAAGTACTCGGCAGTACTTGGTACTCGGAAAAAAGTACTCGACTACAACACTGTGAATGACTCTAGTCAAACGTTGTCAGGTCAATAGGTCAAAGGGGAGAAAAGGTGCCCGCAGGAAGGGCAAAATAGCAAAAATAAATGTGAAAATGTATACTAGCAACATACTGTTTTTCTGGCATTTTTCTTATATTTCCTCTCTGCACTGTGCTGTTAAAAAAGGTCTATGGCAACTAGCGATGCTATCAACCTCGATTCGCTGGTCGCAAATAGTTGACTAAACTAGTCCAACTATCGTCCACTAGCGTGCATGCGATCAGAGTTAGTCAAATTGTGGTTATATAGTCGTTGATTGAACTTGACCACAGAGTGCCATTACCTCACTCCCCTGAGTACGATCTTGCCGGGCCTGACAGTTCCCACCATGCCTTGTGCGCGTGCACGATCTTAACCCCCGTTTTTATGAAATTAAATATCCCACTATTTTGGAGATATAAATTAGGACTGTAGTCGATGTGTGGCTTTTGAAATACATGTGTGATTCACTTTACGTTTGTGTTTATTCATCCTGAATCACCAGTCAAGGTCAGTTTTATATTTTACACGACCACTCAGGGTTGTTGAAGGAATGGACATGCAGCCCATGGAGTCAAGGTTGAGAATGCCAGGATACGTCATGTACGTGTGTCCATGCCATACTCATGTGCCAAACATTATTTCCTTCATACATGTCATATCAACAACTTGTGTTTGTGGAAACCTGGAGAAGGATGACATGGTTCCGAAATTTTTGAAAAACATTGTATGTGCAATTGCGCACTTTCAAAATTTGCGCTGAACAGCACACAGACTTTGACAGATATCCCAAACTTTTACATGTTTAACTACGCATGAATATTCTTGTAAATTCCCAGGGTCCTAGTCTACTGCCTTAAGCCATCCCATGGCCTTGAAATGCTTGAATTTGAAAGATTACCTGCTTTCCTCGATAAAATAAACGCTGTCGTTCACACGGGGCGTCAAAAGGAGCCACAAGTTTGGGTCTCAAGTCCTCGATTTTCGTCAATTTCGACAAACCATCCACGCGGATGGACTTTTTACCATCAAATGATCGAACCTGTATCCACATGTTTGCAACTCAGAATGCTCTTAAGTCGCAATGAATGTACTAATTTTCAGTCGTCACAGTGAAAATTCGGAATATAGATATAGGAGGAGGAACCTTTTCGATCACAATAGTGTACCGAACTTCACTGCGTTCTGCGTGTGATGAGTTCGCGTGCACTCGCCACACTACTGCTTGTTTTTGTACGTATCAATGACACATGTGAGTGGTGGCGGGAAACCCAGATGACCCCAGGTCAAGTATTTAAAGTTCATCAAGGAGTGTTTACTAGCCTTCGTTCAATGTGCTTCGTGAAAACGTGCTTTCCAAAAAATCGCGTGCAGCCAAGGCGTGCAGAACATACCGATTTCCGTTACGACACAGAATGAAAAGTAAAAAAGTGGGAACATGTTTTTGGTGAAACGGAATGCATTTATTAAAAACAGAACAAAATGCTTTTAATATACATGTCTTTTCTCAAGTAGGCCCTAGTTCTGGATAAATTCCTTTCAAATAAATTACTGCAACCAGATTAAGCGAAATATGAAACACAAAAGAACAGACAAGTGGTAACCATAGAGCTGTACGTATCACCGCAACGAAAACGGCTCAGCTATATCGCGCGCGATTTTACATGTTTAATTCACATACGAGGCAGGAAAAATAGGAAGGCATAAGCGGTGCGGTAAACAACAGTGTTCGATATTTATATCGCGCGTAATTCCCTTACCTTAGAGAGAGGCGAAGTTGTGAAGGGTACATACTCTAAATCACTTGATTCCTGCGCACAATTTGATGTAAGATCGATCCTACAATAACAGGTGGAATACTCAGGACGCATTGTACAACATTTGCGATAAATCCAACTGAGGGGCTAAGTTGCGGCTTAACTTTGAGAATTTCGTTCACAAAGCCGCCCAAGCCGTGGTCCGGTTTTACACTGACGACGACCGGGGGGGGGTTAAAGGGTGGGAAAAAACTACAAGTTTGTAACTGAATCTTGTAATGAAATACGAAAAAGTTTCCTAGCGGTCCTGTTCTCGAAATTTCAGTGAAAACACTGTGGCCAGATTTTTCGCCGATACTCTGCTGTTTTCTAAGAGCGCGTATTTTAGTGTACTACAACCGAAGCGGCGATATGACTGGAGAGAAGGCTATACGTGTCAAGCGCAAAGTCATGCCATCTGACCGTGACTCCACTCGACGGTCTGGTCCCCCAGACCATGGATGAAGGAGACTGTCCACCGCCACCCTTGGCATTGAATCGAATATGCGAAGGGCAGATACATACATAATTTTGGTCGAACGCTCATCGAATTCGGAAAAAATCTTATCACCGGACCTTTTTTCATGTGAAACCATGCAAACCGCAGGCCAGTTTCGTACGCGTACGCATGCATTAGGATGACAAGTAACCCACAATGCTTTGTGCATCCATATTTGTGACGTATTTCCTTCAGAAATATTTGTGAAGTGCGTCATCTTTCCCAGCGTCCTGTATTACCTTGGGTGTTTTGGGGCACTCGTAACCATGAATTGCATGGTTCTTTGGTAATTCGTTTTCTTTCGGACAGTCTAATTGGGTTAGAATTAACTACCCGCGATGGTGTAGTAATCCAGCCCACAAAGCAATTAACAAAAGAGAATTAATCGAATCATTATCTTGGTATAATTTTGACTGTTGAAAAACATAATGTTTGGCGCGATCATACTTGTGACGTTTTCCTTCACGAGACAATTAAGTGAAAGGAATTGTCCTAGCTTCCCAGCGCCCTGTAGTTACGTAACTATTGGCGAACGGGGGAGATCAGTGGGAACAAAGCTACAGCGCTGACTCCTGCTGGGCGCAGGCTATGTTTGTGCACAAACCTATGGAGAATTTGAAATTTTGTACGGCTTTTGTACAGCTTTGCACATCTGCGTCTGTGTTCTAAAAAAATACAACGAACCAAGCAGATACGCAAACAACCCGAAGGCACAATCAGTAAACGAGTGTTTCATTCACAAATATCAGTTTTTTTCTATTCTTCTGATATCTCAGTGGGGTTTCAATTTGCTCTCCGCCAAAAACGCGTGCACGCGCGTATGCGCTGCCATGAACTCTGCCGTGACATTTTCAGATTTACGGTAGGCCTAGTACCCGATGCGCGCAAAGCTGCTGCTCCAGAACCGTCAACCCACTTAACACTGACTGAATTAAGGGAAGGACTTTTTAATTTAGCTGAAAATATTCATCAAAAGACAGCCATCGAAAGACATGCATACAAAATCGGACGACCTTGCTCGAATGTTAGGGAAACATTCGTTTAAAAATAATCAGCTATGGATGTACCATTGGGTGCTTTCGATTAGCTTCCCTGAACACACCAGTGTTCGAGGGATGCCTCAAAAAGAGGCTTATCGAACGCTGCAGTGTATTTTCAAAGGCATTCTGGCAAAAAGGTCAAGTCCCCACCACGTTCCATCATGTACGTCCATGCTCGAACAGTCCATCCGTGACGTCATTACACTCGGGCAGCCTCCAGAGACCCGCTCGCCAGCTGGGGTAGTGATGGCTGACACCAGGGCAGGCACGAGAATCACGTGATGGCTAAACGAACGCTCTCGTGTAAGTTTGACTTACACATGTAAGCTAATCGAACGCACCCATTGCTCTGTGCGCTGACGTTCGCGTATGTTGTACTTGCGTGTTGCATTCAGAATACATTATTCGAAATCCATTCTATTTGATTTCGAATGTTCTACAAACTCGCACAAAATATGGATTCAAAATGTTTGTGCAAATGGCCCTGCGCGGATGAGACGATAGTGCTCTAGTTTGAATGGTATGGATCATGGAATCAACATAGAGGCCAGTTCCATCGAACGGCGTCGTCGTCGCGTCACCGTTTTCAGTTTGCGAACCTTGCGCGTGTAACTTATGACGCTAAGGCCCGTTACGAGGCCGGAAGGGTAAACGATACCTTTAAACTTTTCCCTATTGGAGGCTTGCGCGCAGAGGGATTTGCAAACCTAGTGGGGTTTCCGTCTTTTATTGTGCGCCACACCTCTCTCCTTTTCGCCTCAGTTACCGCCTCCAGTTATCGAACAGGACTCTCAGGCTGGCTGCCAGTGTTCCGCCGCGCCGGCTCACTGGCGTTAGCACTCGACACTTGAGCGCAAACTTTATTGATAATCGGCCTTGAGTTGCCATTTCGAAACCTGTGCACCAGGCCTGCATGGACTATACTTTCGGGCCCAGGCAGAGCTTTTCCTAAGTTGAAACCTGGAATGGTGAAGGTTAAGGAATTCTTCTCGCCGTAGCATGCAATGCGTATAATTATTAAAAAGCGTTTCGGAAATTTGAGTGATAGCGCCCTCTTTCGAGCTTGCTTGAAAATACACACATTGACAGGCACTTCCTCTGAAAAGTACAAAGCTCGAAGAAGACGAATCTTTCTTCTTGAATAAATTTTCGTGATACAAATATGGAATTCTTCTGCTTGGTCGCAGAAAGTCACACATAAACTTAATCTGCGTGGCTCATCATCTTGGGTGTATCAAAAGTAGAATATTATGTTCACCAGTTGTGGTAATTTCCGTGGATTAAATTGCCCATTTTATGCACAGGGCAATGGCATGTGTCGAAGGCCTTATTGCCATTTTCGACACGTCCGTAGTTCGGCTACTGCTCGCACAGGTAGGGCACCTCATACTAGGAACTGGCATAGTCATGTCAGTAGCCACCAACACAAAGGGAGGAGGCTCTAACATGATTAATAGCAGAATACCCCGCCACTCGAAAATACACCCCTGAAATCACTGGTTAGCCTGCATGATCATGTGAATATGAGATGGAAATCCCCAAGAGAACAGTTTGGTATTCGCTAGGTTGATCATGTGTGGTGGCGGGGTATTCTCCAGATCAGTTCAAATTGCTCCTGACCATGCTGATATAGCCTGACCTGAGTTACAGCCAACAGTTCGGCCTGTAGGCCCTGTGAACATGTTGAATGTCTAAGCGGTAATGCTACTTGTTGGGCAGTTCGCAGCCCATGTTGTCGTCTGTACATCATCATGCATGATCATGATGTTGGTCTGGTCAGTGTATTTGGCTTAGTTAACCAATCTGCATGATCACTGATGATCAATCAGTTGTGCTGCACTGTCATTTGATCTTGTTGGACATGTTCAAAATCATGAATTTTGCCTTCCCTTTTCCACCATGTCCACACTTACGGAAAAAAGTTCCACAACCATGACAACTGTGAACTAGAAATACTAAGGTGATTGGCTGATCATAGATGGATAGGACTAGATTGACCATTGACTGATACCAAAATGGTCGATTGTACAGATTGACCGTCATGAACTACGTTACCTATCATGTCCAACATCTAGATCTAGGCCTACACCATGTTAGGCTCAGGGAGATAGTGCAGAACCTGACTGATTGCGGAAAAGGTGTGCAGGTTTGGTCGAATGTTTTTGCTAGTTTGGGTCAGTGTCATTGTTTTTGCACAATGAATCGGTAAACCATAATCAGAAATTTCATTGGAATGTATGATAGAGATGCGTTCGCATATCCCAAAGCCAAGGTCTGTGTTTAATGCACGTGCGTGGCTTGTTTTACCGTCTGTGCCCATACTGCAACAGTGCCCAACAGGTCCAACAAACGAACACAGACTGACTGCAGCATGAATGCCTGCCATGCTAGGTCTGGGCGGAGTCACTGGAGGATGGTGCACTTGCGATGGACCATAGGCTGCACAGGTTTCAAAAGTCCTACATTCGTGTGTTGAGTGAGGGCACGGAGAAGGCCTGCCATTGATGTAGTTCATGACCCCATTCTGTTAATCATGTTGGCTGGGTTCAAAGTCCACTCTGGGAAAGTGTAAACTTTGTTGAGTATTTTTCTGATGAAAGGTGATATCTTTATTGCCCACAGTTGGTGTTCTAAATGTAACCTGATTCTTCATCAGTCACAGTGGTCAAAGATCGGTGATTTGCTGGAGGGTGCTGTGTCCTTCCTCACTATTGCAAGGAGTTATTGGAATCGTTGTTTGATTAAAAGCCACTTTGTGAACGTATCACTTGTCAGTAAATGGTTCCCAGGCTGGACTTCCTGTTCAAAACTGCAGCAGAGCTATGACAGGGTTCCAACAGTTGTGGAAAATCCTTGAAAAAAATTGTCCTGGAAAGTCTAGGAAAAAGGCGTGAAATACTGAGGAAAAATAGGATAGGGTGTCATGGAATGCTGTTGTCTGAGGGAGAAATGTCATGGAAAAGTCATGAAAATCAAAGCCACAGAAGGGTTATTTTTGACAAGACACTTTTGATGTGTTAACAGAATAATAATAAATTTACAGGCTATATCCTTGTCAGTCTGTAGTAGTGGATGAGGCAGTCTTCAAGTTCATAATACCAAACAACTTTTCTCCCTAAAAAGTGGCAAGAAATGTCATTGAAATTGTCATATTTTATCAGTCCTGCAAAGTCTTGGAAAAGTCACGGAATGTGGTTTCCTGATTGCTGTGGGAACGCTGCCAACGTTGCGAGTAAGATATACTCTTGCCCGATAATGACGATTTGAAGCAAAGGAGAAAGGGACAGAGAATTACTTTACTAGGAATATTAAACGCCAGATACAACACGCAACAAACAAAACTCCTCTTAAGAGCTGCGCCATATTCCCCTATTCTTTTGCCATTGCTATTATTTTGTCATGGGCATTAGAAATACATGATTTACAAAAAAAGTGGAAAAAAACCCAAAGGAAGAAAATTCAGTTCACCGACTCTGAGAGAAATCCTTTCAGTTTCACACTCTGAGGTTGTTCATCCTGCAAATATGGTGGACTGAGACAAGAAAAACGCTTCTGTTTGGGGCTGCCGGCACCTGGAATACTTGTACAAAACATTTCACAGACTTGGGTACAAGATGCGGCATTCTTAGGGAGATAGACCACTCTCCGTTTAAATCAGGAACAATTTGATATCCAACCTTTTGTTTGCCACAACTTTCCTTTTTTTTTAGTTATTGGACCTTTCTGTGCAGGCTCGACGTGAAATTTCATTGCTGAGACATAACTTGTAAAATGTAGCAAATTGTCTCACAGGGAAGTACAAAAAGGGCCAAAATTTCACCTTGAGTTGTTGCCAGTAAAATGTGCAATGGGCCCCTGGTCCTGACTAACAGTTTAATACAGACTTGACCTCAAATCGAACTAACGTATCCATGACAGTCAATTCAGACACAACCTAATAGTATCCAGCTGATTGGCTAATGGTGGGCCCGTGAGCCAAACGCATAATCACAGCTTTTTCTCCGCGTCAGTACAGATTTTTCCAAGAGAAGAAAGCGACATTAACATGCTTTTTACTTTTCAGGAAAGAAGTTGCTGCCTGCAGTACCCACTGACCCCAGCCTGACCCCATATACAAATGTCCTTGATGAGTTCATTTCTAACACATGGTACACCTATCACATCAAATAAACAACATTTAAAAGGCAGTTGTGGGAAAGTGATGTTCTTAAACCTGTGGCCTTCCTATGTGGCGTAGCCATGATTCTCATTATGGGGGGTGAGCAACTGGGGGAGGGGTCTGAATGATCAAGGGGGGGGGCAAATTTTCTACTTTTCTTGATCCGTTTTCTTTCCCCTTCCTAATCTCAAGGAGGGTGAGCATGAGAAGAACGGTGATTTTGAAGGTAAAGGACATTTTTGGCTACATCACTGCCAACTAACCTCTTAGGCTTGTGACATTCATGTATAATTTTATGGATGATCAAAACACCTTTGACCTTGATTACTCAAGCATATTCACTCCAGCATATTCACTGTCTTTAAAAGACTCAAAAGTCTTTACAGTACGGCCGTTTCACGATAGGGCGCCTCCAAGAGTTTGCAACGCATTGACCAATCACAATGCTCGAAATTTGTCGACCCTTTCTAAACGCACTTTGGGTCGACAACTTTCGTGCATTGTGATTGGCCAACATGTTGCAAACTCTTGGTGGCGCACTATTGTGAAACGGCCGTTTTTGGCTTCACCTTTGTTATTTACCTTTACTATAATTTTCAAGCAGTTTTATTATTTCAAGTCACAAGTGAATGAGTTGTGACTCGGTATACTCTGGAATGTGGGATCTTTAAATGAGAGTTCACATCGCTTGAACTTGATGGGCTGAGTACATGTATGAGCACTTGTATAAAGTCAGCCTGCCTCAACACATTAATCCCTTTCCCTGTCTGTCTTTTTGGGCTCAACAGATGGCAAAATATTGACACTGTGAAATGTAGTTTGAAGGAACATGCCTGGACGCAGAATGCTGGGTGTATTAACCTTTTACTGATTGTAGTGATTGTCTTTTTTCGTGTGTGTAACAGACACAGAGAAGTTGCAGCCAACTAAGCCCTCGGGCAGCATTGACGATGTCTATCCCCAAACAGCCAATGTCAGCGCCTACGTCGTCGTCGCACCACCCACCCCTGCTGCATCCTCTGCCCCTCCTCAAGACGCTCCCAAAGCGACCCCCTCACCCGTACAGTATGTGCCCACCCCAATCGCACAGATTGCGCTGGCCAGGAGGAGACACAAGATGGCAAGTAGTCAGAGTTCGCAGAATGCTGGCAGGAAGACTCCAACACCCATGTACATCCCCACCCCGCTGTCCCAGATTGCGGCTCAGCCAGAGAGCAACTCGTCATCTTCGCAGAAATACCAGCTCACCAAGTCTCCGGAGAAGAGTTGGGATGAAACTGAATATGATCCTACAAGCACATCGCTGATGGGCTACAGCAAGTCAGACAAGTATTCCCTTGATCACAAGTTGCATGCACCTGCTGGTGAAAATGAGTATGACCCCTTGGAAAACGGAAGTTTGTTCACTGTAAGCAAGCAGAAGGCTCCGAGTCCAGAAACCTCACCACAGCGCGGCCAGCCGGTCGGTGGGTCTAAAGGAATCTCAGATGAGTGCAACCATAAACCAACCCAGTCTAGCTCACTGGGAGAACAGACTGTAGAATCCGGAGGTGCATCGGCCAAGGCGGAGAAAGACGAGGACGGTCTGTATGACTTTGATGATTTGGAAGAAAATGTGGGTGATGATTGTACCGATGAGGTTGACGAATACAGCCCTCTCCCCGATCATGACGATGACACTCTCTCACCTCATGTCAGTGCAAAGTACACCCCGACAAAAAAATATTCCATCTCCACCCTTCATTCTGAGCCAGGAAATGACTCAGAGTATGACCCTTGCTCAAATTTTTCATCAGGGGAATCTCTTCGAAAACAACATGAACAGGAGAAAAGAAAGGAACTTTCACGTGAAGAAGAGTCATCAGACAGCGACGCTCTTGTCATAGATGATAAGGCAGATAACAAAAGAAAGGCATCTTCTTCAGAGGATGAACCGGCACAGAAAAAACAAAAGTGCTCAAGTGATGAAGATAACACTGTGCTGGAGAGTGGGAGATGCTTAACTGACGAGGGAGTTTGCAGGGATTGGTTGAGTGACGGAGCTCAAGAAAATTTCCTGGCTGCTACCAGTGTGAATTTTGACCCACCGTCCGACCCTGTGGGTAGTTTTAACCCGAGTTACAGCTACAACCCCAGTGAAACCCACTCAGGAAAGGAAAAGTGCGACTCAGGTTCGGAAGAGTTGAATCCCATGGCGTATTTGACAGAGATTTCCAAAGCCACTGACGATAAATGTACAAAGGAGAGACCTAAACCCAAAATGTCCCAGGCAGTGAAAGAGATGGTTTCTCAAGACAGAAAAGCCAGATTTCAAGAAATAAAAGGAGGATCCTCCAAGTCAAAGGCCCTTGGAGAAGCAAAACAGAAGAGTGTTACTAAGAAGAGTGTTGAAACTCCTAAACATAAGGACTCAACTGATGAAAAACAAACCTGCACTTCTAAGACGGAACAGAAACAGGGAAAGGTCCTCAAACAGAAATCGACAAATGGAGCAAAAGGAGAACCACAGGTTGGTGAATACAACAGTAATGACGGAGAAGTGTCTCCGAAATCGAGGCCAGCAGTGTCGTCAGATCAACTGTCTTCGTTCTTCAAAAGGATGAATGAGCAAAAAAGCAAAAAAGCGAAAGTAAAGTCTAGCCATGAGACATACCAACCCCAAAACAAAGAAATCTCCAAGAAAACTGATCACGATGCTGAAACGAAGAAGTCTAAAGTGTTAGCTGGCCACAAAAATACTTTCCCAAAATTGCCGAGAAAAGCTGGAACTGTCGGGAATAAAGTCGCCGGCTCAACGGGCAAAGAAGATGCCAGTAGCATTGCAGGGTCTCAAGATCTTCCCAAAAGTGATGATGTGATTGTCATTGATAGTTCGAGCTCTTCAGACGACTGTCTCCCACAGCTAGGCTCACAAAGTACGATGGCAAATGGTGCATCGGAAGAGAGTGGAACCTGCTCATTCACTGGCAAGCAGATTTTCGCTGCCAAAGTTTCCAATAGAAAGGCATCCACAAAACTTCTCTTTGGAGATGACAGTGACAGTGACAGCTCAGATGTGCAGATTGTCCAACGAAGTGAAGATGAAATTATGTTGATCAGTGATGGATATTCAAGCACTGATGGTAAGCAAATAACTCAACAGACCAAACATCATAGCACAGATAAGCAGGGTAAGCCAACCTCCGCAGTAAAGCAACAGAAAAATAGCCATACTGTTAAAAAACCATCAACCAACGCACACAGCAGTAAACCAGTGGCTGATAGAACTCCCTCCCAGAGCCACCAAGGTGCAAAATCAGTTCGACTGGATCATTCCAAACAAGATTCCAGTTACCAGGCTGTTAAAGGCAGACTATCAGTTAAAGTCAATATTGGAAATTCCAGTCAAAGTCAGACTGTGCCATCTGTGAAAAAGAGACAACCGCAAAGTCCCTTCAGGAGTGAGGAAGGGAACAGCGTCGTGGCCATGGATTATGGAGTTGAGAGTGTCTCTACCTCGGACTACGAGGAGGACGCTGAACTCAGTGATGACTTCGACATCAATGACGTGGAGTTGAGTTTCTCCGAGTCAGACACATTTGAAGAATGTCTCCGAATTTTCCAAGAGGAAAGCTCGAAAGTGCCAGTCAAGAAGCCGCGCGAACCTCAAAAGTTGAAGGAGGTAATAATCTGCCGATTGGATTTTAAGTTAAATTGCATCTGGAGGATCAGGGTTTTAAATCACTGTCAGTCCGTATAGCATGGTCAAATCTTTGCTTAATTTGGAATCTTCGTGTATTACGCCCATCATTTCAACTGAGACTGTTGAACCAACAGGTGTCATTTGTATTGAGCTCTGAATTTAATCAGAATTTTTAATCCATGTCTGTACACAGATCAGTGTCAATTGTTTGTTCAACTTGAAATCTTACACTGTAAACTCATCATTTTGAACAGGTGTTGTTCGTAAACATTTTAACGAACCAATGATTTTGTGATAAAAGTGAAAATTTGATTTACTTAGTACTCGTCCTTTTGAAATGAAGCTCAGCTATGAAGGGATTTACCAAGGGCCTCCGGGGAGGGGGGGGAGATGTACAAACCATTACAATTGAAATCAATTCTCTGAAAAGATAACCCAGTATATGTTGGTCTACAGCTCTTCATTTACTTGTTTAAATCTTGGATTATGCATTGATGAACAGTTGACTTTTCTCCCTTGTTTTGCTGCAGAAACAGCTCAAAACTGAAGACCTCCTTCTGTCCACAGGAAAACAAAGAGTTGCTCATTCGTCAAAATTTCAATCAGCGCAGGTACGTGTGACCATGTGAATGTACCTTCGTCCGGCTTTTCTGAAGCCATGCTCATGTTTTGATTAGATTCCTCATCATGCTCCGGGTGTTGCCAGTTTCATGTTTGAAGGTTTTTTCTTAATATTGGTGATTGAAAACATTAGGTAATGACAGAATTAGGAATGAGGAGTAGTTCTGTTCAATTTTATTTTGGTTCAACTTGATTTGTAGTTGAACACCCTCCGTCCCACTGTGAGGTCCGCTTTGGCGAAGATTTGTCATTGCAGCCGTTAGTTTGTTTGTACTTTGTATGATTGGTATTGGTCTCAAGCGTGCCGTTCGATAGTACAGCTACCACCAACCCCAAATGGTCCGTGCTGTTTAACACGAGATCCAGAGGGTCTCCTGTGGAATATTCCTTGTCGTGAGGACTTGCTTGCCAAGGTACATAACAAGACAGAAAATGTAGCAAAGAAGGTACAACCAATTTGCCTTCATATACTCTCTGTCAGGCAAAATACCGGAAGTGCACACCCAGGCCCAAAGCAAGGCCCACTCCTCTTCAAGTGTGCCACAATCGCTACATGCAGGCGCAGCAACAACTCCGCCAGCAATGGCAAAACGGTCCGACGCAGCAAGTCAAAGACTCTCCCGCTGGAAGCAAGCCCAGCGGCAGTGCCGGTAAAAGGATAGCGCACGTCCCCAGCTCCTCCAAACCATCGAGCCTGCCGAAGTCCCCGGCATCGTCGTCGCAGCCAGCCATGGGTGTTAATGCCCGGATTCAGCTGAAATATTCCATCGGGCACGGTGCCGGCTCCAACACCGGGAGGAAGACGGTGGCCATAACGGCGCCGAAGGGGGAGAGAAGAGTAGCCCACTTGCCAAAGAAGGTGAGCAGAAATTGTAGATCTGGATTAGTGTGAAACAGTCAACCACCTCGGAAATCAGACCGGTCGAATCAAATGGAAAGCTTTACTGCAAGTAACGATATAAAAGATGAATATGCCAAAATTCTTTTCTTAGCTTTTCATTTTTATACCATGGATGGACTGGGGGGAGGTCAAACAGGGCCATACCTTCCCACACACATCTGGGTGGTAAATTTTGTTTTAATAGAAAGTACCACCTTTGGAAATTTTTCATTTCATATCTTCCCCAAAGCATGTAAAACACAAATAGTCTTGCGTAACAACTCGGAAAGACCATTAAGGTATCACTGAGAAGTAATAGTTTTGGCTCCTCCTACCCAAAAAAAGAAATGGATTCACCCTTGCTGTTTAGTACCTACTGGCAAAAATTGAATTTCTATTGAAACCATTGCACCATATAAGCGGGTGTGATGTTTTAAGTAATCGGCTGAAGTGATCTGTTCATTTGATCTACAACTAAAAACCCGTCAGCCATCAATTCAACAAAAATGCACAAAAGTCGCCCCTCGACCTAATTTTGCACGTCAGTATGCTCCGGTGCAGACAATGAAATCAATGTTGTAATCACTTCATTGTTTTTTGCAGTATACATGTAGAAAATACAGTGTGAAGCCATTGCAGAGGAAAAAAAAAATTACGTCGGGTATTGCTGTATAAAACTAAACCAAAGGGTCCCAGTGTGGTAAAGTCTGCATGGAATTATTTGTCCACGGACATCAATAGAGGGCGCTACATTATGAGATGTAAGCTGTAGTCTGGTGACCATACCACAATGTATTGTTTCTGTTATATGTACTTCTGGGTACCATTGCAGTGTGTGTGTGTGCATAGCACATAGCCATAGCACTTAAGCATAGTATACGTGTCTGTGTGTATGTGTGAGAACAGACTGTCATAATGGGGTGACAAATTTTACATATTTTGTACAAAAGGAAGTTTTGGGAGCAATGGCTAAAGCAAAAAGCAAGGGGAAGTCCACCACTAAGCGTACGGCCAGTAAAACCAAACCAAAGACAAAAAGGAAAACCAGGACTAAAACAAAAAGTAAAACTTCTCGGAAGAGAAGGACAAAAACAAGGACCAGGAAAGCCAAGACTAGCACGGTGACTACCCCTGCTAGGGGTGGAGCCGTTAAAAGGAAGGCAACTTCTCCTTCAGGAGCTACGTCTAGTAAAAAACCACGGGTCATAGAACTTGTCTTTGCTGAAACTGTGAGTATATTATTTAGACTATCAGTACTGTAAATCAAATAAACTTGCATGTATCCTGTGAAATGGCTTATAATATGTATCAGGGCTTGCGTTTAATTACCGTAGATGACTTTTGTAGAGGTGGTTTATTGGTTTTCCTGTTGTCCTGATTGTTGAAGACATGATGTACTTTGTAGCAGTTTAAAATTTGGTGTCACCCTGTCCAGTGTACACCTTGGAGAAATTAATTAAATTCAACCAAAAATTCTTCTTTACAATTCAAGCTTAACGGAAAGCATTATTTTCATTTCATTTCAAACCAGCAATCGTAGAGCACAGCTGCTAGACAGCCAGCCTTTTATTTGTCTCTTGCAAAATAGAGTTACTGCCCTGTTTGGTTAAATTTCAGAATGAAGCCATGGACACACTAGTGACAAATTGAAGTTGATTTTGAAATACTTTTATAAGTACTTTGATAGCACAGTATTCAGTATTTTTATCATATATCCTCATCATCCCAGTGTTGCTTTTATGGTCTTTTTTTGTATTTCTGTTTTTGCCTTTCGTGATTTGATGTGTCCCTCAGCTTTACGGTGTTTGTCTTGAATTCTCCAGCCAGCTCTAACCCCCCCCCCCGCTACTCTGATTACTGCTATATAATTATGTCTTTTGATCCTTGAATGGGAGTGTCTTTTCCCTTCAGAAATGAATACAAAGAAATTGTCCAAGGGGTTATAAAAATACAGGTTCTTTTTTTGCCTCATGTTTGCATACATCTTGTTCTTGGCCGTGTGTCTCTGTACAGGTGAACCCGAGGCCAATTATTCCCCCAGACTCTGCCAACAAGGTCCCTTCCAGTGTCCGCCAGCGATACCTCAACCTCTTCATTGATGAATTCCTCAAAACCACACAAACAGAGCAAGATGCCTTTGACCAGGTTAGACAATTGACACACTTTGGAGTGTTATTAGTAGATTTGAATTTAAGTTTAAGGCTGCTTAAAGGTGAAGAAAGAAATTGACAAGAGTGGGAGTTGAACCTGCAACCTTCAGAACACCAGCTGGCGTTCTAGAGTGACTCCACCAATGGAGCTACCCATCTGCATGTTAGTTGTTCCTTTTGTTTGTCAGTGTCTCTGCTCAGGGACTACTTGTCAGAAGCCACAATACCTGTGCCCCATGTGTTCGGGGATCGCACTGCCCAGTCAGGATGCAAACATCATGGGCAGTGTTGCAATATTTACCCAGTTTGGGATATTTCCTGGTCACATCAGTACTGTTACCGGCTGCGCTTTTGTAACACTCAGGGTTTGAAGGAAGAAAAGAGTGTGTACGACAGGGCGACCTCCAGGAACATCTACCTGAATCTATCCATCAACACGCTGAAGAGACTGCGTAGTGCGCAGGCCCCCGGCCAGTCCAAGCCGGCGTCGCCCGGCAAGGCTAGCATCTCCCACGAAGCCATCATTGGTGGGAAACCCGCCACCCAACACACCTACACACTAAACCGCTCCTTGCACAGCCGCCTTGCCTCACAAGAGGAGAAGTATGAAGGTATGTCTTAAGCCCGGTCCACATGGGGATTGGGTTTTCAGTCCCTACCTGAGTCTGTGGGTTTTACCCAGAATATTCCTCTGGGGTTTTCCTCCCACCTTTTAAACTGTAACTGCTTCTCGTTGTCTCCTCTCTACAGGTTTCTCCAGGCTTGAGCATTAAGTATTTGTTTGGCGAATACTTGTATTTTTCAGGAGCCTTTTTATATAAGAAGCTGAAGCCATACCTACTTAGTGAGGAAGAGCTAGTTGCCAACAGATACCCCCGTCCATCCGACACCCCAGGACACGCAACTGTTAGGGAAGATGACACCAAGAAATGCACTTCAGCCGATCGTAAGTGTTCCTCAAATGTAAGTCTATTTGTAGCAGGGGAGATTGTATGCTCTAATAATGGCAAAGACATCTTGCCAAGTGTTAAAACTACCGTCATCTGACAGTTATCAGTGAAGACAGTGCTGCCACCATCATGGGAATCACCAGTGTGCGTACAAGTATTGATTGATCCGTAGCCAGGATTTCATCGTGGACAAGCACCGAACACCAAGTTATAGCCCTTGTGTGATTGGCCGTGCTTCAGTCCGAGATGTCTTGCCTGTTACTTACGGTGCCCACCTTTGCGCTCTCCCTAAAACAAAGCGGTCTACCCTCCTCCATCTAGCGGTACACTGGGCAACCAGCGTGCATGTGAAAAGCAATGTAGGAGATAGTCTAATCGTCTTGATTCATTCCATTGGTTTCTGATAGCCAACCAGCGCTTCTAGTCTAATCGTCTTGATTCATTCCATTGGTTTCTGATAGCCAACCAGCGCTTCTGCAGTCGATGCGGTAAAACGTTCCTGCGTCGTCCAGATGGACATTACATCACCCGAGAGAGTTGCACCTATCACTGGGGAAAGTTCTGGCACAAGAAAGGTAAGCTGTTAGCACCGCAGGCAGGTCTGTTATCTGTTGTTGGCCTTGAGAGTGGAGTTGGAAGAACAAAAGTTTCCTTCCTGAAATCCCGTGTATTCTCCAGTTTTTCATATTCCGGGCAAAAAATGACCATTTTTATCCTGTTTCCTATTCTGTACTTGTCACAAGTTGGGTGTTTGATGACGCTAGTGAGGGTTTTTAAATTATGGCAGAATATGAACTTTAGCAATGATGTACGTAGCTTATTTTAGTTTACACACATACACTGTACTTACATGCAAAGTATGGACCAATTTCATCGTGGTTCAGGCTTTCCGATAGCATGCATTGATTTATCTATTAGTGATTAATTCATTTGAGGCATGGGCTGTTGTTGTTGCAGTTGGTGGATCCTTCGAAGGTCGCTTTAACTGCTGCTCAGGAACATCTGATGCCAAAGGTTGCTGCATTGCGAAGGTTAGCGGACGTGATCTCGCCAACCCTGCTCTAACCCCCTGATTCACCCCTCCGACTCCAAGAATTCCAGCCTCGCTTGGCCACGAAGGCCACCCGCCAAACCGCAAATTCTTGGTTTGTGGTCCTGCGTGCCCTGCACGCTTTGCATTACACGGTGAAAAGACTGATTGTTCGGTGGCATGTGGCTCTACTCACGCTTCCACATTCCCGTTGCCTTTTTTCAAAGTGGGGACTATTGTGAAGCTGGTGATTATGATGCAGATTCGGCCTTTTCATTTCTTGGCAACACACAAAAGCCAATCACCATATATACAAGAGCCAGGGTCTGCCTTCTTTCACCGTGTTCGCTTGAGCGTGGGCCAAGAATAATAGCCGAAAAGCGGGATGAGGATCTCGATTTTTACGGCGGCTCTTACCGTCTCCCGGCGCGAAGGGGTTAATTCATATCTGATAGGGAACTTTGAATTAAGCAAATGCCAGGAAAACAAACAAAAACCCGCCAACAAAATACACCTTGAGACTTGAGGAATATGACTCAAGCTACCGGTGTCCTGAAAAAATTAGGTCAAATAGATTACCACCTCCTGAAAACTTATTCAAGAGATTTGTTTTATAGAGACAAAAGAACTTCCTGAATTCCTGGGACAGTTTCATGAGAAGCAATCTGAAGAACTTGGCCATTTCTAGCCATCGAGCTCGTAATGATGTGATAACGTTTATCTGAGGAGACGCCATCACAGGAGTGGCACCTTACTCATTAATTTGCACATGCATTTGGCTGAAGGGCATGTAATGTGTGGGTACCACCTGCCCTTGAACATGATGCCGCCGGAGCAATGGCTTCTAACTCTGGCCGCCCAAATTAGTCGACGGTCTTGTCCTTTGTTCTGTTTTGCCAGTATCACGTGACCGAGGATAAAACCAGTAACTTAACCGGATTCATGAGAACAGTGGCCAAGTCCCCACCAGCAGATGGCAACGCAGGACTTTACTCCCTAGACTGTGAAATGGTGAGATGTTTTACGAGTGGTACATTTCTGGCAAGTCGGTTAGATTAAGTCTGATCATGGGAATAATTCAATGTTTGAATTAACACTCAGTGGGATTTTTAAACATGATGTGGAATTTGACATCAACCCGACACAGGAAGTCCATCACCTTTCCCTCTGTAATCCCCTCAAGTGTTTTTACCTGATTTCTTTCCAGTGCTACACTGTCAAAGGTTTGGAGTTAACCAGAGTGACAGTCATCGATGATAAACTGGACTGTGTTTACGACTCCTTGGTGAAACCCAGTAATGAAATTGTGGATTATAACACCAGGTAAACTGTAAACTGTGGGGTTTTTTTTCAGCATATTTTGTAAGCACCATCAGAGATTGTGCAGACTGAAGTATATTTGGCGTAGAGAGCTGATTGAAATGAACGTAGAGCAAGAGAATCGATTGAAGAATATGTACATGCTGTGCATGTTGTAAAGTAGTGTTTTTTTTTCTGATATGAAAGGTAAGCACTCACGTGCAGTGCCTGAAGCACTTTTTTTTACAAGCTTCACTCTGCCATGCCTAATTGCCTAATTGTAACTGAGGTCCAGTACTCCTGAAGCAAATCAGCAAAGAATAGATATTGAACATATAAACACCAAAATAGCATTTTGTTGCTTAATTTGCCGCTAGCCTTTTTAATTGGTTCGTATTTTGCTAACTTTCAATCATTATGCAGATTCAGCGGCATTACAGAAGATGATCTGAAGTCGGCAACCACTACGCTGCAAGACGTCCAGGCAATCCTACTTAGCATGTTCAGTAGTGACACTATCCTGATTGGCCACAGCCTGGAGAGCGACATGCTGGCACTCAAGGTACAACAAAATTCCACCACGTCGCCCTTTCAATCATGATAAAAACGAGACTGGTTTGTGGCAGAAGTTTTGTGTGAGGAATCGTTGACCCTCTGAGATCCAATGTAAGCTTCGAAGGATTCTTCATGAGACTTCCTGGTCCCATATATATGCTAGGTCAAAGTTCAAAAGTGCATGTACAAATAGTGTGTCACTAGTTTTCAGTACAGTGGTGGATTTGGAAGGATTTAGGGGATTTTCTCAACAATATCTCAGTCTTCCTGAGGAGGCGCCAGTGCCCCAGTCTCCATAAGGAGATTGAGTGACCATTATGTAGGGGTATGTTTAGGCGATCTAGATCAGGAACCCGTTTCTGCTCCAGTCATTTTGGGCATGTTTTGTGATTTCACTTGTGCCTGTGTTACATCATTGTTCTGACCAAACAAGAACCGAGGTTGGAGTTGATTCATTGCCAGATCAAAATGGTGGAAAATAAGCCAAAAGTGATGTCTCCAAAGTTAGCGAATTATGTATTCCCAGACTTGCTACATGCAGCAAACCAATATGGGTATTTCCTTTTAGGATATGAAAAGAGAGAGCGACCTTGGTAAGAAACTTAACAAATATTGAGTGAAATTGGTCATGTAACGTCACAAACCACAAACCTGTTTCTTGTTTTGGGCTGTGAGAACACACTCCACGTGCAAATGTACGCCAAAATTTGATCTCTTACCGAAAGCCATCATACAAAGCCGTTGGTGGTTTCCTTTGTGCAGATGATTCACAGCACAATCATAGACACGGCAGTGCTGTTTCCGCACAAACGTGGCCTGCCCTTCAAGCGAGCTCTGCGGACGCTGATGGCCGAGTGCCTGAGCAGAATCATCCAGAATGATGGTGAGTCGGGATTTGAAAAGTCTTTTTTTTGTCTGATTTAGTATTTCGCTTTCTGTAGTGTCAGATGCATACTGGCTAAACTACGTTTCTTGTCATGTGTATGCTCTGGTTTTCAACACCAAATTGACAGTCTTGTATCGTAATACAGGTGCAGGAGAAAAGAGAATTGGGAAGCAGGTTAGAATTTTTAGGAGAATGTCACAGAAATGATTCGGAATCGGAAAGTACATGTACAATGTGTTGCGTATTGATGAGATCTTCAATTACAAACTTGTAAGACCTCCTCTGTATTTGATATGGCTCAGAATAGTATATTGCTGGTGTTTTATTCTACAATTGACTTTGATGGCTTGTGTCTGTATCCTAGCAACGTTGGACTGTATCCTAGCAACATGAGACTATATCCTAGTGACTCAAGACCTTATCCTTAAGGCACTTGATGTGGTCGTGGAGATGACAGATCTAATTCTAGAGACTGTAGACCAGATTTGAGAGACTCAAAACCTGACCCAAGAGCTCCCAAGCTTTTTGGATGAGTGAATTATAAATCTGACAGTTATTTTTTTTTTGGTACCTTCTGTTTTGCAGTCGGTGGGCATGACAGTAAAGAGGATGCCAAGAGTTGCATGGAACTCATCATCTGGAAAGCCAAGCAAGACGCAAAGAAAACCTTATAGTCCAAAGAGACCGCTGCCACATTGCCATCACCATGTCCCTGGAGGATCAGGATGATCAAACTGTATATTATCAAACCTAATTGTTATATGTCCGTCTCGAGTACGGCATTTTCAATAGCCCAGAATGATCACATGACCGAGGGACAAATACGTATCTCGTGGTTTGTCGCCCTCACCAGTGGATGTCACATCATGATTGCCCTATAGACTAGTTCCCACGTCAGAGTCACAACAATAATATTAAAGGACCGCTAACCAGACTATTGGTACCACTGCTAATTCCACCATGCTAATGATAAGAGTAAACTCGCCTGGGAGCAGCTGAGGGTCCAATAATTATGTCTCTGAAATAACCAGTTAACACCTTAGCTGGGCTTGGTAATTAGTTTGGAATGTCCCTGTCTCAATGGAAGTAAGAAAATACTCTCACCCATACTGACATCCTGGTGTGAATTGTTTCTTGCATGTAAAGGGCTTATGTGTAACTTGAAAACACACATTGTCTAGATGTGGCTCGTCTCATTTGCAGTACACTTGAGTGAGATGACTTATTTTTGTACCCTTCCTTGTGAAAACTTTACTTGCAAATGTTAAAATGAAATGTGGCCCCAAATACTCCCTGCACAGCCGGTGTTTAACAATTCCGCTCATTTTATGTATAAAGTCACCAGTCAGAATACTCAGACACTCTCCCGAAATAAAAACTGCCGAGAAAGGAAATAATAAACATTTTTGACTCACCAGTCTAATAATCTTCAACCAGTTATGATACGCATTCAATTGTTCTCTGAATCTTTTGGTCAGTGTATGTAACTTTTACGACAAGTGCGCTTTCCTCACACTCGGCATGGAGCTATTATGCGCTCAATAGGGGAAAGTAGGATTGCCAAAATGATTAGAGAATTTGGTGACTGTGCGTGATGGACTTTTAAGTCGAAACTTATTAATGACCCACAAAGCTGTCGGGTATGCACAAAAACCAGTTGCATCCTTTACGCTCCTGTGCTTGGACAACAAAGAATCAATCCAAAATGTGATTGGACTGCATAGAATTTTCTGTATCTACATTTTTCCAACTGAAAAGGTTTAAAAACTTTTGTTATTCACGGGTTCATTTGGGGGTGAGGTATAAAACCTAACCAAAGACTAAATCGATCATTTACTGGTAAGTCCTGCCCAGCGGTGTTTTGACCAGTCACAGTCATGATTTAAGCCTGACATGCGCGTAGGACGCCAAAGGCTGGAACATGCTTTGTGGCAGTGGGTGGAGCTTACCGGGCAAATGCAACAAGGTTTCAGCCACCCTTGAAGGTTTGGAATAATGCGGGATATTTCTAAAAAATTTAATAGTAACATAATTCGTAAAAGCAACACTCACAGGGTCCACAGAAATAAGAAGTAAAAAAAAACAAAAACGAAGTTAATCTGTCCGGAATTTTGTTGTCTAATTTATTATTTATGAGCCTTTTGTGTCCATTTTGTTTTAAATACATGTATGTGGCAAAAAATAAATGAAGTTATACGTTACTAAGAAACGATCTATTTATCGTGGAATGGATGTCTTTGTATTATCAGGGTTTGCAAAGAGTACAACAGTATAGTGGATTGTTAGCGTTTCTGAAATGAAAGCGGATAAGCCATGGTACGATTTTTGTGTTGGGGATTGCAGACCATGCTGGAAGAGAACATAATTCAACAAAAGGGGGAAGGTTTTTCTCCCTCCCCCCGTATTTGAAGGATTTATCTTCTCAAGAGGTGGGAAAAATATCCCAAACGTCAGCCAGAAAGTGATTGAAAAGATACCCGTGTCGATCATTTTGGATTCGTTTTGGGCATGTCGTTTGAATGTCACGTGTAACAGTGTAACTAAAAACCATCTGTTTTAATATGCAGTATCGATTTCCAATCCCCTGCCACTCAAGCTCGGGGGGGGGGTGATTGCTTATAACGGACCGCCGTTAGCCGGGGTTCGATCGACGGGCCTCGATAAAAGTTAAGCATGAACAAAGAGAACAATAAGATTGATCGATGTCACAATCCGCCCTTTAATCTACCTCTGTAGTCTGGACATCGCTTTAAGTTATGTTTCATGACATTTCTAATTCTGGGCAGGTATTCCTAATTTCCAGTAGGCGATACATTTGCAGTATTTGTTCCACATGACAAAGTGATGAAGTTCTTTGCCTTGTGCAACACCAACTTAGTGAATCTTAGTGAAATTGGCGTGGTTGGGGTTTTGACACAGATTATTTCAATGGTGTTGATGGGGGGGACGTTTACCTCCTCGAGCGGGGAAAGACGTTGATGCTATACTTTAGATCGGCTCATACGGTGAAAATTCATTCAGGATTCCAATCACATGCTTTGTCCACAGAGCTATTTTTGAACTTAATTGTAAACCCAACGGGTAAAGTATAACTCGTATAAATCCACGTGTTTGGTATGATGGCCGTCATTCGAAACTAACACGTTATTTACTCTACTGTTGTGTTTATGTTGGCCATTAACACCCGTGGCATGTGGCTTGAAGTAACCCTCCTTTTTTCAGCGTGTTCCAAGAATCTCAAGCGTAGTTTAACCCATCTACGGGTGTGTTTGGTAACGATATACCCAACATTTCTAAGGTACATGAAATAACGAACGGGGGCATTAACTTTTATCGAGATGGTACACTGGTAGAGCTTTAAAAATATTCCTTCTACTTCGATTGGCCACAAGCTCGTATTATACCGGTAGTCTGTTCCTAAATGTCGATTCTCTTTGGCACGAAAGACCGACAGTCCTCTTACTGCAGAATTTGGAATGCATGGGTGACAGTCAACAGTTGGGGCAACTATTCACCAAAAATGCCTCTCCTCTCCCGGAGAAGCAGCCGTGATGATGACCTTATCAACATCTTCATTTAATCCCGATTAATATTGTTAACAAATCATGCAAAGAAATCAGTAGATCAGTACGTGGCTTAAATTATTAACGAAGAAAGCCTCGTTATTACACACACAGCAAACAGAAAATAATTGATCAATGTCTAAACCCTGCATGTTCACGTACTGTCAAAAATCCATTATATTAATCAAAAGCCCTGTCTAACTTCTTCGTCCAACTTGGCAAACTTGTATAGTTTTTGAATCAGTCTGAGTAAGATATCATCAGGTCTCACATCTATACCACAGTGCAACCTTACAATGAGCAAAACGGGTACTCTCATTGCGACTAAGTTGTGTATGCTGGGGGTGAAATATTTTTCAAGGAATGTTCAGAGGATTCCAAGAGCTTGGTAGTAGCTGCAGTCTGCAGAAGTAGAGCTCATGTCAACAAGTTGTTCAGATCTTGTCACTGCCCATCAGTATCCTCAGCGATTCCGAAGTACAAGCAACCGCACACTTCAGGAATGTTTTGCAGCGTTTACTCTTGATAAATCCCGTACACTGTCCCGAGAGCATAGAGCGAGCCGTTCTTGAACGTGAACTCGGCGTAGGTATCGTACTTTTCGTTCCAGACGCACTGGCTTGCGTACGATGAGGCGTTCTGATCGAGGGAGCCAATGGTAACGATGGCAACGATCTTGTAGCGGCTAAACTCCAGCTCCTTGACCCTGTTCTTGATGGTGTCGGCGAGGTAGCGGCAGAGGTTCTGACTCCGTTCGGGCTCGTACTTGGCGTCACGTAGCTCCGTCTGCAGCACATCCTCAATGATGCCCCCGGCGCGATGCGACATGAACTTTTTGTCCGGTTCCATCTTGTAGGTGCACTCGTAACGGGCCTGGGGGCGGCTTCCACCCAAAGGCCCACCACCACGAGCCTCACTGCTACGTTGAGTGGACGCTGACAACTTACTGACAGAAACTTGGGCCATGATGACCAAAGTACTGGACAACTCGCCGTGTATGAGGGGAAAACAGTGAATATCCCAGGAGTTGAACTTATCCGAGATCACTGACTCTATACATACGATACAAGTTCACTAATCTCGTGCGTTTTTGGGAACAGTTGCGTCTGCAGTTCACGTTCTGGCAAAATATGAATTGTCGTCTGGGAGTCTACAATTATCCGCACTTTGCTGAAAAGTAACCGGTACCTTCTTGAATCAGGAATGTGAGATGCATGTATAAGGCGCTTGCCTCGAAATCCGGATGTGGTTCCCGGATGAGAGAAGAAACAGAAGTCAGTTAGTGAATTTTCCAGAAGCCAAGTTTTCTACTACAATTAGTCACGCGCAGACCGCCGCATGGGGCACATCGACTGTTAACTCTCCGAGCTGAGCTGTGTCGGCGACGACCCCGGTGTATTGGCAACCGCGGTCTTCCATTGACATTGGTGATCGATGTCCCCTTTGTGCTTGAGCAGTTGTATTGTTTGTGGGGGTATCATAGGGCGTACGTGGAGACATATTATTCCCAACTTGAAAGCGCTGAGTTTTCTGGGCCCCATCCACAAAACAAGTTTATAATCAATTGAGTTATTGATCAAAACACTCTCTATGTGGAGTCCAACAGGGAATTCAAAGGTTGACTTTTTTTTTAAGAAAACGGGTCAATGGGCACAAAAATGTCGGGATGGTTTTCGCAGGCTTTAGGGATCTGCCGAGGCAGAGGTGACGCAGAACTTGTTGAAAAGCGATAGGAAAACTTTGAACGAGGTTATATGGCGCCTATGTATTACATTAAATTGTGACGGATTTCTCCCTTATTAAATGTCCTTCTTCAGGCGATTTTGGTTTATAATTAGTTTATTAATAAGAGCCTTGGCTGAGTAAGATTTTTAACATTTTCAAAGTCGTGTTTGGGGATAGTAACGCTACACAAATCGACCATGTTTTCATATATCAGATACCCCATACAAAATTTGTAAAAGTCAGTGAATGAATGATCCCTTCCACTTTTATTTGGAAGATGGAGTCGGTTGCTGCGGGGCGCACTGCTCGACACCATGTGAACGAGGTTACACTCTCCATATTAGCAATGAACCCGGCCGGGCCGCTACCGTGTAAGGATCAGGGGCAGGGTCATACGGGTTCGTTCGTGTTCATGTGAGTATGCCTATAACTACCAAATGCCGTGAGTAGTCCTTTGTTCTGTCCACAATTTGTACTGTGAGGTTTAGCTTGACAAGTTTGCTTTCCAGTTGTGTAGATTTGTTTGTCCTGCTTACTGTTCGATCACGTTCAAGTGCATGTTTTGTCAGAGCGCCTTGACTGTCGCTCGTTGTGCAGCCTTTGCTGAAATGTACATGTACATGTATCACGAGAAGACAGACATTTTGCACGAAAGCGCAAAATGGACTTTTTCTCCCAAAGTGGTACTAAGTTTCCGTGTCTCCGGCGCGGTTGTGCGTGTTGATACACACGCCTGTCGATTACTGTAGGCTGTAACAGAGACCCGGCCGTTAATGCCAAGTACATGTAGGGTCCAGTTGGATCCGACGCCAGAGGAAAGACATGCCCATAACACGATAGCAAGAGCTTGTTTGGTGGGTGTAGACGAACCAACGCAGTGCATTGGGCCAGAAGTGTTGCCGGAATACTGCGTATGATCATGTTCAAAGCTGTTGGGTTTCTCTAAACAGCACCGATCAGTTGAACCTGTCACGACTGGACAGTGTGGAGAAAAGACTCGAGAGAAGAAAAGAGGTTCATTGGAAAGTCATCTAGATCTGCGAACCATGTGTGACTTCGACTGAACAAACTGTGACGAATGACAAGTTTCAGCGTACAGACGAAATGAATTCGAAAGCTACCGGAAAAGGTATGCCAATATTTTGAATTCGATTGAACAACATTTTGAAATTGTTTGACAAAATGACGCAATCAAATATTGCGCATGCACAAAATCGTTATCGCTGAATGAATTTGAAAATACAGTATCTGGGGAAACATAGCAGGTATAAACCCGAGGCAAGTTCGATCAAGGACCACTGACTAGTGGTCGGTTCGTGACGTACCTAGGGCATGTGTAGTGAAGTTGATGTGCGAACGACAACCGTTGTCAGCTCATCAGGCAGATGGGGAGAAAATTTGGCCGCAGGAATTGCGAAATAGCACAAATAAAAGTGAAAATGGTCGTTTAGTAGTGACATCCTATTTTCCCAGCATTTTTCTTAAAACTGGTCCTCTATGCACTGTGCTATTAAAAACGATTTACAGCAACCAACGATGCGACCAACCTCGATGGGCTGATCGCGAATAGCTGACTAGACTAGCCCAATCACCATCGACGTGACTAGCGTGCGTTCGATCAGAAATAAACTATGGTTAACTATGGTCCTTGATCGAACTTACCCCACGTTTAAATTTAAGCTGTAAGCATGCGCATAAAAGAGAAGCTGGGTGCGTCAATTTATTTCCGACAAAACTGAGTGTTTAATACCGTACTATTTTAACTAATGGAGATATTGAATACTATTAAAGTACATATATATTGTACACATTGGGCGTCGCAAAGGGGATAAGGGATTCGCTTGTCCCCAAGAAAATAATTGAAAAAAGAGCAGAAAGCGAAGAAAAATAGATGAAAAGGGTTGCATAATCCACTTTGCTTATAAACATGCCTCAGCATTGACGCCCTTCTGCTGTTAATGCTTTTTTTCTTCAATTTGTTGCCGATGAATGCCTCCATTACCTCTCAGCTTTGCCTCCTGGAAAAAGGTGCTATCCCCCACGGGAAATTTCACCCAGGAAAAGTCCTGGCGACACGCATGATAGTGCGAAAGAATTCCAACATTGTACTCGGTAAATAATTCTCCAAAACGAAGAATCAAACAGATCACACTTACAGCTTACTGCTTCGCGAATATATGGTTTCATCTTGCCCTTTATTAATAAGGCAATAAAGATGTGCTTGGTCGGTCTTCAACGTGTGTTTCAGACCGCCTAAAGAGAGTGGACGCAGTCTCTATATTTTAGCACATTATTTATTCCCATTCATAAATACCTTTTCAGTCAGAGAGTCAAAAGAAGTCAATATATGACGGATTTCCAGCGATTTTAGTGTAGAATTTCACTTTTATTTTCCCAAACACCCCCATCCATTTTATTATATAGGGGTCCAACTTAAAAATCTCCTTATATGGGCTTGGCGCGCGTGTGGCAAGCCGTGCCAGTGCACGCAGACTCTTGACCAATCGGAATTAATTAAACTGGCCAGGCGCCAGTGCATGATTTACGTAGCGGGCATTATCAAAATATACACGGTCAAGTTGCACGTTCTTGAATAGTAAGACTGTCCGAGGTATTTAGGAATATTGATTAACTAAGACATAAAATAGACAAGTTGATTCCAAATTGACCCCTAGGAAAAAAAGCTGTTTCAAAAGAGAGGTTCCAAACAAACTTTACAGAAGTTTGAGATCCGCCTTGGCCACAATGATTAAAATGGGGGTTTTGTCCTACAACCATACCACCAACAGTTCTGCCGTAGGATCAAATCAAACACAGTCCATCTAACTTTACCTACTAAAACAGGTACATAACTTTCGGCTTTTGATAAAATGCATGTCACTTATTCACTCGTTACCAAGGGCAGATTCAGAAACAAACTTCGGCCGGCCGATTCGTTTTCGGGGCCAATTTCGAGATATTTTGTCGGCCGTCAACCTTTTAGGCCTACTGCCTTCTGAGGGTTGCGGCTAAATTTTGGCCCGTCTTGCACGCTTTTGGAAGGAGGGCAAGGAAATAGACCAGAAAATCATTCAAATAAAAATAGGAGGGGCTCCTTTTGGAGGGGGTCTTGGTCCCCGCCCTCCCGGTCCATAGAGTTATACATTAGAATACCTTCCCCCATATGCGCCTAGTTCGCCATTGCACCCTAGCTAGAAGTGAAAGTGCGACCTCCATAGACGGGTGGTTAACAGGCAAAACCAAAGGTCGTATTATCGTCTCGTAAAGCGGCGCTCTGCTGAGCGGACCTTTCTTTTATTTTCAAAAAGTCTCTTACCCCCTTTTTAGCTCGTGTGGACAGCCAAAATTTGCGGAAGAATACAATTGCCTGAAAGTGCACATTTTTCATTATCGGTATTAAATTGGGAGGCGTTCCTGGTAAGCAGGAATTACAGGTGCATATATTATTCAGATTTTGTAATATTTTCATCAGATTTTTTAACACATTATAAATGGCCAGCTGTACAGATCGATGGCCTTTGGGTTGCGAGGCGTCTATTCGTATCACTTTGGTCTAGCCAACTTGCCACAGTCGAAGCCAGGAAGAAATCGCCTAGTTTGGCCATCTCGGCTCCTGACCCACACTCACCCTGGATCATGTAATTATCCAAACATAACTATTTTCACCAGTCGTTGGTGTGGAGCTGACAAGTAGGCCTCAGCAACGTACTAAGCGCATGCAATATCTAGCCGGCGTTCGTTTACTGAACAATCATGGCACATGGTTAACGACGCGACGACGGACAGAGATCTTTCCAAAACAACTGCAATGTAACATCAATGGGGATCGTTCGGGCAGTGTTTGCTGATTTTAGTTCATTACATCAAGCACTTAATAGTTACAAACTTTCTTCCTGTCTAACCTTTTGGCGATCATCTAGTAGGTATGGCCAGATCACCTGATGGCGGTTGGAGTATTATTATCGTCATAGCCACCAGCGTGTGTCTCTTTCTCACGGTCGGGATGACACGATGCGTCGGCGTGCTTTACTCCAGTTGGAAGAGCGAATTCGAAACGTCAGCTGCCATGACCGGAGCACTGGCCAGCATTGTCCTAGCATGTGCTCATTTCATTTGTAAGAACCCAAGTCTAGCTTAGATCGAGTAGGCCTAATTTACGAAAAAATATTCACTTTGAACTGCATGGGTAAATCTGGCATACGCTACGTGCAGCTCCGGCTGGCGTAGGCTTACCCACAGACATGCAATGATACAAATCCATTTATTTTTATTTCTTGTATGCTTATGTTGACAAAAAATTCCCCGTAAAGCAATCACCGTTTTACCAACACGTTGGTCTTGCTTACCAACATGACGTTGGTCTTGCTTACCAACATGACGTTGGTCTTGCTTACCAACATGACGTTGGTCTTGCTTACCAACATGACGTTGGTCTTGCTTGCAGGCTTCGTGTGCGAGTCATGTCCGTATCTTTATAAAACTGTACCCACTTTATCCATAATAATTAGACGATACCGCGGCTTTGGCTGTGCTTGCTAGCTGAATTGATACTTATTTTGTCCATAAATGCATAATGAGTGGCGAAAAGCGAGTTGTACAGTATGTGATTTTTTTCCATTAATGCTGCATGCGATTGGAATTGAGTAGACCTATATACGCCTGTCTAAACTTAAAAGCTATCGATCAGTGTACCTCTTAATCATCCATTTGGTTAGATGCAGCGCAGCTGGCACTCTGATCTGAACCGGATATGACCTATGACCCCATAAAAGTGTTAGCACAAGTGAGACGGGAAACAAAAAATAGTCACGAAGAATCCAATTCAGTTTTTTTAAAGACCCGATGACAAGTCCTTTTTTGTTGTGAAGTTCAGTCGGAATCCACTGGTGCGGTTGTAGTATAAGATTAGTAACACTATTGGCCGAGTTCCGGCTGTAATTGGATGGTCGATCATCCGCTACTTGGGACGAGGCAACGTCCCTGGGAAAAGGTTGAAATACATTTATAA